ACAATATAGATGCAGTTGCTAACAAAGAGAGTAACAAGATTAACATATGTTGCTAAATAGCTTGTGAGAGCCCTGTGCTCACTGAGATTGCTATAATTGCAATGCCTAAATAATGGAGCTAAAAGAGAGACTCTCAAAACGATATGTAAAAAACTTATAAAAACTGTAGTAATCTCTAGATCTAATACTCCAAAGTCTACATAAATAAATGGAATTGGGACAGAGAAGGGAGGTTAGAAAGATATAGATGTGCTAATGTGCAGAACCATACTTAGGATGTTGGTTGCCTGCACATAGTGAGAGTGCCCTGTGAAGTAGTGAAGAAAAGTGAAATACGAAAAACCCGACGCGCGTTTCGGTGCTGGCGTGCACCTTCGTCTGGGGTCAGACTTGGAATGATTCTACCAGGTCTGCTTTATATACCTTTTAAGTCGTCCAGCTACATTTGTGATGGTCCAATAGCAGGCGATTCTCATGGCCGTTATATTCGCGCCAAAATTATGTAAATGAGGCTATTCAAATGCCCCAATCAAATTCTTAATAGTATGAAACGAACTATTATGCCAAAAAAGGTTAACTCCTTATTGTCCATGATGTGAAGTTTAAATCAGATGGATATTATAAGTCTATCTAAACACTGTGTCAAGTTAACTATGTCTGTTCATTAAAATTGAGTGTGAGTGTCTATGGAATAAGCCCGATTTCCGTGTTCGGTACATGTATGGAAAATAGCCCATATCATGTAGATGTTACACAGAAATTGCTAAATAAGGTAATGATTATGGCAGAGAGCTCTATTGATTGCAAAGAAGTCTTATAAAATACCGGGTGCCATCAAAATAGATCGGACTAAAAAGGTCGATCAAAAGAAGGGGGGCTTGCCGCTAAATATTGCAAGAATGCTCCTGCTAACTGTTACCATCAACTTTTAGGTAAAAATACAGAGATGGCACACATTAAATGACATTAAATTTGACTCTAAACGAGAGACCATTATGTCTCAATTTAACGTTTGTGCAGACTATTTTCAATAACAAACCCAACGAAAAAAGTGAGAATGTCGTTAGGGGAATCACTTTACTTAGACAATTGGAACATATAGAAAACACAGAATATCGTGCCAACGTCTATTCACGATGGTTAGTGTGAAACATCAACGGAAAGGATAAATCATAGGTAAGGAAAAAGGGAGCGATCCTTATATTTTTGCAACTAGCATACCTAATTTGCTTCAACTCTCTCATGACTAGAAAAGAGAGAGGAGATAGTGAAAAAATTATTATTGTGGTAGTTATTTCAAAATAAGTGTTTATTGAAGTCAAATCAGTAACCAATGGTGTGAGGTGCTACACACGGCTCAGATTAGTATTTCAATGGCACGTATATACTTAATGTAATGAAAAGCCAATTCATTCCCAGACTTAGTACAGATGTCACTAACTTGTGGCCTATTGATACTGCCGTGGAGTCTGATATATAGTCAATGAATGTGCTAATCTATTTTATATATACTGAATAAAATCAATATATACAAGATTGCTAGTGATTGTATGTCATAAAGACAGATTGTGTAAGGATATCAACTCCTCTTCCATATGATAAATTTAATAAGATATCAGAGCCTTAAAGGTCACGGTAAAAAGATAGATACTTACAGGGCATATAGGGACAATCCCTAAGTGATATCATAAAGGGTCATTAAAGATATAAAGCCCCCAAATGTAAGGGAGGTCCAGACCAGAACATCTAGTTGACCTGATGGGTGTATAAAGCAGAGATCAAAATAAATTCAAAATTGAGAACAAGACGAATTTGTCTATCTACATCATTATTTGCATTATAACAAAATCAAAATAAATTAAATAAAAATCAGCATCATAAGTATGAGTCGGTTGACATAACTAATCAGATATGAAGGGTGTATATGAAAACCCTTCATTGAGACCTTGGGGAGACAGTGTCTTAAGTTTGTAAATCCAATAGCTTTCGCGTTGTAGAAGTATTTTGTCAATGTCCCCTTTCCTAGGGCCCAATTTGATTTTTTCAATCCCACAGAAGCGTAGACCCTGAGCGGATCCATTGTGTTTTATTTTCAGATGACGAGATATAGGGGTATCAATATGCCTTGAGGGATTGACTGAATTAACGTGTTCTAAAATACGTGTTTTAAACGGTCTAAAGGTCTTGCCCACGTATTTCATGTCACAGCTACACGTCAAGAGGTAGATTAATCCAGTGGTTTTACAGTTGAAAAATGTTTTCACTGAGTAAATCTCGGAATTGGTAGAGTTTGATAACACTTTGGAATGTTTATTTATATGTTTACACGCCTTGCAGTGTCCGCATTGGAAAGTACCTACTGCAAGAGATTTCAGCCAAGTGGGAGGTTTCCCGATCGTAGAGAGGTGGCTAGGAACCAAAATATCTTTAAGGTTCCTCCCTCTTCTGGCTGTCAATGAGACAGAGGGGGTCAAAACATCTTTCAGATGTGGATCTTGATATAACAATGGCCAATATCTCTCTAAAGTTTGTTTAACCACAGACCAGCCGGAATCAAAGGTCCCTATACACCGTATGATGTTTTGACCTTTCGACGGAGGGTTATCTGATAGTAGATCTATTCTATCTGTAGAGAGAGCTCTTTGATATGCTCTTTTTAGACACTTATTCGGATATCCTTTCGTCTTGAACTGGGTCCTCAGAATTTGGGCTTTCAGTTTGAACTCCTCTACTGTGGAGCAGTTCCTTCTCAGCCGTAAATACTGGCCTATTGGTATGCCTCTCTTAAGAGCTGGAGGATGGTGACTCTCCCGGTGACTCTCCCAGTATAAAGGGTTGTTTGTAGCTGTAGGTTTTCTGTAGAGCGTGGTGGAGATTTGATTGTCAATATTAATCTCCAATGTCACATCCAGAAAGTTTAATTTCTGGCCTCCAAATTTGTATGTGAATCCCAAATTAATGTTGTTTTGATTGAGTTCAGCTACAAAGTTAGTGAATTGTTCTGATGTACCTGTCCAAACTACTAGCACATCATCTATGTAGCGCTTCCAGATGCATACATATTTCATATGATGGGCTAGTTGTGGACTGAATACTATCTATCTTTTCTCCTGTGACTTATTGGATACATTTACTCTTTATTACCATTTGACTTTGACCAAATAAATATAAAGTCAGCAGTCTTCAGCATATTATAGTCACTTATGAGTACAAGGGAGGTTTTGCCTAACAGGCTGTTTTCACACTTATTCTTCACTTTGTAATGATTCTCCTATTCGGAATAAGACTCTGCTGTACACATCAGCGCATAAATTATTAAAATCTTACTGACTATTATACTATTCCAGTATAAGTTTACTCACTGGTTTTCCAGTGAATTAGCTTAAATTTCTGTGTGTATAATATCCCGGGACAGTCAGTGCTCCCTGTATAGTGCTGCTCTCTTTATAGTACAGGTCTGTGTGTATTATATCCTGGGACAGTTAGTGCTCCCTGTACAGTGCTGCTCTCTTTATAGTACAGGTCTGTGTGTATTATATCCTGGGACAGTCAGTGCTCCATGTATTATGCTGCTCTCTGTATAGTACAGGTCTGCGTCTGTATCCCAGAATAGTCAGTGTTCCCTGTATAGTGCTGATCTCTGTATAGCACAGGTCTGTTTGTATAATATCCCAGGAGAGTCAGTGCCCCCTGTATAGTGCTGATCTCTGTATAATACAGATGTGTGTATAATATCCTGGGACAAACAGTGCTCCCTGTATAGTGTTGCTCTTTGTATAATACACGTATAATAAGCAGACTCCGGGAACTACAAGAATCAGAAACAGTGGAGTGGTGACTGAAGCCTCAATCTGAGACATTCAACATGTTGAATTGGGGGCATGAAAAGGGGCTAATGGAATATGTGTATATGTTTTCCTTTGGCTCCCATTTCTCTCTTTAATTCCATTATGTAAATTCTCCTTCTATATCTTTCATTCCCTATTTTCAGCTTTTTAAAAAATATATATATTCACTCCCTAATATAACTATTTTTGTGAAATAATGTATGTTCTATGGTATAGACACAACTCTCTGACTGAAGCACTGACAGTGTCACCACTGATACCCAACTCACATTAAAGTGATAAAATGTACGTGCCTGATATAGATGCTGTGCTGCGTATGTATCTATCGCACACCAAGGATGCATGGTACTGTTTATGGAAACTTGGTGTTATAAAGATCTACTCAATAAAGAGGGAATTACAGGGAATTGTGTTGGGAATTTCAAACTTTAGGTCGAAATAGTGCAGCTGAATAGGAGAATTTTTCCAACTTTGGCCTTAAGTTTAAAATTACCATCTCAATTCCCTGTACTCTCTTTATTGAGTAGACCCGGTAATCTGCACTATAAGTAGGCGTAGATTAATCACGCGGGTTGGACATAGTGGACAGAGCTTTGCAGAAGTCAGTGTGGCAAATTTTCAAGGTAAAAATTAATAGCTGTGTTGCAAAGTGTCCCAGGAATTTTTTTTTACAAATGTTGGCAACTATGGGAAAGCATTATTCAATGCTTTCCTATGGGAATTCCGGTGACGCTGGAAGTCCTCATACATAACTTGAGGACATCCAGCGTCGTTTAGGCGACCAAGAGTCGCCTTTAAGTCCAGAGGTCCCTCTAGTCTCTGTCTGGTAGACAGCCACTGGAGGAGTTAACCCTAGCAGCACGCAATTATTGCAGTTTATAAAAACGGCAATTAATACCACTCTAGGGGTAAGGTTAATGGGAGTCTGCACTCAGGCCACTTCAATAAGCTGAAGTGGTCTGGGTACCTACACTGTCCCTTTAAAGGAGTTCCACGCTCACTGTTCCATAGCAGCACATGCACCAGGAAGTCAAAGCTAACTCCGCTTGGAATGCGTGTGTCGTCACGAATGGGGCGGAACTACAGCTTTTGACTGACAGCCAAGGTAAGGCTCATCCTGTAAAGCGGGCGTGGTTACTCGTACAGTGGAGGCGTGGCTTTAGTTTGACGGACAGGCGGAGGCCCGGTGTGGTGTGTTTTGTCTGCAGCCTGAGCCCCAGTAACCGGATATATAACAGCGGCGCCTGAAAATGATTAAGAAATTTGACAAGAAGGACGAAGAGTCCGGTAACGGCGTTTTTCCCATACGGTTTCATTCATAATGGCGCTTATATACACTCTTTCTTTCAGTAGGCCTCAAATCCCCGGACTCTCCTGCTGCTGGTGGCCGCACAGGGGGCAGGATGTCCCGGGGGATGTCTGACAGGAGGAGCTTGGAGTCAGGAAATAGGGGGAAACCTGCAATATACACATAAATAGCCACCCTGCCCTTCTTACTTACAGGGAATTGATTTATTCTGTTACAGAATCTTCATCAGATTGCTGGAACACTGTGTATAATCTTAGTTACATTCACAGTGCAGGGGGGATTTTATTTTTTGGGAGGTTTGCTAACATTTTATTGCATTATGCCTACATAATAATAGCTAGTATACATCACTTTCCATGTTGTCTTATAAACATGTAGTAAAGGCTTTACTGGAATAAGATATTAAACTACACAAATCATAGCATATCCTAAATAGTTATTGATATGTTACATATCAGGAACTAGCAGATAAGTTCTTAAAAATTCACAGTATTCTTGTGAAAGTAAATACGTGACAGGTATAAGGTTTGTCACAAATATTGACAAAAAGTGTCCACGTTGAATGCTGGCAGTCCAATAGTTTTTTTCATTAGAATGGATCTTAATGGGATAAAAAAACAAAACTTTGAAAGACAAATTCAAGCACAGTCAGAAAATGTAATATAAGACAAAACAGGAACTACATTGTCACATAAGGACACACTTATTTAATTTTAAGAAAAAAATCTGATGGGAATAGATGTCTTTTGCAATGAGCAGTAGATGTCTGTATAATTTCATTGTGCATGCACAACATCTTGTGTAGAAGAACTTGCTTGATTACCATTTTAAATGCACTTCAAGCACCATAACCACTGCTGCATTATGTATTGGTTATGGCGCCCTGTCACCCCTCATTGTAAGCATTCAGGTTTGAATTTTTACCTGTGGTCCACTGGATGCCACTCCTACCCTGCATTACCATCAGACAGAAAGCAGGAGCTTTCATTAGCGGTCTTGAGCTAAGTGCTAGTTCATTGGCCGAGAGCATCACCTAATCATTCTCAGACAATGATTATAGCCGGCTTGGCTCAGAGCGCTTCCTGCTCTCTGTCTAAAGAAGTGCAGGTGGGGAGTGGTGTCTAAAGTGGTTTTACTACTTACAATGCTGACGTGGCACCAGGGCACAACTGGCACCATAACCTCTACAGTCTACTGTAGTGATTGTTGCTTGGAGTGTTCCTTTAATCCCCAGATGAAGCTGCCAGGAGCTATAGACTTGGACAAAGAAGAAAATGGTGGTACATAGGAGAAAGAAGTACATCTTACTTCTGACCTTACAGATACCTTCTTGTAAGGGGACGTGGCACCTTTGGGTTTTTGCAAAATGTGCACAGACTCTTAAAGTGAAAGTGTTTTTTTTAAAGCTATAATTCTTTAAATGGTCAAAATAAAACCTGATTTTAGAAACCATGCACCTCAAAATAAAAACATAACCAGGCTATAATATTGTATTGCTGTCAATCATTTGATTAAAACACATGTCAAAACATGAGATGGGAATGTGGACATATTACTAAGTGTCAATTCAAACATTTGTTTGTGTTTAGCAAATATATCAGGGTTCAAAATGTCAAGCCCTATGCTGTTAGCTAACCCTAAAAGTTACATGTTTCTGCCATGCTACTTCTACTGCATGATCCCAAGGTATGGACAGTAGCATGCCAAAGATGACCTCTAATTTTAAACTTTTATTGTTATTGTGAGCTGATCTCTACTTAGTTTTTGTATTGGTCAGGGTGCAAAACTGCCCTAGTGGCTTTCTATGGTAAGTTGTCAGACCACTTGCAAACACTTTGACTATTTACGTGGGGTCTCTTGTCAGCTCAGTACAGTGAGCAATGCTTAGATCATTTGCTGAGAGCACTTGGCTAACGTTCTCAGCCAATTAGCTGGCCTGTGTGGCAGTACTTCTGCACTTCCTACAGGAAACTCAAACATGCCAAGATTTAAAGGGGTATTCCAAATACCATACGGCCCACTGTAATGGTTAAAATGCCAAGCATTGCCTAGTGCCATCCCATTTTTAAGAGTCAAACAGGTGTTTAACGTTAACATGTTTCAAAAGGTTTACGATTGAACTGGTATATGACAACTGCAGGCACTATAATGACTTAATTGAGATGAAGTGGTTGTAGTTACTAGAGTATCTCTTTAAATGTTATTTATTTAAAAGCTCAAGAAATAGCTACTTGTTTGACTATTAGAATACTTTTTGAGGTGTCATCTTCTTCCTTAAAGGGTTACTCCAAGTACCATAACCACTTTATTGAGTTGAAGTGGTCGTGGTGATAGGAGTATGTTTGTGCAGTGTGTCAGCTTTAAACACTGCACATACAGAGTTATTTTTCGTTGCCAGCACACTAGAACTCTGTTCTAGACTAGTGTCAATTCTGTGCATATTTTACTGTTGTCCGCACTCACTGCATACTGGCGACAGACGTAGAAATCTTCCCCTTGCAGGCAGAGTGTCTTCACCTACCTATCTTCCTCCTCTCCCCATTGAAAAAAAACATTCTAAAGCTTATTTTTTATTTGAGGGATGGAAAACCTAAATAGGGCAATATACATTAAAAACCACAGCATGAAAAACTGGTTGGAGTAACCCTTTAAAGATATCCAAACTACACATGAGTGATTCAACTCTGTTAAAGCGAATATATCATGAAATTGGACAGGTTCAAAGAACAGTTATTAAACTGTTTGTTCAAAGGAGTACTGTCACTTCAATGGAATTAAGATAATTGAATAAAACATTGAAAATCACTTTTAATTTTAATTAACCTTTTTCTTTTTTCCACTGGATGCTCCATTTTATTTTAGATTCATTTGAAAGATTTAGCATATATATAGATACATAATCCAGTTCAGACATGGCAAATGTAGGGCAAACATTGCAGATGGAGAGGAGAAATGGCAATTGTTTTGTATGTCTTCTCTATGCTGACCTCTAGAAGGATAGGACAGTTTGTAAAAATGATTGTTAGTAAGCTATGATATAGGTATCCAGTTGCAGGATAAAGAGATGTAGAAGTCTACATTTAATTTTATTATTCCCATCTTTGATAAATATAGGCTTAAGAATGCATATTATTAAAAACCCTGGGAAATAGATGTTCCCCTTTAATTATAAAGCATCATCATACAATGTACAGTGCTGCTAAATAATGATCATTCTTATATTTCAGTACATATTTGTGTCTCTGCAAAGCACAACCTTGATGATTTCATGCTTATCTTTATTAGGAAGTGGTTCTAATCCCTATCAACACTTGGAAAAAAGTGCTGTTCTTCAAGAGGTGAGTCCATGAACAAGTTGGAAATACTTATTTCTGTCATTAATGATCGCTAGAATGTTGCTTTATAAGTCTTCATATATTTGCCTCATACTTGTAACAGTGAACACGTTTTCACCTCCTGCTGTCATTTTATACATAAATTGCACTTTTTGGATTTCATATATGACAGCACTTAGTCATTTAAGAAGTGTTTCTTTGACAACGACATGTATAACATGAAGCTGTGATTAATTCAGCTTGCACAGTTGCGGAACTTTGTACTTATTCCATGGTGAGTAATTTTAGAGTTGTTTTTTTGCCTCTACAGTATTTTCTGTAAAATCTCAAGTAATACTTTAAAGTGCCATACTATGCACCATATACCCTTAAAAGTTTTGTGAAACTCTTTATTTACTTTTGCAGGCTCGGTTATTCAACGAGACTCCCATAAATCCAAGAAGATGTCTCCATATTTTAACCAAAATCTTGTACCTGCTGAACCAAGTGAGATGCAAGAGCAAAGATTAAAGCTGTATTTAGGGTTGCATTTTTGTCAAATTTTATGTGCAACTCATCATCTGTCAAAAATACTCCTTATAATATGTTGAATTTATTTTAATTTAGAATAACTTAATCCTGGTGGGGATCCTAAATCAATCGTTATGATCAGTTATATTTAACTGTTTGAGTTTTATTCCTATGTACAGTAAACAAACTCATTCAAATCATACAAAACAGATTTTAAAAAACAATTAAAGCAACACATATCTAATAATAAACCTGCAAATTACATACATTAAGGGGACACTGAAACTGAGGCATGTTTTCCCTGTATGAAAGAATGATTATTAATAGTGGGAGAACATCTGTGTCTCTATAAGCAAAACACAATGGTTATCACATGCAAATTAACTAATATTATTGACTGACTTTTTGGAACATATATTAGGTTAGTTTGTTTTGTGCCTAAATTTATGTTTAGAATACGTTTAGAAGACGTGTTTAGAATATTTTAAACATGTCTGAACCCTTTGTGACTGTACACATTTATAATCTACTTAATGCTATATAGCATTCAGTAAGTGGGGTAGTGCAGTTAGGTGGCCTTTTAATATATGTTTTAAAGCAGGGGTGAGCAAATGGTAGATCCACAGTTGTTGTAGAACTGCACCTTTATGATACTTTGCCATTCTAAAGGCTGGAAAAGCATTAAAGGACCACTATAGTGCCAGTAAAACATACTCGTTTTCCTGGCTCTATAGGGTCTCTAGTTCCCCCCCCCTCCCTCAGGGCCCCCCTCCCGCCAGGCTCTATGTGGTGGGAGAAAATGTACCTCTTTTTCCAGAAAGGGGGGCGGTGGACTCCTCCTCTCCTCCTCCTTCTCGTCGTCATTGGCTGAATGCGCATGCGCAACACGAGCCGCGCGCGTATTCAGCCAGTCCATAGGAAAGCATTCTCAATGTTTTCCTATGGACGCTGGCATCTTCTCACTGTGAAAATCACAGTGAGAAGCGCCTCTAGCGGCTGTCAATCAGACAGCCACTAGAGGCTGGATTAACCCTATTATAAACATAGCAGTTTCTATGTTTATAGAAGAAAGGGTTAATCCTAGCTGGACCTGGCACCCAGACCACTTCATTAAGCTGAAGTGGTCTGGGTGCCTATAGTGGTCCTTTAAGGCAGTTGTAGTTCTACAATATCTGGAAATCAAACAGCAATAAAATGAGAGCTTTATTATTTATTGTAATCTTCTGATATATTTATATAACACTGTTGGAATACTAATATGAAAATATAGTGTGTTGATTTTTTGGGGTTTTTTTTGTCATAAAACCATTAAACTGGTAAAAACCTGGATAAAAAAGCAGACATTTTTACTACCCCCTTAATCATACTGAATTAACGCTGTGTGTGTAGACACCTCCATTTCCTGCTGTGCAACTTTTTAGTTTTTTTTCAGGAAGCTATGAGTGAACTCACACAAGCTAGTTTATAGTCTTTGTAGTGTCTCACTGTTGGGTTTATCTGTCATGCTTAAGTAATACAATAAGAAGAAATTAGGAGGCACTTATTTTATTCTTCTGCACTAATGTTTTTACACCTGTCTTGTTCAGGGTGAGCACTTTGGAACTATGGAAGCAACAGAAGCATTTTTTGCTATGACACGATTATTCCAGTCAAACGATGTAAGTGAATTAATGTTATAAATTAAGACTACAAGCTACAATCAGTTGTTTTAGCTTTATTAAACATTTTCCTTCTCATTGTGTTTTATAGTGTAATTCAATTAATAAAGCTGGTGTCATTGTATTGCTATTTTCTCTAATTTAAAACAATCAATAATTTGGGTGAACCCATCCACGTGAAATATTGCTGTTTTTTCAGAAAGGGCAATGTTTACCTTGAATAGTTAAATGACTCTATTGTCATACTGACAGCTTCTACAGGCGCTTCCGCTGCACTGACCAAGTAATACTTGGTCATGTGATGTTGCAGCTCATAGGAAAACAATGTGATAGGATTTCCTATCAGAATCATTGGATCCCAATGAAGCGCTTGTAGCATGTGCACACCAGGTCCACAGTGCTCTTCTATGAGAAACATGGAATTGGACCATTGCCAGAGGAAGCCATGCTTACTCGATTATGTTGCTGGAGCTGAATAGGCCAGCAGTGCTAAAAGTGTCTCAGCACTATAAAAAAGGTAAGTACAAAGAGAGAAATATCACAAGGGACAGGGGCACTATTGTGTTTCTTTAACTGTTCTGTAAACTTCCTACTGTTCTTCCTATATTCTCTGCAGAGGAAGGGGTTTAACAGTCCATTCCATTGCAGGTGCTTAATTTACTACTGAATTGTGTAATTGTTTTGTTGTTTGTTAGTATATGTTTGTGTTTTTCCTCTAGCAAACCCTAAGAAGGATGTGTTACCTCACAATCAAGGAGATGGCTAATATTTCAGAGGATGTTATTATTGTCACAAGCAGGTATGTAATCTTGTCATCAAAATAAATTTATACTGTTATATTTGTATGCATTAAGTGATTGTTTCTAGTGCTTCCACCCAAAATATCAAATGGGGTATGGATTTGGTTTGTATGTTTTGTTCATTCTTATTGTGTGACCCAGCTGCCCTTGAATTCATGGACAGATGGCTCATATTCTTATCTTTGTTAATTGCCCTCTATCAATCTGTATGTATTATATTTTTGAAAAAAAGACACACAAGATGTAAATCACCTATAATTGATTCTGTGTGATGCTCAATTTTCTTTGAAGTTTATGTTAAAGATTTAGCAGTTGACAAATACTAAGCTCTAACAGAAAAGGGCAGAGCTTATAACACTGATAAGGAGACAAGATCTAAACCAAGCATATCAAACTCAAAGGCTAGCAGGGGCCAAATCAACAAGGATTCATTTATATGGGCCGTAAAAAACAAAAATGTAAATTTTTATACAAACATAGGTTTATTTTGGAAAGTACAGCATAAAAAACCCAGCATTCCATCTACTAAATCCCAGTTCCCCACCTCTACTAAATCTCAGTCTCCCCCCCTCCCCCCCCCTCCCCTTTACTAAATTCCAGCTCCCCTGCCCCTGGTTAAAAAAAAAAACCACAATATTAAGGAACAAGCAGTACCCGGAGTCCTGCCTTGGTGCTTTCCGCACCCTGTGCCAAAGCAGTTCCTCCTATTACTCCTTGAAACCGTGTGAAGACAGAGCATGTCGGTGTCACGTCAGAATGTGGCGTTGCATACTTCCATGCACCTCTAGGTTCCCAACTGTCCAGCTGCGGCCATCGCAACACTGACTGACACACACTCACTTACAGACACACTCCCTGACAGACACACACATCTACACATTCACACATTCTTGTACACACTCATGATCATTTTATTTATTGCAGATCCCTACCTTTGGGAGTTGGTGTGGGGCCTCCCCCTGGTGTCCAGTGGGGATCTTCACTCTGGAGGTCTACCTGCCTGCTCCTCACTATCACTGCTCCTTCACGTGCGCATTTTAGTGATGTCTTATTCCGGCACCCGGTATCACCACAGAGGCGCACACGAGCAGTAAGGAGCAGGAAGAACAGGCCGCGCTCCCTCTATACCATCTGCTTCATCTCTCCCTTGCCAAGTCCACCACTTGGGCCCCCTGTTACACTCCATCTACTCGCGGCGCTCCCCACCTCCTTGCCCAGGATCAGCCCTGCCCCCAACCACCTATTAGTAATGAAGAATATTTTTGCTGGGTCGCAAAGATATTCATTATGGGCCACGAGTTTGACATGCTTGATCTAGACATTTAGTTCCAGAAAAAAATCTTATACTGAAGCATGAATTTCTACATTAAGTTTTAATTTTTCAGACTTTGCTAACACATTTGTTACATATAGGTAAACTTAATATTAAATAACCTAGAATGTAAATTTTCCCTTTTAAGCGTTTTCAACCACCAATACAGATAAGTGGAACAGTAGACGAGTAACAAGGGAGAAGACTTCTATTCAACATGAACTACAATAATAACAAATAATTCACACCAAGTGCAACAAAAACATGCATGTCCAAAATATGAACTGAAATAAAGGGCGGAACAAAATTCACTGTAGGATTTGAGGAGTCCGTAACTTTTTTTATTTTTTTATTAATGAACCAATTTCAATGATATACAACGTATGGTTAACGTATGGAGATTTGTTTGACTAGGTGTGGAAGATGAAATCTTTTAAATGAGCTTCATTTGCCGCCTTGCAAAGCCAGGCTCATTCGATTGCATTGTTCATAACATTAGTTAATGTTTCAGGCTCTAGCTCTCAAATTCGTGCATGTATATTCTTCTTGAGCTGCTCAAGTGTGTACGTGGTTTGTTCACGTACACCTGCTCCTTCAGATAGCCCCACAGGAAGTAATCGGTAGCTGAAAGGTCGGGCGAACATGGCGGCCAATAAATTTGGAAATTTCTTGAAATTATATGCTCGCCAAACAGTTGTCTCAGTATTGAAAATAAAATCCTACTATTGTTACTCTTTGCCCCTTTGTAAATTATCCATGATGAATCTCGTAAGGCTTAGTTATATGTACCTGCAACAAAAAAATGGAACTACTTAAAAAAAAATTATTTACCTGTCAAATTCTACTCTGAATTTTGGCCCACCCTGTACAGGAAGAGTAATGGAAGGATGTTGATTCGGGACTGTACATTTAATTTTATAATGTTATAAAAAGTGTTCTACTATATGAGAAACCTGAAATTTAATAGTCTAGAAACTAATCCATTTGATTATATTTCCCAGTAACATGTGTAGAGGAAGTGATTGCATTAACCTTTTGTTTAATTTAATTTCACAGTCTGACCAAGGACATGACTGGGAAAGAAGATGTGTATAGAGGACCAGCAATCCGGGCACTTTGCAGTATCACTGACGTAAGTAGCCAGCATGACTGGTAAACCTGACCGCAATACCACAGTGCTCTAATACATTTCTGAATGGGGGTGTTTAACTCTGAAAGGTCTATTTATTGAAGTTTCTAACAATACCCTAGATTCAGTGCACCCTATAATTGCACTAAACACAGTAACAGCAGTTTTATTTGGCCTTGAATCTGGGAAAAGTATGCTGTTCTCCATTTATCATTATTTATCGCCAGGACTAAGCAAATTATATGATATCAACATATTTTTGCACCTTTTCACACTGAAATCTATTAATTGACATATGTAGAAAAGGGGGCTCAGGTTAGGTTAGTGCAGTTATACAAAACACGCTAATCACCAATTAAAGGAGCAAACACACAAAACAGGTATACAAATACCTAATTAATTCCGAACTGTAGAGAAAATAGGACTCCTCCCAGTCCTCGTAATACAATATATAGGTTAGTGCAGTACCATAAAAAAGGGAAACAATACTACTGTGCAGCTATAAATCAGTACACTACAGTGGCTCTCAAACAGCGTTAACAGCATGAAACAATCAAAATGAAAAAAGTAGTACAAGTGCAACTCGAAAGCTGGTACAGCAAAGTGGTACTGAGGGACATACAAGAGTTAAAGGGTTTGGATGAAACCCTTTCTCAATGTAAAAGCCATGGAGGGCATGACTGTAGTATATCTCAATAACATTTTTGTTGTGCTTGTCCTGTTTTGTCATTTTGATTGTTAAAATCTATGAATATAGCATGCTGTGGATCTTAAAAATAAGATAACTTTAATAACATTGATTGCCTATCTTCTACATTCTGTCACTGACCAACCCTGGTTGGGACCTACTCTTTGAAAAAATAATTCTTACAATTTAATTCTGCAAAAGATTAAATTGTTTTCTTGCTGTCAAGCTTAACATTAACCATTAAAGAACAACTGTCATGAAATTTTCACTTCATGTCTTTTTTTTGTTTTTTTTTTTTGTTTACTTTTTAAAGGACCACTCTAGGCACCTAGACCACTTTAGCTTAATGAAGTGGTCTGTGTGCCAGGTCCCTGTAGGATTAACCCTTTTTTTTTTATAAACATAGCAGTTTCAGAAAAACTGCTATGTTTACACTGAGGGTTAATCCAGCCTCTAGTGGCTGTCTCATTGACAGCCGCTAGAGGCGTTTGCTGCTTCTCATTGTGAAAATCACAGTGAGAAGACCCCAGCGTCCATAGGAACTTCCTATGAGACTGGCTGACTGCGCGCGCAGCTCCTGCCGCGCATGCGCATTCAGCCGAATAGGAGGAGAGCTCCCTGCCCGGCGCTGGAAAAAAGGTAAGATTTAACCCTTTCCTCTCCCCAGAGCCCGGCGGGAGGGGGACCCTGAGGGTGGGGGCACCCTCAGGGCACTATAGTGCCAGGAAAACAAGTATGTTTTCCTGGCACTATAGTGGTCCTTTGATGAAATTTTTTGAGAAAATGTCGCTGTTGTATCTGTCTGAGCATGATGGCTAAGAATCTACTGTTATGTGACCAACTGCATTTCAACCTGACTTGCTTGCTGCTGCAGATTTATTGAGCGCACCCACAGCAGCATACAAGTTAGGTTAAGCAGCAGTTTGCAAGGTAACCATAGAGTCTGACTCAGCATGGGTGCTAAACCAGATAAAAAAAAAAATAAAAAGTAAAATTTTCTCAAGAAATATACATAATTGAAAAAATATTAGATTTCATCAAACTTAAAAACAAAACAAACATATAGCAAATAATGAAAATTGGGTGAAAGGTGTCCTTTATAAACAAAACTGGATTATATTTCATTCTACAAGCATTTTCAGTGTTGAGTTACATATGATGATGCATTATGCAAGCTGTTCAGACTCATTGGTTGATGTTTTGATATTATTGCTCTTAAACCTATTCCACTACTAGTGGTGGAAATAGGGTGCAGTAACCCCCTGTGGTACCTTTCCTGGTATTTATCTTTTGGACTTGCTTTCATTCCCACACCTCTCATACAAAATAATTTAAAAACTTGTTTCATTTGACATTTGATATACTAAATTCTCTCAATTCCATAACCGTGTATTCACATATTTAAGAATACCATCATTGTAGTTGAGGTTTTACAGTAGTATAGTCTTACTATTTGCCGAACACTGCTTATAACAGCCTGAACTGTTTTGTGTATAATTAGCTGCTTTCAAAGCCATTCTTTGTTTAATGGATGAAACATTTAAATTTGGAATGTTAGTGTTAGCGTCACAGTTTGATGCTAGGACAAATAGTGTAACTTCAACAAAGAGCTTTTCTGGGAAGAAAGCATAGAGACAATTAAACCTCATAAGTTCCCCAAAAATCTGTCAAAGATGTACATATTTGGTATTACTGTGTTTAGGAGATACGGAAGAATACAATTCTAGGGTCTTTGAAGTAGTAGGACACACAAGACATGTGAAATTCGCCATTAAAGTTCAATGTGAATAATAACACAACAATACAGCTAAAATCTGCACAAATCGATGAAGTGTCAAGTGAGAAGACTCAAAATGCCCCATACTAAATAAATCCAGTGCTATGATGGGGGGAAAGTGCAGTTGGGGATTGTGTTTTTTTTTTCCCCCCAAAATAAACATTTCTGTAATGTGACCCTATAATATATATCAAATTGTATGACGAAAATCCATATGTGGGTTATTGATGTACTAGGGGGCAGTAGCAAATCTGGAGTTTTTACAGTAGTGGAACATACAAGGTCTGTGAAATTCCCCACACAAGTGAAATATGTATGTGAAAAATAGTTGTATAGTCATCTAATCTGTTCTAGATTGGTAATAAACGGTTACATGAAAATTATCAGAATGCTCTTGTATATAATACCATAAGGGGTCTAATTTCTGCAAATGTAAACTTTTTATTACAATTTTTGACATTATTGGCCGAGAAATCCCTATTAGGAATGTGAAGATCAGTGCATGTGTATAGTTTTTGTTTATTTTTTTACAATGGTATTATCTGCTTCTAGGGCCTCTTAATTTGGGGGTATAAGTGAGAAACTAATAGCAAACATAAAAAGTCTATTTTTATTATTTTGCAGGCAGTTGATTGAAAATACGTTTATAATTGAAATGTAATTTAAGAATGTTTGTTTGTTAAAATGCAATCTAACCACTTCTGTCATAGATGACGTGTATTTGCTATTTAATGATTTTAACTTTGCCATGTGATCTATTTTATGTTCTTCTAATTCTTAATTCTTTATTTTCTTTCAGGCCACCATGCTGCAAGCTATTGAGCGATATATGAAACAGGCAATAGTAGATAAAGTTCCTAGTGTCTCCAGCTCTGCATTGGTGTCTTCATTGGTAAGTAGATAAGAGGTTAGATACTGGACAGTATACTGTTGGCCTCTAGACAATTATAACTGATGCTATTACATTACAGCCAAAAATTTGGTTATGGCATGTCAAAAATGGTTTGCTATAAGCAAGCACTTGTTTAAAGTAAATTTTAATTACACTATGGTCTATAAAGAGAAATGTTAACTGACTCAATTTTTTTTCTCAGCATATGAATAAAATAAGCCACGATGTGGTGAAAAGATGGATCAATGAGGCTCAGGAGGCAGCTTCTAGCGACAACATCATGGTTCAGGTAGGTTACTGTCACGAGTTAAATGGTAAACCAAAGGAAATAAGCAAATGTCACAGTACACTAAAATATAAGAAAATTATATTTATTAATACTAGTAAAATATTTAACCATGAACTGTGGATTAAGGACAATTAACTGAATGTCTGCAAGTCAATGCTTCCTGATGGGATGACATATTAGGTGCAATTCTGATAATAACAAAGCCCACCATACCTTTTTAAAATAACCTTTTAAAAAATAGTTTTTTCTTTATCTAAACGAAAAAATGGCTTTCCTCAGTTCTTCCCTTATATACTATTCAACAGTATAACCACAGTCTTCTCTACTGACCACATATCAATTATGCCGGTAAAAACATTCGTAATGGAGTGCTGAGAAACATAACAGCTTTGTTTTATTGCAAAGGTTATGATGCAGAGAGGACATGGCGTTCTGTCTCCCTCACCAAAGCAAATTATAACTGCAGTGGGTTTGCAAAAAAATGCTGGGTCTGTAAGATTCCTACATGGATCAATGATGTCAGTGGAAGAATCTTACTATGTTGTCTGTCCTCTTCTTCAAGATCTTTAGGTGATTTTACTGAATCATCCCAGACAAATGGAAGTGCCAGTGGAACGCGTTAAAAATTCTAGGGGACTGTTTAATTACTACAGTCCCAATGGTGGATTTGAATATTGTACTATAAATAGAGTATTTGTACATTGTGTGTAATGCAGGTATAAATTGAGATAAGTGTAACATTAGTGGCTTTACCTTTTCATACAGTATCATGCACTTGGACTTCTGTACTACTTACGAAAGAATGATCGACTTGCAGTTTCCAAGATGCTCAACAAATTCACAAAGTCTGGGTTAAAATCTCCGTTTGCATACTGCATGTTAATACGAATTGCCAGCCGGCTTCTGGAAGAGTCTGAAGAGGGGTGAGTTAAAATACTTTCTCTATCAGGGCTTTTATATTTTTTGTAGGTCTGTAAAAGAAAAAAGTCCTTGCAGCAACTTGTGGGACTTACAGGGGTAAATCCTTAATGCGGCACTGTCAATTTGCAAAGACCCCCAACAGTAACATCGATGCAGGGGGTAGAGGAGGCAGGTAAATGTAAGATGTGTGTACCTGAACCTGCCCCTCACGGCATTGCCATCTTCTTCCAGTGTGTCCTCTTCAGCTAGCTGATATCACTGCATGCTCTAGAATACAGCATTGAGGTTACAGCGAGACCACGGGATCCTCCTTTTACATTTTGCCAGTGGCTTTAGTTATCCTTTCATTCTCAAAGGCCTGCTCTTTTATATATGTGTGTGTGTATGTGTATACATATATATTTTTATGTTTTTAAATGTGTTGCAGACACAACAGTCCTCTTTTTGACTTCATTGAAAGCTGTCTTCGGAACAAACATGAGATGGTAATTTATGAAGCTGCCTCAGCAATAATTCACCTGCCTAACTGCACAGCGAGGGAACTGGCTCCTGCTGTATCCGGTATGAAAAAATTCCCTCCACTTTTTTTTTTTCAATTTTTACCCCTGTTAGATTTTTAACTCCCTCTTATACATATCTGGCATAGATGTACAGCTTATTGATCAGAGTGGTTTGTTGTATGTATAGCTGTACATGAGCCACTACTTTAAAGAATTGTTACTTTAGAAACTGTGGTCCATTCTAATCTCTGTGTAACATCAATTTATTGGGCTCTATCCTCCTGCAAAAAATATTGTGGCATTCCAGCACAGTGTTAACTATCTCACTTCTTAGAGGCATTGCATTTTAAGTTGAAACTTAGCTGGCAATGGGGTCTCTGTCATGCATTACCTTTAATTGTGGTGACCATTCCCAAAAGTCAAAGAGCTCTGGGAAAAAAAACAGTCTTACCGTGCTCCACGCAATTTTGCACTGCCTGGTATTCATGGACTGTTGGTCAGTTCCCCCTTCTATACAATTTGAGAAAATCGGTTAATGAGCAATATTTCCTTTGTGGCATTGAGAGCCTTTTCCAAAATCTGAAAGCCAGTTGGGGTTCTGCCTCTCTCAAATGCTATGTGTAAAATTGTAGATGACATGCTGATGGATAAATTAATTACAATGACCAGGGGAACTTTCAAGCCAATTGATGCGTTTGTTTTCACTAAATAGCATCTATTTAGAACATTGTCACACTGAAATTTTATTTCTCTTTTGTATTATATTTTCCTTAACAAATTAAAAAAAAAACCAAAAAAACTAGCTTGATGCTTGTCTTACCCTGAACTGCCAGCCTTGTCACCTGTTCTTCACCCTGAAATGGGAACTAACTTGCTTGGATATACTCTAATCTTACTTACCAATTTGCATTACCAGGCCTATAATAATTGGTTGATTGCAATGTGAAAAGCATTTGCAAAACTGATTGCTTTGTACTTATGTACACAAGTTACTTTGATGTGTCTTTTCTATGAAAGGGACTGATGTCAAATAAACCATATAATATGGCTATTGATTCATGTAGGATTTGTCACCTTAATTCATGCAAAGTTTTGTTTTTTTGTGTGTAAGGAACACATCATCAGCATCTACAGTTAATTTAGAACATTTGCATCATTATGTTTTCATCTATTTATTTTCAGTCCTGCAACTTTTCTGTAGCTCTCCAAAACCTGCCTTGCGGTACGCTGCTGTAAGGACTCTTAATAAAGTAAGTATTCTGCTTAAAAGTTTGATTGCACCACTTGCTTTTGCTTTCAATTTACACATAGTCCAGTTTACTGTTTAATGAGCTGGGCTGTGTGCAGCGTAGGCTTAGTCCTGTGCCGTGGCTTGACTCTCTCTCCAGAGAGGAATGAGAGCTCAGCCCAGGTTGTGCATGCTGCACAAGGACACCATTAACAAAGGTTACCTGCTGCTGTTGCATTTACTAAGCAGTAGATTTATGGTGGTAACTTTTAGCACTTTTTATACAGTGTCACTTGATATTTTTATTACGTGTTTAATTTGTTTTTTCATGTAAACACATTGTGAATTTGGCATATATCTCTTGCCACCAGCCATAAAAATGTTGGTGTTTAATTATTAACCTTTTATCTGCATCTCTACCGCTGTACTTGTCCTGTATGTTGCTTTCTATAATAGAATGTTGCACTGTACAAATAGTGATTTGTCAGTCAAGTAATATGAAATCTGTGAAAGCTTTCATTAACAAGCATACATGTGACAATGTATAATTGTTTCTGCTGGTGTTTCCATGCTCTTAAATTCTTTAAAATGTGAAAGTGAACACGTTGCCCTCTTTCTCTAATAGGTGGCAATGAAGCATCCCTCTGCTGTTACTGCGTGCAACCTTGACTTAGAGGGCCTTATCACAGATTCAAACCGTAGTATTGCAACACTGGCCATCACCACACTCCTGAAAACTGGCAGTGAGAGCAGCGTTGACAGGCTTATGAAACAGATCTCTACTTTTGTGTCTGAAATTTCTGATGAGTTTAAAGTAAGAACGTCTTTGTGTTCTATTTCCCAATCCCATATTTTATGACTTAAAATGTATGTGGATAATTCTGGTGCAGTGCTAAATTTCATGTAATCTCGATATAAAGGAGGAAAATGTTTTGCCGCTTATTCCAAATGTAGCAATTTACCACAATATTGTTGTGTTTTTCACTTACAAAACGTGGTTGTCACATCCCCTTGTTTATGTAGAGTACCAACTTCTTTTTTTTCCAATTTACTTTTTATTAGGCATTTTCGTGTTATGGGTACAGAAAGGAAAAAAGGGGGGGGGGAAACAATGTACATGTTCTTACATTCTGTTATTTTACATCCAAGATTCCTGCGGGGGGGGGGGGTTACAACATAACAGGGTAAAGCATTGGCCCTTGCGGCACAGCGTGTTATTGAACAATCACAGTACACCTGCCTCCTTTGTTGCTAGTATTGTCATACCGTTCTAGCCGGTGTGTTTTCTCAATCTGGGTGTAACTCTTGTCTTTTGCTTCCCCTAACACAACTATTTACACATTGGTATCCGTCTACTTTGATTCTCATTCTCTCTGTTGCCCCTGGTTTGTGCGTGTGTCTGGTTTCTCCCCGTGATTTGTGGCTGTGACTCTTTGGTGGCTCTCGTTTTTTTTTTTTTTTTTTTTTTTTGTGGTTTGTTTGTTTTTTCCGCTTCTTCCCCTCTCCTCCTCACTCTCCCTCCCTGTCTCCCGCCTCTTTGCCCGGCTGTTCTATAACCACTTCATGTGGTTCTCGTCACCTCTTCCCATCTGTCTCTGGCTTGTTTTGCTTGAGCAGATGCTCCAAATTTGGCGTTTAGTTTGGTTTCGTACATTAAATTGGTAGAGATTTGGGTCAGTAATGCAGCTTTTTCTGGTCTCGTGGTTTGTTTCCAGGCCCTTGCAATCAGTGTGTTTGCGGCTATTAGGATATTGAAGAGTAGTATCGCTTGTGGCCTGTTGTATGTCTCTAGAGTCATAAACAACAGGCCACATTCTGGCTGGAGGGGCGCCTGTGTGCCAAGTGTGTGTCGAATAATGTCTCCTACTTCTTTCCAGTATGGTTGTATTTGGTTACATGTCTACCATATGTGGTACATGCTGCCTTCCTCCATCCCGCACCTCCAGCACAGTTTTGACGTATGTGGATACATGGTTGCTAGTCTCGTCGGCACCATGTACCACCTGTACTGCAGTTTCCTCATGAGCTCTGTGTGCTGCGCATCTAGATCTCCCTTTGTGGGCGATAAAGGCTTTTTGCCATTGGCTGTCAGTGAATTGTTTATGTAGGTCTTCATGCCAATGCTCCTTGAATTTGTCTTTCGGTGGTGTTTTAGGGTTGTCGTTTAGTGTGGCGTAGAGTAGAGAGAGTGTCTGTCTTTTTTGGTATGTTGCCCGTGGTGCATATGTGATATAATTGTTTTAAGGGTGTGGGTGTTTTTGTTGTGGTCTCATTCTCCAGAAGTGCTTTTATTTGGAGGTATGTGAACAGAGTGGCATTTGGCAAGTGGTATTTGTGTTTCAGAGTGGGATATGGTTCTAGTTTACCTTCCTTGTAAAGGTGTTCTATTCGTGTGCACCCTCGTTGGGTCCAGGGGCGGTGGTCTAAAGTGGGATTTGCGATGTGCAGGCTCTGTATCGGGGTCGCCATCACCCAGCTTTTGGTTTGCCCTAGGAGTTTTGTCTTCAAGTCCCATGTGTCTAGGAGTAAGGAGGTAGTTGGTAGTATATCTTTGTGTTTGGGTCTCAACTTGTGGGGTACCCAGAATATGTATTTTATGCCCCCTGAGTATATCCCTGCAGCCTCCATCTCTGCCCATTGAGGCTTGTTTCCCCCTGTGTGTAGAGTGAGACTAGTGGACAGGAGGGCGGCTTCATAATACAGATGGACGGCTGGCAGGCCCAGTACCAACTTCTTTTTAATATATGCTCCTGAGATTGTATTAAAGCATCTCTGTCACCAAAGAAGATTGAGTATTACATAAATGTATAACATTTATGAAATACTCCTATTGCTTTTGTTGGAATTTCAGTGCACGTCCAAGGCAATCAAAATAATTCATAAGACAAAGTTTGGAACTGTTTTGTCTTATGGACAAGCCTAAGGTTGGCAAACTTTGACAAAAGACTGAGGTTCCTCCATCAAGTTTTATCAATTCCTGTAGCCACCGCTATGCATTCTCTCGCTCATTGGGAAGTTGTTCTATGGAAGATGTCATTGTATCTCCCATAGATCTGCATGTACTTAGAGCAGTAATGAGGGATTTCTTGGTGCATGAAGTGCCAGGAGCTTAAAAAAGACGTGGCAATCCGAAAGGGAGAGCTTCCGCTAAGAATTCCTCACCTTTGTTTTAAACTGCTGAAAATAAATAATCCTGATCATTTGAAAAGTGTGCTGGTCTGGACCACGATCACTGCAAATGTGCAGCAAATGCACAATATACAAAAAAAATTTGTATCTTCCTAATTCTGTTATTTGTATAAAATAAGGGTTCACCCTCTTTCTGAAATTGCCCTTCAACTTTTAATTTTAATGTGGCACTGGGTTTCATAAAAATATAAAGTTTATAAAACACTAATAATAACTGCAGTGTATTTCCAACACAATTAAAAGATACAGAACAAAGGAACTACTTTGTCTTATGGATAATACTGAGATTGACAACAGTTAACAAAAAGCAGGACTTCCACTGTTAATTTTTATTTCCATGCATTGGCATCAAGTAATGACTTTAAAGCACTGAGTGAGAATTGCTGTGTGTGGAGGATCTCTATTTGTATTTGCAAAGCTCATGATAGATGAAGCACCAGGTACTTGTAGACAGATCCTGGGAAGATGGTGGGACCCAGATGAGAGAGCTTTAAGTTAGCTTCTCACCATGACCTTGACAGTACAAGTGGGCATGTACCTTGGTACTTTGGTCCCTTCAGGATTATTCTTTACATGCACAAACTGTAACGAAGTCTTTAATTTTTATCTTTTTAATGCTGGTTTATTCCTTTTTTCATGTGACTTTTAAATTCTGATTTAAAACCGAAAACCCTGTTTTGATGCCATGTTTATGTTTGCAGGTAGTTGTTGTGCAAGCTATTAGTGCCTTATGTCAGAAGTACCCACGCAAGCACACCGTGATGATGACCTTCCTTTCCAACATGCTCAGGGATGACGTAAGTGTTTACACTTTATTTTATAAAACTATTTTGTTTTCGGAAAAAAGTGCCATTTGAATAACAATTTAATTACTTCAGAGTGCAGTGTGCTACTGAGCTATCCTACACTGACAGGGTTAATCTGACAAGTTTAAGCAACATGTTGATTTTATTACTTTGCCCTGCTTGAGACCATTTTTCTGTAGAATTATCCAGATGTAGTATAACTCTGATTTAACGTGTAAACTTGAAATTGTGTAACTCTTATTTTTATTTTTGTATATGTATGTATCAAAATACCTACTGGGCATTGCAAGTGAAAATTCAGCCCTAGTGAGTAGAAATTAACCACCTCTAGGCTTGCATTCGCCAGTAACATTTATGGCATGTCCAATAGTAAAATTAAGTCCCTCTCTCACTCTCTGTCATATCAGGGGTTTTCATTTTATAAGTTGTCTTGTAAGAGAATCTGGTGGACCTTTGTCTTTGTTATGACAAATCTTTAAAGGCATATTCTGAAATGTTATGGGTGTGTGCATGCTGTTTGAGTATAAATGCATATCTTTTAAATCAATTATTGCATATTATTGGTACGGAAAGTGTTAATTCTGTAAATTATTCTAATGCAAAAACTCAAAACAAAACTGGATTATTTTGTATGAAATGTTTTTATTTGTAGTTTATGATTAGTCTGTGCTGTCCCTTCAGGGTGGTTTTGAATACAAACGTGCAATTGTGGACTGCATTATCAGCATTATCGAGGAAAATCCAGACAGCAAAGAGTCTGGTTTGGCCCATTTGTGTGAATTTATTGAGGATTGCGAGCACACTGTACTAGCCACAAAGATATTACATTTGTTGGGTAAAGAAGGACCACGAACACCCACCCCTTCTAAATACATCCGCTTCATCTTCAACAGAGTAGTACTGGAAAATGAAGCAGTACGAGCAGGTAAGCGTAAAGATGAATAATTTAGTGCAAATTTAAACAGACCTTATGGCGGTACTTCCGCACTTGTAATGGCTTCCAGAGGATAGAAGTATTTTTGATAACCTTTTACTTCTGTCTTGTTTCTTTTCTTCTCCAACAAAGCAATTGTTAACTTTAAACATTTACATTCTTGACTATAGGGACAGTAATAGTACTTTCAAATCAAGAAGAACTCCTGGAAATGTGAAATATTAATTATTGTTTTCTGTAACATTGTCTGTTTTGATACAGTATATATAAACTTTTGTTCACCTTTTATTTGTGTAAGGAATAGCTCACATGCTTTTATACACCCACAACCCCAATGACAAAGTATAGCAAAAGGCACAAGTTCATAAATTCTCAGTAAACATATTGAAGTGCTTACAATGAGAGAGAGTACGAACAGTGGAGATGAATATGAGATACATTTATGTTCGCAGTAATTCTAGATGTGGTCAGCAGCATCATCCTATGATGTTCTAGGTGTGAACCTACACACTAGCACATCTGCATTTGTGCTTAGTGTTATGGAGGTTACATTCCTTTACATTTCATGCACTGTATGTGCCAGCATTGCCTGATTTACTATGAAAGTAAATAAATGAAATCAGTTTCAATTTGCTTATTTTTGGTGGCAAAATGTCCAATATCTGTCATCAGTTATAGACTTTGTTTCTAATTATCTCTTCGACCAATCAAGGTGCAATTTGTGGGAGCTTCCCCCCCATTTTCCTCAGTTCATTATTCTGTCTTTTCCCCTCTGGGAAGAAGTAAACTTAAATAGAGGTGGTGACAACAACAACAACAAAAAATCACTTGTCTTTCGTGGTCCCTGCATTTGAGATTGCCAACTTATTGATGAGAACAGTCAATGCATTGTTAAAGCAGAAAGTTGGCCTGATTTGCAAAATAAGAATGTTTGTGATATACTCACAACTATAACTTTGCACTTTGCTCTGTAATTTTCAATCCATTCTCAAAAATAGTTGCACAAATCTGAAAAGGTGTGTTAGTACCTTGTATACAAAGAACTGGCGAGAACCAGGTGACTGTGAGTCTGACTTGTTGTTGAAACTATATCAAACATTGATCAGCAGTTTGAGTGGCTGAAAGATCAAGACTCAAACCCATATGATTCATATTATATTAAGAATAATAATCTTTTGTTATGGATACTTTTTTTCTGCCAAAAGTTCAGATTGAACTTTAAATGTTAAGTTATGTTATTTATCTATTGCAGCCGCTGTTAGTGCTTTGGCAAAGTTTGGTGCCCAAAATGAATGCCTCCTCCCCAGCGTTTTGGTTCTACTTCAGAGGTAATAACTGCATTATAAAAGAAAGTTGCCTTTTATTTTGTTTTTTAAGTAAACAATTTCACATTTGAAGTCAAAATAAACCGCTAAACTGAAAATGTAGCTGACTATATGATTTCTTTTTTTAGCTTATCTATTTTGGCCTAAAATGTAAAATGGCTAGAGATATGAGGGCTCAAAAAAAAAAACCTAGGGGAAAAAAAAAAGTTATTTTTCTAAAGCCATTTTTAGCAAAACATAGCTAAGAGAATTTTTCCATGTTGGCTATTCATATTGGTTATTTTAACCTTAAATTTGCAATCCACTTTAAATTCTCAGATTAGTAAATAACCCTGGTAGTGTTTACTTGTATCTGACCACAAGATTGTTTTTTTTTTTTCCCCCTTCTTTCAGTAAAATGGTGAGACCGACATTGAGCATTTGGAAACATTTGCAAATAACATCAAAATAATTTGTTTTTCCAAATGCTACCAGGATGACAAAACACATCCTTGCATGCCAGGTGTGTCCTAAAGGCATTAAAAATACTTAATGGAATTAAATCAGACCAACATAGGTATTTAAAAAATATACTCCTGAACTAAAGGGGAACTAAACTCGACTGAATGCATTATACTCATAGGAAAAGTGGCGTCTTAAATGTATCCTTATTGCAAATTCTTACTTGAAGTTCAGTAGAGATGTAAGTTAAAGTCAAAACTATATTCTGAATGTGATAAGAGTTTTGACCAGTGCTGACATATGCATTCACTGCCTTTTGAGCTTTACTTCTAGGGACCTAATGTGATCTACAGCCCTGTGTTACTGACATAAAACCAAAGTGCAATCTTACATAATTCTTCACTCTACTAACGTTTTCACTGGCAGGTGCATGATGGACAGTGACGATGAAGTGCGAGACAGAGCAACATTTTACTTCAACGTATTGAAACAGAAACAGTTAACGCTGAATGCTGCCTATATTTTCAATGGTGAGTATAACAATGGAAAACCTGCAACTAATGTAAGTGACATCTCATAACCTTGTATTGATAAAGTGGAATAGTACTGCATGTATTTCCTTTTTCATGAGCTTATTTTTGATGGCAGACACTTTTATACCCTGAGAGCTGACAACCCTCACTGATAGACTTAAGAGTTGAAATTGACCATTCATAATTGAGGTTGACTGGACTTATCAATATCATACTGAAAATGTTTCCTGCATGGTTGCATTTGATTAAATATTGCTTTGCATGCTGCATTCAGTTTTTGTGTGCCAGCAAAAGAAAGTGATCATCTCACATAGTTACAAAGGTTTATAAGAGACGTGCTGTTGATCCAAAAGAAGGCAAAAAGCCCAGGATGAGGCACTTTTCCATTTTGCAACAAACTAGGAAAAAATTTCTTCTTGACCCCAAATGACAGTCTGATCACTCAGTTCAAGAAGCTATTACCCTGTAAATTTAAATTCGTATCCCTGAATATTATGCTTTTGCAAGTATTCATTCAGTTGCTGTTTAAATTTTTTGTACACACTCTGATAAAACCAGAGAGTTCTACATCCTTATTGTTCTTACTATAAAAAAAATTTTCTTTGCCTTAGACTAAATCTCTTCCAGTCTAAATGCATGACCTTGTGTTCTATGTATAGTCCTGTTTAAAAATCATAAAGCCTCCATTCCTTTTCTTTTTGTAACTTGCCTCTGATTTTTTTTTTTTTTTTTCTAGTACCATAATATATATAAAGAACAGTTAACCAAAAATGCACAGATAATTCATGGTGTGCTCTTACCATTAATTTAAGAGGCAAAATTACATTTATTATTAATGCCCCTTTTTGACAATACCGTACTGGCCTTATCAACTGTTCATTGGCATTACACATTGTTGCCTAGTTTACTGTTGATAACCATTCCCAAATCCTTCTCGTGTGTTGTTATCCCTAATTCACTACAATATAGGGCATAAGTTGCTTATGCATTCTTTACTCCAACTTTGCATTTGTCTACATTAAATTGAATCTGCCATTTGAGTGCCCAGTCCCCAAATCTATCTAAATAGAAGCAGTCCCAGAACAGAACCTGTCGGGCATAACTTAAAACATTTGTCCAGACCACAGTGACTTATCATTTTGCTTACCCAATAACACTCTCATGCTTATTTAATTTTCTTTTTACTACTGCATAGCTTAAGGCATACACGCAACTAAACCGCCTAGGCGGTTATGGTCGCCTCTCACACGCAGCCTGGTGGCGCCGGCGCTAGTTCGCCTGGCGAAGTACACATATATACCTGTCTCAAAGAATGCGTATACCTAAGTCTTCAGCATAAACAATACTGCCGTTAGAGAGTAGAGCCTTAGAATTTATATTGTAAACGTCTTAATGTCTAGCAAGTTACGAAACTAAATGCATATGTATTTGGTTAGATCCCTTACGCCAGCTTCTGATCTGACTGCTAGAAACTAAACTTGTCTGGATAACGTAAACAATGCTATAACTAACTATGCTTGCCTGTAATACACCATTATGCTATAAAATTGTGCTTGTAACTCATGGGTCCCGCATGTTTAGCAAGGGGGAAAAAAGCCTGAGGACTGCTTTCGGGGTACCCCAGGCCAGCTTGTAACGTTTATATGCACTGCAAAAAAAAGAAATGTACCATTAAAGGACCACTCTAGGCACCCAGACCACTTTAGCTTAATGAAGTGGTCTGGGTGCCAGGTCCCTCTAGGATTAACCCCTTTTTTTTTTTTTTTTAAATAAACATAGCAGTTTCAGAGAAATAAATGGGTTAATCCAGCCTCCAAATCCTCTAGTGGCTGTCTCATTGACAGCCGCTAGAGGCGCTTGCGTGCTTCTCACAGTGAGAACACGCAAGCATCCATAGGAAAGCATGCGCATTCAGCCGAAGAGGAGGATCGGAGAGGAGGAGTAGAGCTCCCCGCCCGGCGCTGGAATAAACGTAAGTTTAACTCCTTTCCTCGCCATCCAGCCCGGTGGGAGGGGGTCCGTGAGGGTGGGGGCACCCTCAGGGCACTTTAGTGCCAGGAAAACGAGTATGTTTTCCTGGTACTATAGTGGTCCTATAATGGCAACTCTCTGTATTCTTCAATCCAATGTTCTACAGAAAAATAAGAATTTTCATTTAGACCAATTTCTTTTAGTTTGAACACTAAAATAGTTCCACACAACAGTTTGAACACCTTGGGTGTGCAAAAATTCATACCATTAAAATGTGATATTCCACAAAGCTTTGTGAAAAAGTGTCTCCAAATATTTTCATGCAAATCAATTTTCCAAAGTGCACAATTGACAACAATATTCTCAATATTAACTACGTAGCATTAATAGATTTAGTTAAAACATCAATTCATACTGAAATCACCACAGAGATGTAAAAGTGATTTTCATAAAAGCACAAACAGATGAAATATACTTGCACAATATCCTTATGTAGAATCAAAAGGATCTAAGGATAAAAAAAACACCCTAGTGCAACATTGTAAAATAAAGCAAACAGAAACGTAAAATCCAAATGGTTAAACTCACAAATTAAACTCATCCAAGATTGCCAGCTGTACTGACTCACCCACAGCCGAAAATATCTTACTTCTAATCTTTCTTCAATTCCACAAATTTTAAAAGCCATATAAGCAGCTCAACATCTGTTTATGCTTTTATGAAAATCTGTGCCTTTTACACCTTTATGGTGATTTCAGTATAAATTGATCCTAATAGATTAAAAGGAGAGGTTCTCTTATTTCCACACTTTGCTCCTTAAGTACTTGTAGGTGACCGTCAGGCCCAAAAAGCTTTGTTTACCTTAACTTTCTTTAGTTACTTCTGCACATTGTCTTGAGATATACAATCACAATCTTTATGCAGCAAGCATTTGCATATCTCTTGCCATAGGCTCCTCCTTAATATATACTGAGGGGAAGAAAAAAAATTGTGTTTTTTTTTTTTGTTTTTTGTTTTAATTTTTTTTCCCTGGTCTTCATTAACTAACACACCCATCTCTGTTTTCAATGTACTTACACTTTAATTTTTTTATAATTGTGTACTTAAAAAAAATTCAAATAATAAAACATTTATGGTTGGTTTTGTTCTATCTGACTATCACTTTCTTATTTTCTAGTTTAGCCCATCTAATCATTTTTTGCATGCATTATTGGCTTCCTTAAAATTTATAGAGGACGCCTCTTATTTTGTCTGATTTTAAATGCTTTAATTGCCTTTTTCTTATTTTTAATTTCTTGGTTTACCTTTCCACTAAACTATTTTGTTATATAGGCTCCTTGCATTAATAAGCAGGCATTTAGTATAATCACGAATCTCTTGTACTTTATGTAAAAGTTTATTACTGTTATATCTTTTCTGTTCTTATCTTGCCCCTACCCCATCTCCATCACCCCCTTGTGCTGAGCTAAAGCCCATCTCTTTTCTGTCTTATCTACCTCTATTTTGTAGCTTTCTATGTCCCTTCCCCCACCATTGGTTTAAAATCTCCTCCAACATTCTAGCCATACTGTCCTCATATCTGCAACATTCCAGACCTGGGAATCCACAAACTGTCCATTTGAGACGATTACCCTATAAACTTTCTTAATAAAAGAGTCCCCTACCATGACAACCTTTCTAGCCTTTCTTACATTCTCAGCCCGACATGTACTCGAGGGGCTGTTCCTTTGGATGTTAGAAGGAGCATCTTTCTCCAGTACAGCTACTCCTGAGCTATTGCTCCCAACATCTTCACTCAAACAGGCAAATGTGTTAGATTGCACAAAGTCACAACCATCTAAACCTTTCCTTCCCCCACTAACATATGAAACTGTTAACCAGCTGTCTTATCTCCTCCCTCTCCACTAGAGGGCCCCACTAAACTGACAATTTTGAACGGGGACTGCTACTCACTTAGCAATCTGTCTCAATGTAGCAATTCACTTCTCCAGATCTCCAATGTAAGCTTTCATAGGAGCCACTCGCTCACTACTGCCACAGAGGTATGGACCCTGGATGGATTGATGCATACATGTAGCAAGATGTGCTCTGTCAAATCTTGTCAGCACCCATTTCTAGTTGCCAAAAACAAGTATGCAGGACAGTAATTGTTGGATTAAACCCTTGTTTTGAACGCTTTCTTAAAAGAAACTACTTTTAAGCCACTACAAGTGAGTTTATTAATTTCAGTTCTTAAAAAAAAAAAGACAAAGTATAGTAGCACTATTTTCTGTGACCTATAAATAAGTTCAACGCAATGACCTATTTAGGTAGAAATTCCGTTTTATGTTTTGTGACATATATATAACACTATAATTCGGCAAGTTCAAATTATGATACACTACTTATTTTTTTCCAGGGTTGACAGTCTCTGTGCTTGGAATGGAGAAAGCTTTGCACCAGTACACTCTGGAACCTTCAGATAAACCATTTGACATGAAGAGTGTTCCTTTAGCCACTGTTCCCTTTATGGAACAAAAAACAGGTGTGTGTGTGTGTGTGTATGTGTGTGTGTGTGTGTGTGTGTGTGTATATATATATATATATATATATATATATATATATATATATATATATATATATTGCTTCTTTAGTGGGGAAAAAAGAAGGTTGTGCTGTTGGATCACTGCCAGGTTTTATCTATACTTGTGTGTTTGTTTAACTTAATCTAAATATATAATACGTGCATGGCACGTATAACCCTCTGTGCTTTCATGCAGTGCAGGACGTAGCATCCATTGACTGAATTGATGGTCATGCAGTAAAGGTACCAGCAGGGGTTAAATCTTTTGATACCTGAGGGTCCCTTCTAGGTGCAGTGCTCTAAGTGAACATTGCACAGATCCCTTTAAATACCACAGTTGAGTAATCTTGTTCAGCCGTGGTATTTCTAGCAACACCAGCCTGCAGAATAAAAAATAAAAAAAGGGAACCCCAGATCTCTTTCGCTACGAAGGGGTCCTCACTGTCAGTTGGGGCCACAGACTTGCAGGAGAGCTCTGAGCAGCGAGTACTGCTCATAGTCCTTTAAACTGATTTAAATACAGCGCTTGCGGTATTGCGGTAACATTTAAATTTACTTCCCACCAACCTAGTTTGTCATTGTTTACTCCGTAGTGTCAGGGAAGCCCACAGGGTATGAAAATATCCTGGTAACTTCTCCCTGGTTTTGCAGGAATGGTGCTGATCTCTGCCAGCTGCCCAGCACCAATCTCTTTATAAGAAGCTGCAGGGAATCCCCTGAGAGGTGGGATTAGGACTAAAATTATAGGATTAGAGGTTGGATTATTGTTTAGATTAGGTGTAGGAAAAGGGGCTAGATAATGGGTTACATTATGAGTAGGATTATAGGTTGGATTAGGGACAATATTAGTGGTAGGATTAGGAGCAAGGTTAGGTGGGAGGTATTCATGTGGGATATCACTGTACTCGAGAACAATAGCAGAATACAAATATGGGGTGTTTTGGTTGTGGGACACGTGATCTGTGAATTTTCCCCAAATAAAACATGCTTGGGAAAAAATGTTTCAATGAAAAGTGTCAAAATGCTCTTGGTTACATATCACAGGGCTATGTACCTTCTGCATATATTTACTTTTGTGTAGTTATTTTGGGCTCTGTGACTACTATTAAATTTGTAATCCCTGCATGCCAAATTTTCCAAAGTTTTAGCTTTAAAACTAGAATTCACTCCTTGCAGTAATTGTTTTAGAACGTCTATAAAAAAAAATATATATTGGTCATTTTAACCAGCCTAACTAATTGGTTAATCTATTTCAAGTTTTTTTATTAGCATTTGGTGTGTATAAATTAAATGTAAAACAGAGGGAAAATGTAATTTATCCCTATTTACTATTGTGTTATGTATACTTTTAGAGTATCTAAAGAAAGCCATATTTCCCATTTAAAAACAAACATATATAATGTATATGGTGCACTTAAACAGAAAGGTGGACATTGTAGATCGTGTGTGTGTGTGTGTATATTATTATAATCGCACACGTGAAATCAGACAGCAAAGGAGCACAGATGCATTCAAAAACAATTCTGTCCATCTGGCCTTTTAGCAATTTCTTGTCATTTACTTTAATATTTTGATATACTAGCTGTGAGAAGAACATGATAGTCACAAATCCTGTATTACATACGATGGTATAACTTCTCTTAAATGTGATGAGCTTTACTTTAATAGTCTACTTATGTGTACTAATACTTTTGGGAATCTCTGTTTCATTTTCTGTCAGACCTTGCTTCTATGGCTAACAAGCAGCCTGAAAAAGTTTTGCCTGCCCGACAAGACATCTTTCAAGGTGAGAGTTATGTTTCTGGAAATTGAAAAATCCTCTGGCCAAATTCATTTATTTATTATATAATAGAATATTAACTTTGGATAACTTTCTCCCTTCAACTACACATTGGACTAGTTCCTCTAATTTTCTCGGCAAGAAAGTACTTGCTGGTGGAAATTATAGATCAGTCATTTACTTGGGAAACACAATTTCACAAACCCAAGTTGCAAGTTAATGTTCGGTTCAGTAAATACATTTTTCCTTTACTAGTTTGGTTGTAGAGTTACTTAAATTTTAGGATCCTTTTTGTGCTGCCTGGTCCACATTCCAATAAGCTCCTCATCATTCTGTTTGTGTAGAATTTATTCGTACAATAAGTAATTCCTCTGATGAATCTGAATTATATTTACCTTCAGCAGCTATCATCTAATTTTGAATCCCAACTTCTATCCATCCCTACTTTCTCCTGTCCCTCATTGGCTATCTCCTCATATAACACTACCCTCACCTCTTCCCTGGACGCTGCATCCCTGCTCCAAACATGCACCTTGAAGAGAGCATGCCCCCAACCGTGGAAATCTAAATCAACACACTACCTGCAGAGATGTTCCCGTTCTGCTGAAGGCTACTGGGGGAAGTCACGCACCCAGTCGGACTTCCTCCACTACAAATTCATGTTGCGTTCATACTTTTCCTCCTTCATTAGCTCATGCTCCCGCAATCCCAGGCGTCTTTTTAATAATGGTGTTGTAGAGACATTCTCAGGCACTGGGTGTAGTGGTATTATGGAGACAGGCTTGCAGACTATGGTGAGGCCTCATAGAAAGCAGCTGCTATTGGGGGATTCTATCATAAGAGGTGTGGAGCTGAACAATGGTGGTCTTGTGAGATGTCTTCCCGGAGCTAATGCTCACAGATACAGGTGACATATTTGTAATATTGTTAAGTGAGCAAAGCAGGAAGGGGTATTGGATGTACTTGTCCATCTAGGGACACATGACTTGACTTGCAATGAGGTTTCAGAGGTAAATTAAGCTTTTTGTGTTTTTTGCCAATGATATACGGCAGGTTGCTTCCACACTGTCATTCTCTGAAGTTTTGCCTGTGCATAACATTCAGAACGACAGGTGGATGCGTATTAGGGACTTTAACTTGTGGCTTGGTGAATGGTGTCGGGAGCAAGGACTTGGTTTTATTTCTCATGGTAGCTCTGTTTGGAATGGAAATAAACTGTACAAAAAAGGTTGTTTGCATCTTTCTCAAAAGAGAACAAATGTTCTCAGTGAGCAGTTTAGAGGTTTTGCTAGGATGTATTTAAACTAAGAGAGGGGGTGGGGAAAAAAGGTGATAAAACAATCAAATTGCCCCCCAAAACAAGGACAGAAGGTGCCTGTAGGAAATGTGTTAAAAAATGATAAGCTTAGAGTCATGTCTGTTAGATAATCTACTAGTTGAAGAAATAGCTAAAATGACAATGAAGGGAGGTATCATCTTGCGTGACTTTAATCTTCCTGATTTGAACTGGAAAACCAAAATAGCTGCTTGTGCCAGGAGCACAGTTATTCTAAACTCCCTACTGGGATTGTCTCTAAAACAAGTCGTCGAGGAGCCAACTCGTAAAAAGGCCATACTAGATTTAGTAAAAACCAAAGAAAGAAAAATATACCTATGTATATTTAAACAAATGGAGGTCATTTAGTTACTCCAATGGCCAACGTCAATGTAGACCCTCCTAAGCGGGTCCTACACTAACCCTTCACCTTGCTTCCTTGAGCTTCTGGCAAAGATATCTCTAATAAGACAGAGAGGGGTATTTTTTATATACACTCCTATATACTTAACACATGGGAGAAATGGGATTATTTAAAAGTTGCACTGCTGAAGGCAACAGAAAATTGCACTAGGCTTGTCAGTTAAAGCAAAAAAATAAAATAAAAAAAATTCAAGAAACCACTGTGGTACTCCACATATGTTGCCAAAATAGTAAAAAAACAAAAAAGTTGGCATTTAATAATTATAAAAAAACCTAGACAGATCTATAAGATTAGGCAGAAAGAGGCTAAGCAAGTTATAAGAGCTTCCAAATCACACACCCAAGAGAAAACAGCAGTCAGTAAAAAAAAGGGGGAGGGGGGACAAAACATTTTTAGATACATAAATGAGAAAAGAAAAGTAAAACAAGGATTAGATTGATTAAAAACAAAAGGAAGGTATGTAGAAGAGGATAAAGGTGTAGCTGACTGCCTCAATTAATATTTTTGTTCAGTATTTACAGATGAAAATGAAGGAAAGGGGCATTTGTTACATGTAGTAATACTGAGAATTCACAACGGTTTTCACTACACTTTCTTGTTTGCAGCCATATTAATTGTGTATTCTTTCAATATCGTGTAAAATATAAACTAGAGCATTGTCTTTGTTTTTTATCTTTTACAGAACAACTGTCTGCCATTCCTGAATTCAGGAGTTTGGGGCCCTTATTCAAATCCTCTGAACCTGTGCAGCTTACAGAAGCTGAGACAGAGTATTTTGTGCGGTGCATTAAGCATGTGTTTACAGAACATATTGTTTTTCAGGTAGGTAATATCATTCTCAGTTATGACATAATCATATAACATTAAAACTTAATTTTTTGTTTCACAGTTCATTGATCCATCCTCAGAGCTACACAATCCTAATACACTGACCCTTAATCACCTTTGAGCAAACAGAGTTCTGCTTTCTAAACGTTTTCAACTTCACTTACACAGTTTGTTTTGCAACCATCACACTTGTGTTATGCTTTATTACACCAGTCCTTTGTCTTTTATCTAGTCACTCATCATGGTCAATTGCATGTCATTGATTTTAGCCTTAAAGCGACACTCAACTGCCCAGATGCAATAAAAACAAAAAAACAGTAAATTAATAAAATCACTACTTTGTAAATGTACTCCAATGAAAACATGCAAAAATCTAATCATGCTTTTTTTTCCCCCATCGGTAGAGTTATCTAAAAACACCTTGCAATAGCTGCAAATCTCTTGTCTGCAGCCTTTGCAAGCCCAGACTTTCTGTAACTGCTCAATCACAGATATCCCAATGCATTCATTGATAAGTCTTTGCAAGGTGCTATGTGTCATGGCAAGGGTGCATAACTTATTATTGCACTATGGAATATTGTCCTTTAATGTAATTTGTGTAGTGCATAGATGACCTGCCTGCTTGGTAGAGGTGATATTGTCAATGTCAAAAGTGGTTAATTTGATTGTATGGAAGTGTGTATGTATATGTGTATGTGTGTGTGTGTGTGTGTGTGTGTGTGTATATATATATATATATATATATATATATATATATATATATGCATACACTGTCTAGGTGTATTTTACTATTTATATATATATATATATATATTTATAATATAAAAAATTAAATATGTAAATACGTAAAAAAAAAAATAATTAAAACATATATAGATGTGTGTTATTTCGTTCTAACTGTACATGGGGGTACTGTTCTACTCGGGAGACTTCGCTGAACACAAATATTATGATGATAACGATGATATCGCCAGTAAAAGTATCACACAAACAGCACTTACATGGACAATATTATTGCTGTGATACTTTTTACTGTTTTGAAACACAAATATTTGTGTTCAGCGAAGTCTCCCGAGTACAAGAGTACCCCTCATGTACAGGTTTTATGGTGTTTTCAAAAGTTACAGCGTCAAATATAAGGCTTGTGTTTCATTTTTTTCACATTAAAATTCGCCAGATTGGTTACGTTGCCTTTGAGACCCTATGGTAGCCAAAGAATGAAAATTCCCCTAGGATGGCATACCATTTGCAATAGTAGACAACCCAAGGTATTGCAAACGGGGTATGTCCAGTCTTTTTTAGTAGCCACTTAGTCACAAACACTGGCCAAAATTGGCGTTTTTTGCATTTTTCACACACAAACAAATACTAACGCTAACTTTGGCCAGTGTTTGTGACCAAATGGCTACTAAAAAAGACTGGACATACCCCATTTGCAATACCTTGGGTTGTCTACTATTGCAAATGATATGCCATTATGGGTGTAAATTTCATTCCTGGGCTACTATAAAGTCCCAAATGCAACGTAACCAATCTGGCGAATTTAAATTTCAAATGTAACGTGCTATATTTGACCCTGTAACTTCCCAAAACGCCATAAAACCTGTACATAGTGGGTACTCCCATTTTTTTCATATTAAATTATGTTTCATAGCTAAATATTTGATATTAAATGAAAGCCCTGTTTCCCCTGAATAAAATGATATATAATAAAAGGGTGGGTGCATTTAATATGAAAGAGGTGAATTACGGTTGGACAGACATGTAGCGCAAATGCCAGGTTTTGTTTACATTTTGTTACGTTCACAACGTGTACATTTGGCTCCGTCCTTAACCCCTTAAGGACACAACTTCTGGAATAAAAGGGAATCATGACGGAATGTTTCCGTCGTGTGTCTTTAAGGGGTTAAGGGGTTAATATCTTATGTCAACTGAATATTGTTACTTCCTAAAATAGTACTAATATATTATGTGCATAGAAATTTACTGTTTTGGTTAATATTTACAGATGTATGCTTTTACTTTTGTACAGTTTGACTGCACCAACACATTAAATGATCAGTTACTTGAAAAGGTAACTGTGCAGCTGGAGCCTTCAGAAGCCTTTGAAGTAACTCATTATGTACCAGCACAGAGCCTTCCCTACAACCAGCCTGGAATGTGTTACACTCTAGTCAAGCTTCCCGAAGATGAGCCTACGTCAGGTGAACATTTATATTCTCACCTGGATTGGCATCAAACATGCCTCTAAATTATTTTGTCCTTTTTCCACTTTTGTTGGACCTCTGTAGAGATTAACGTTTAAGTCCTTAGATATTAGTGTTGAAGATGAGCATCACTGCACATAGAGGGAGTTTGTAACATTGAGAATAGGTGCGAAGGCTACTTTATAAATACCATTTGTCAATTTATTTGCTACTTCTAACGATCAGTTATTTATATAATGACTTCTGAAATCTGTACAAACGACATGATAATGTATCTAAGAAATGAATCCAACTTGTCTTCTTTTGTCAGTGTCCTGCACCTTTAACTGTACAATGAAGTTTGTTGTCAAAGACTGTGATCCACAAACCGGTATACCAGTTGATGAAGGTTACAGTGATGAATATGTGGTACGTATTATTTTTTCAAAGTAAAAACTGTTCATCCCTTTTGCTTCCATGGCCGAGAACATATTATAATAAAAGGAATATATTTCACTATTTTATTTTGAAAATGTTAACACACTACTTCAACAGTGTCAAGAATATTCTTAAGAAAAATAGGACTGTTTTTAAGGCTTAACATAGCTCTCAGGTTTAGACAAATCATCATCTGAATCTTGAGTGTTATGAAAACATTAGAATAACTGATATTCTCATGTCTGTGTCAGCTGGAAGACTTGGAGGTGGGGCTTTCAGATCACATTCAAAAGGTCTTGAAACCAAACTTTGGTGCTGCTTGGGAAGAAGTGGGCGATATATATGAAAAAGAAGAAACCTTTGCTCTCAGTACAACAAAAACATTGGAAGGTAACTGTATTTGTTTAATAAAAACAGCTAAATGTATTTTTTTTTCTGGGGTACAGTCACATTTTATATAATATGTCAGTATTGCATGTCTTTTGTCAAAATTCAGATTCAGCAGGTGTTTTACTTTATGATCTTATTGAGATGATCTTAATAGCAAGAACCTGGAAGCCCTGTTAGGGCCATAGTTGGATGAGACTGTCAACCCTGTAGGCAGTAATAAAGTATATAAACAAAATACTTTCTATTAAATGTTCTGTAAGACAAATATGTGAATGTTTGGCATTGACAGTAAGTATAAAGCAGAGCGAGAATAAGGTTTCAGGCATACAGCAGTGGGAGTGGCCAACGTCTTTGCCCTTTGTCTCTTTTTTTTTTTTTTCTATTTATACATATCCTAAGAGATAATCATGTGACCAAATGGTGCAATTGGTGACTGCCACTTCTTAGTCTGCAAGGGTGTCACCATATCTGAGGATTGAGGGTTCTAGAAATGAAGTGCACTGGAATTCATACCTCATTATGATGTATGCTGCTTTATAATTTCCTTCATTACTGCTTTTGTTTTTTAGATATTAAGACTCTTTTAGTAAATACAACATATGACAAATTGAAGAGGTGGGCATGATGAGTAGAGGAGGGAAAACTGAATATATTTATGAGAAATGTATAAACCACATCCCATTGTTGAGACATGTTGATATGCTACAGTACAGATTAAAACAACCAGGAGAGAAACGATTAAAAGATGTATAGTAATTCTGTTTTCATGCAATTTTTCAACTGTATTTAACAACCAGAAGTGACTTTTTAAAAACTATTTTTACATTGCGCACTACATATTAATTTGAGATTTTTGTTCAATAAAATAATTTTTTCTCATATTAATAAAGATTCAAAGCTGCATGTGATGGTTATAAAGTAGTTTTATCCTATAATGAGAATATCAATCTGTCTCATTCTAAAAATCTTGTTGTTCGAGACCAAACTCTGATTTAGCATTAGCAGCCATGTACAGAACTGCTGATGGTAAATCTATAATTACAAGATTGTTATTATGGGTTGTTATTGGTTCTTTAGGGATTACTTATATATTTATGCTTTATGCGATCATCCATTCTAGAGAATATGACTACAATTTCAATTCATTAGTTCATAATGACAGCCATTTAAAGGTACACTATAGTGTTAGGAATAGTTGGGAGGCCGTAGCACATGCACAGCAAAATGCTGCACATATCAGAATCTCCTCATAGAGATGCATTGAATCAAATCATCTCTATGGGGATAGTTCATCTCCATGCAGAGTGTGGAGAGGCTGAATGCTTTTGCTGCACACAATGCAGCAGGGAAATAGGAATCGCCTCTAGTTGGTGCATGAGTGACAACACCTGAAATGTTACTAGGCAGCAATGTAAACGCTGCCTTTTCCCTGAAAAGGCAGCGTTTACATTGCTGAGCCTGCAGGGACATGCTGTAGACACCAGAACCATTACATTAAGCTGTAGTGGCTCGGACTATAATATCTCTATAATTAGATTACTTGTTCTTTTCCCCACAAATATACCCCAAAACATTATTAACAATAAGTAGCAGAACAATTTGTCTCCTTAAAATGAATGATAAAATTAAATTACAGATGATATGAATACAGCTCTGTGTTGCATGTTTAGAACTGTATTTTGTTTTATTTTTGTTTAATGTTATAATTTCAGAGGCTGTTACCAACATCATTAAGTTCTTGGGAATGCAGCCATGTGAGAGGTCTGACAAGGTGCCTGAGAACAAAAACTCACATGTACTTTATTTGTCAGGTGAGTGAAAATTGTGCACCTCTAGTGACTGTCCATTGAAACGTGAAAACCTATTATAAAACAGTTAGCAAAGGTTGTTGTAGATCTCTCCCAGTGAGCCTAACCCAGAATTGTTCAAAATCAAAAAAAAAAGTGAATTATGCGTCGTCCTAGGGAACATAGGGGGAAGAAGTCTATATAAAAACCAAATCACTTTATTTTACAAAAACACAGATACCTGTTATACCATCACGAGCATTGGGATAATAAAATAAACATACCATGAAATATCATTGGTAAGATGTAAGCAGGAAATAAATATTTTATTGTGATAATAATATAGCAGAAAGTGATACATTGTACTGTTATCCTCCTGACCAGTGTAACAAGAGTAAGATAAAGATTCTTACATGGACAGAGATCCACCCCCGCCAGATTTGTTTTATATGGTGCAATCACAAGTTTCTATGTTTTTGAGTGGGCAGTGTTAAAGGGACACTGTAGTCATCAAATCAACTTTCGCCTAATGAAGCAGTTTTGGTCTATAGACCATGTCCCTGCAGTCTCACTGCTCAGTTCTCTACCATTTAGGAGTTAAAGCATTTTGTTTATACTGCCCCAGTCACACCTCCCTGCATGTGATATGTACAGCCTTCCTAAAAAAACTTAATGTAAAGTAAGATTTAATGTTTAAATTTCCTGTATTGCACAGTCTGTTTAATTTAGTAGTTCTTATCTCTTGCTCTGTAATAGCCTTCTTGACCTTGCAGGAGCCTTTTGTATGTGATTAAAGTTCAATTTACAGATTGAAAATAAAACCATTTTTTATGTAGGCTGTGTGTTGGTCACAGCCAAGGGGCCAGAGCTGCATGGACAGAAACATAAGTGTTTTAACTATTTAATGGCAGAGCATTTAGCAGTGAGACTGCAGGGGCATGATCTATCCAGTAAAACTGCTTCATTAAGTCGAAGTTGTTTTGGTGCCTATAGTATCCCTTTAATTCAAGTCCATGCTCTCTTGTCTTGGCACACATTAAAATCTTAGTTTTTTCTTTTCACATCATATGTAGGGAAATAAAAAAACCCTTGCACTTGGTTTCACTCTGTATTTTTCACATTTCCATGGAGTGGTAAAACAACTTAGAAAATAATAGATACCTGTTTACCCCCTAAACCCTCGTGGGGAGATCTGTTCAAAACCCAGTCATTAGTAGCTCTGTTGACAGCTGTAAAGCATGCAATATATGTGATTATGAGCAGAGTTATTCATTAAAAACCATGAGCGAAAATAGTTACAGAATTTAAAGGAAGCTCCAAGCACTATAACAGCTTATGCTTATTGCATAGGTTAGGATACAAGGAGGTCCCCATTCACTTACTGCACACACTTTTTTATAACAGAGATGCTCTTAACTCCGATGTCAGAGAGGTTTATGCCTCCCATTAAATACTTGCGCTTTATATGCACAGTGTGCAAGTCCTTACCTGCCCTGTCAGGCTCTTAAAACATCTCAACCATTTTCTGGCATTTCCAGAGGTGGCTGCATAAGAAACCGGTCCCTGGGACACGCTACAATGGAAATAATCTACTTTTTATCTGCAATTTAAATGCATTATCTCCAGAATAATTAAATTACCAGAACCTGTCTAGTATAGGAATACAATCAGTCCTTTAACATTTCATCCAGCATGCAAGATTTGCTAGCTTTCACCAAATATATAGTTTTTTGTCAATTGAATGTTTAAAACACATTTTGAAAAGTTAAACGAATGTAATGTTTCAGTAGCAATATCTGTTCCTTCTCTTGTAACTAGGTGTATACAGGGGCGGACATGATGTTCTTTTGCGATCCAAGCTTGCCCTTAGTGATGGTGTTACAATGCAAGTTACGGTCAGGAGCACAGATGAAACGCCAGCTGATGTCATCCTGGCCTCTGTGGGATAGGAAATCCAACATACATCCTCCATATCTCATAAAGGAAATCATAACATTTCAGGAAAAAGTAACTCCTATGTTTCCCTTCTAATATACCATACAACCTCTGGAACTCGAATTCTTGCTCTAAGTCTTATGTCTGAACTTCCCAACAACTCTGTGATTTACAAAAAAAAAATGCCTTGGAGACAGAAGCAGCAGCAGTTAAAGGATCAAAGTCGATGACTCCGGATCCTTGCAATTGTTCATTCCAGCGTGTGTGTTTTCAAATGAAGCATGGCAAAATGTGTTTCCTCTCTAGCCTTGAGAGACTTTTTGTACCTAGATAAAACCATTAATATTTCAGCTATTATGTCTCTACAGGTTTAGTACTACAGCAGAACTGCCACATATTACCAAATAAAAATGTAGTTCTAACTTGCAATTATTTTTATTTATTTAATAGCAACATATCCCACAGCACTATACAACAGTTAAAAGAAACATGCAGCTTATTGTGACCAAACAAGATCCACATACAAGAGCGAAGATTATGAAGACACTGAGCTCACCAACTGAAGGACTGTAACAAAAATTAAAACTTACTTGCAAACTTGGGCAGTATGTAATGCTCCATAAGGGATAAAGGGATAATCTATGTACCAAAGAATTTAAGCTTAATGAAGCAGGTTTGGTGTATGGACCATGCCCCTGTAGTATAACTGCTAAATTTTCTGCCATTAGGGTTGAATCACGTTTGTTTTTATTTAGGCAGCCATTGTCACACCTTAGGTTAGGTCTTCACTACTGCTTGCCACACCTTGTGCCTGTAGCTTGAATCTTTTGAGGTAAGTATTTCTGAGTAATAGAGCATTATAAACATGTTCAAGGATGTCCAAGTTGCAGTTCTACATATTTATTTTAGAAACAAATGCTTTAAATGCCCATGGTATCACTACAGCCCTTGTTGAGTGGGCCTTGATCAGGCAGTAGAGATTTAGCAGTGTTAGTCAAGGCAATGGATTCCTTAATTCTCTTTGCCAACATAGCTTCCAAAGCTCGTTTGCCTTTGTTCTTGTCTTTAGATAAAATAAACAAATGCTCTGATATCCTAAAAGGTTTCTATTCCATTCAGTAGTAGCACTCAAGTGTTCTTTTGACATCCAACCTATGGAATTTCTCTTCTTTATCCTTCTATAGGATATATTTAGGTGGTTGGTAGAATAATGTCTTGTTGTAGTTTATTGACAGATGTCACCTTTTGAGTAGAATTTCAAATGTAACCTCAGAACCACTATTCATGTGGAACACTACATATAGAAACTTGCTTGAGAGATCTTGAGTTTACCCCACTGTTTTCACATGTCTGATACTTAAAATTGACAAACTGCAGTGGTTTGAATGGTGGATAACACAAGGAGGTAAGGGCTACATTGACACCTTACTGTAGGCATGATGTAAACTACTTTAATAAATGTAATTACAAGTGGAACTGCTGCAAAGTTCCCTATAGTGTAAGAGTTAATTGCTGAAATCTGCATTTTCACAGATGTTGGTTTGAGATCTTGATTTCCATTTAAAGGAAGCACAGAATTTTAGAAATTGAAGCCAATAGTGGTCCTTTTGAATGCGCTTACACCAATACAACTCCAAATTCTCTAGTACTCCTTGCTTGTAAAACCGTTCTTGGCTTCCAGATGGATGTCAATGTCTTCTTAGTGTAGTCCTCTTAATTGCAGAATTTATTCTTCAGAAACAAGGCTGATAGTTGGAATGTTTTTATTACTGAACCAGGATGTATTTCAGAATATCCAATCTCACTGAAAACTTCCAGTAGATTCCCCCTAAAAGTAACATGAGATCTGAAACCTTACTTGTCAGGTCCAGAAGTGATAATTTGCTGTGATATGAGTGTTTTCAAAGGGATAAAAGGTGGAAATCAAGAAGGTATCTAGAAAGTCCAGGTGTTCTGCTCTGTTGATTGGGGCATAGATAGGAACCTTTCTGTTGTCTACTAACACCATTGCATCTGCTATTGGTGTCTAAATTCTTTATCTACTTTGACCCAAACCAATCTACTTGTTTAAATTACTCCTTTTCACAGTGTTTGCAACTTTCAGAAGTGTTTGTAAGGGGCTCCACAAATGGTTTAGCAGAGACAAATTTCTGTATATTCCATTATTGCTTAAAGGACCACTATAGTGCCAGGAAAACAAACTAGTTTTCCTGGCACTATTGGGTCTTTAGGTCCCCCCCACCCTCATGGTCCCACTCCCGCTGGGCTGAAGGGGTTAAACACTTACCTTTCTCCAGCGCTGGGCTTTCTCGAAGCTGGGGAACTCTCATCCCCTGCCGACGTCAGATCCGCATGCGCGGCAAGAGCCACGCGTGCATTCAGTCCATAGGAAAGCATTTCTCAATGCTTTCCTATGGATGTCCAGCATCTTCTCACTGTGATTTTCACAGTGAGAAGCGCCTCCTAGCGACTGTCAATGAGAGAGCCACTAGAGGCTGGATTAACCTTAGTGTAAACATAACATTCTCTGAAACTATGTTTACAGCTGCAGGGTTAACACTAGATGGACCTGGCATCCAATAAACCTGACAGCATGCTTTTGAGAAGACAAACACAAAAAAATTGGGAACTTCTTGCTTACCAGTTGGGGACATTTGTCCCCATGCTTGAAGCAAGCATATAATTTAGACCCAAAGAAGGTAAGAAATATACTTTCTGCCCGAGCTGCTGATTTTATTTATTTTTTTAAGTAATGCAGATGTTTAAAAAAAAAAAAAATTAAATCCCAAACCACACATTTCAGTGTCTACTTTTCAGTTCTAATGCACCCAGGCCAGGTCATTCAAAGCACTGGACAGTACACAAAGAATGATTGGTCTAGGATCTCAAAGACATGTATGCTGCCTCCATTAGACACAAAGAATGCCTTTGAACATATAGATTAGAATAAACATGGCAAGTTTTTGAAGAGTTTTGTGTCACAGTTAATATCTTTAATGGGATTTATGCACTATATGTTGACACATTGGCCAGAGTGGATATGGGGGTGACCTCCTGCCCATATTCTCTAATAAGAATAGGACTTTGCAGGCTTGCTTGTTATCACTCCTATTCTATGAGACTTTGCCTGGGCCAACCGTGTCAATGTGTGGGGCGAGGAGTATACTTTAAATGTCTTTACTAATAACATACTGCTGTCCCTCACCCCTGCTCTCCTGTCCAAACCTGTATACTTCCCACTTGACATTCATAATATACTCCACCAAATGGGAGTTGCTGAAACTCACACTGTCCTGGAACTAATATTGCAGCTGGGCAAATCTTTTCCTTCCAATGGCTGTCTCATAGACTGTCAAATACATGCCAGACTAGGTTGAAATCAAGTTGGTCTTCAAAGATTGCAAACTATGGAATCAATTACAGAGGTCAGAGATATTTTTTTTGTTTCATGTATGTGGTAAAAACGGATTATCTATTCACCAAACGTGCTACATTAAGCTAAAGTTGTTTTGGTGACTATAGTGTCCCTTTAAGGCTTCCCTTACATTCTTACTGATGTATTAGCCAGGTTTGGCTTCATCCTGCTGCTCCTTTAGTGACTATTTGTCTTTCTTTCTTTTATGGTCAAATGTAAACATTGACATTCATCAGAAACAGCAGTGTTTTCATTTTCCAAGTAAATTGACAGCATATATGCACCAATACCACTGCATTGAAATGTAGTGGACTTGGTGCTTATAGTGTCCCTTTCAGGGTGTATGCAAGCCAGTTACGATTTATTTTCGGGAGGGAATTTTTTAGGTCTTGAATTAATTCAAGAGATTAAATACCTAAACCTTAATTGAAAGCAATTCAGGAACATGTGTTGGAAGCATTTGCTTTTATCATGGTTCAGAAGATAGCCATGGTGCCCTAAGATCTGAAGGAACTGTGTGATGTGCACAGCTTTTATCTGAGATGTATTGTCCCACTCAAGTAATGCTCCCCTTAATCAGACTGTCTTTTTCCCTGACCTTCACAGCCGTTTTGAAGGGAAAAAAGGGGAGGGGGTTCACTCCTGGAACATGCATGTCTCAGCAGTGGTGCTGCCCTAAAGACCAATATTTACACAACATACAGATGAAGGAACAGCACATTTCTTTGGGGTTGAGCACCCAGCCCATCTACTTCACCCACTTTGGAAGTGACGACATAAATACATATTTGTATTTATAGTTCTATTATTCCTAACTATAGGCCTGTCAGGGTTCACCATGTTTTCCCTGATGACCCAGTAAACCATACCTATGCAAATGCTGCTCCTTGAGTATTTTCATTTAATGAGGTGGGGTCTGGCCTAAAATCTCTCTTTGAGGAGTTGACTATAGTATACAGCATGCATAAGGACAAGCTACTTTTGACCATGTGACGTGGCCATTGTCTGTTACACTGCCTTTCTGTACTGATGACAACTGTAACATAGGATGCATTAGTAAGCCAATGGTACATGCAACAGTAGTTTAGATTACTGACAAGTATAAGAATGGCATTTTCTGTTCTTTCAGCAAACCCTTGTTACCTACTTGGGTTTCCTTATAACAAAAATGTCACATTTAGGAGGTTATTCGTGGGCATCTAGGATTCTAGACTGTGACAAACTACTACTGCCCTGAGTTATGTTTGTTGTGTGGTGGTTGAGTTTTACATGTGTTTGGAGGAATGTATGCAGGGGGAGTGTGCATGTGTGTGTGCTGGTTGAGTTTTATATGTGTGTATGGTGGCTGAATTTTGTCTGTGTGCACATAAATTTTTCATTTGCAATCCTTTCAGGTCCCTTTTTGCAATAGATGAGTTTTATTCCTGGTGGTCTAGTTGGAGAACAGTGTGGTCTGCACCTATATGGGGCTCAGATCACTTTAAAAACCATTCTCGCAGCTTGGCACTTGCTGGACGTGTCACTCTTTATTGAGAAGCGCCAGTGGCCTATGAACAATAGATACATTTTGCATTTTGGGCACTATAGATACATCTCTGATAGACATACAATTCTACCTGCACACAGACACACAATCATACAGACAAAATATAGGCATGCAGACGCACTCATACAATCATACATGGACAGAAATGCAGGCACACAAGGAAACAGACTTACATGCATACAGACAGAGGCATGCAGATATACAGGCACACAAACATACAGCAAAAGCACAAAATCTTACACACACATATGCATACTCCTATTTGCAATCAGGTTCCCTTTATGCGACTTACAACTAGCATCTGCCAGTTTACTAAGTCTCAATCTTGCAGCTTTGAGTTTGATTGTTCATTGCAGCTGGGCCAGCTGTATTACTACTGCCCATACAATGCCAGGTTGCACTATGGCTGTCTTTCACAAGTCAAAAACCAGAACTCTGGTGCCAGTGCATTGTCTGCACCACAAGTAGTTTTGGTTAGGAAGAGGATCTGCCCAGCCTCATAAATAAAGGTGCTTCAAAGCCATCTTATATGGGACGCAGGGATATGAAGTGCATCATGTCCCTGCCACCTCCACACAGACTCAGCCCAAGTTTTTAGTTCATCCCTAGCAAAGTGTGGGGACCCAGTAATTGCAAAACCTTCTGGCCCAATGCTGGGACCATCTCTGCTTGAGCAAGTAAAGGGGCTCATGGCCAGGAAGAGAGATCTTAACTCATTGCGAGCCCAGGTCCTAGTTAACTATCGTGGGAGGGCAATATAACCATTACAGCAGCCTGTAGTTGCTATGGTGCATGGAGTGTTCCTTTAAAGTTTAACCTACCAGAACCACAAAATAACCACTAAGAATCGTTAAAAGCTGTACGATAAACTGAAGAATGCTCCTAACACTGTAATGTTGCACAATCCATACATGGTTTCTGTGGCCCTGTATATGATCCGTGCTGCACTCAGGGAAATTCTAAATATTACTAGACAACAATATCTGGATATTTCCATCAAAAGTGTTTTATTAAGATAAAATAAACATGATTATTCCAACATTCACTGGTAGAATTATTTTTTTGTATATTTGTCAATTTAAAAAAAAATATATATGTATCACAGACGATCATATAAACCAATTTTAGCAGATCAGATTAAACAGAAAAGGCTAGAAAAAGCATTATTGCATTTTGTAAGATCATACAGAAATAGAATCTATTCCAGATCCCATGGCATGCGTGCATTTAGCTTGTTGAAAAAGGCATTCTGAAACGGAAATGTTTTAAATGTGTAGCCAACAGCCTATATACTCATGGTATTGTATAGTCAATGACCTGGCCAGGTTAAATTGTGGACCAGATTGTAGTGATGTCATCATCAGTCACTGCTCCTAAATAGGCTAGGATAAAGATTACCACTGACCTGAATATACTTACATTTCACTGCCTCAAGATGCATTGAGATAATCCATCCATAACAAGGAATCTATTGTTTGACATATCTGTTAAATCCCACTCTGTTAATCCTTTTGCCATGTGCTTTATTATTTAATATGTTGCTAAAACTGAAGGACTAGATTTAGAGTGCGTGGGTAGAACAAGTTGAAATTGTACATTGGGCACATTGGTACATGGTCCAATGCAGCCTAAAGAACGTAATGCATATTATTTATTAAGTGCACATTCTAAAGTGACATATAAGAGCAGCAGTATATCAGTACCTTTTATCCCGATGCAATGACCATGTATGCAGCATCATAAACAGCATTGCATGGAGTTATTTGTTCACAATTAAATAAATTGAAAACAAAAGTGCTAAATGCTGCCAAAAAAAAAATTATACAACTCAGCAATAATCACAGCGTGGCTATTTTTTACCCTGAATTTTGCAATTCGGGTTTATTAAGTGAATTTTTAAGAGAAAAATCTAATTTGCTCAGGTTAGACGGTGAGACCCGGGATCTCCACAGCGATCTAAAAAAAACAGAGAGCTACTCACACTCTGTACACAATGTTATTATCAGCATTGCAAGCAGTGATGTGGGCAGCTCTTGAGTGAGCAGTGGTATATCTTCTATTTATTTTTCTTTGCCTGACACAGTTTACATCACGTTGTATAATGTGCACTGAATGTTTCTTTTGTACATTTCTATGCCAATGCTACTGCTTTTATAGGTCAGTTGAGCTTGGCATTTAAGATTGCACATCTAATTTCTTAATTCGTATTGGTTACTGCAGAATTGTAATTCTGTCACTCAAAATGGTATTCAGAACATATAAGTACACTATAAAAATGTTCTATGATCTAGTCACCTTGCGCTATAAAAAAAAATATTGACATTGGAATAAGCTGGTAGAGCATTGTAGGATTAGTTCAACAGCAGCTGGAGGGCATGGATGGGACACCCGCTGTTGCAGATTTTCCTACCACCATATTTTCAATATATTCAAATGCAATATTATGAGATATTTATATAGTAACACTTGGTTACATTGTCCAAGTATATAAATCAAACTACCAAAAGCACCTAAATTAAAACATAAATAAATCACATTACATCTGACAACAGCTAAATGAACCATGATGTGCTATGAAAAATAAAATAGCTATTCACAGACTATATTTTTAAATTATTGAATTAAACTGTACTTTTTGTAACAATTGAGGTGCTACTCAATGTACAGTTAAGGCTCTACACTGGCCTACTGATGGAATGTCATCATTCCAATGCAATATGCATAAATAGATGTCACTTTCACCTTTCATATTGAAAGGATCACATGCCAGAGTTTTCATAGTTTGTTTCCAGAACCACTGTGCTGACAGCTTTGATGAAATCAACAATAGTGCACTTTAAATGAAGCTAAAGAATACACACTCTATGGCGCCTTCTGACCCACAGAAGAACTACTGGTATACTCAAACAATAAGATCTCGCGGGCTGCGAGTGAATGGACACCCTGCTCTGGGGATTTTCTCTTATTTATGTTCTACAACTAACCTCCCAGTTATCAGCATTCCTGTGTGGTATTGTGCATTTCAGATTGTGTGCTATACTTTTCAGATTAGTCAGTGTTTAGCTAATTTTGAGGTATCATTTTATTTTATGTTCTTCTAATCTCTATCTATATCTATCTCTATCTCTATATATATATATATATATATATATATATATAATCATAGAATATAGATTTATTAGGAGAACATAAAATAAAATGATACCTCAAAATTAGCTAAAAACTGAATAATCTGAAAAGTATAGCACACAATATATATCTATATATCAATTACAGAGGATAGCACTACAAGGACTTATAAAATATATATTTTATTTACCTTCCAGTTTAAAAAAAGGTTAAAGGGAAACTCCAATGCCAGGAAAACAATCCGTCTTCCTGGCACTGCAGGTCCCCTCTCCCTGCCCACCCCCCCCTCCCGGTTGCTGAAGGGGTAAAAACCCCTTCAGTAACTTACCAGAGGCAGCAACATGTGCCACGTTGCTGCTTCTTCCTCCGCCGCCGCTCCTCCCAGTGATTGCGTCGGCCGGTGGGCGAGACTGATCCCGCCCACCGGCCGGGGAGACCTAATGCACGGCAATGCTGCGCATGCGCATTAGAGCTCCCCATAGGAAAGCATTGAAAATGTTTTTCAATGCTTTCCTATGGGGAAATGAGCGACGCTGGAGGTCCTCACACAGCGTGAGGACGTCCAGCGACACTCTAGCACTGGTTTCCTGTGTTAGGGACACGGAAGATGGAGTTAACCCTGCAATGTAATTATTGCAGTTTATAGAAAACTGCAATAATTACACTTGCAGGGTTAAGGGTAGTGGGAGTTGGCACCCAGACCACTCCAATGTGCAGAAGTGGTCTGGGTGCCTGGAGTGTCCCTTTAACATTTCAGCTTGATTCCCTCAAGCTTTCTTCAGGACATAATGTATAGGGGCTCAGGCCCATCTAGTCTGCTCAATTTTATTAATTTTAAACAAATGGAGGTTTTTTTAGTTACCTCCAATGGCCATGAGAGGATAAGCCCACCTGCCAACGTCAAGGCAGACCACCCCAGGTGGGTCCTAACTCACCTTGCTTCCTTGAGCTTCTGGCAAAGATCTCTAATTAGACAGAAAGGGGTATTTTTTTATATACACCCATATATATTATTAACCCTTAACAGGGAACACATGGGATTGGCGGCTGCATTGTAACAAGGCTGAATGATACAAAAAATGGATACAAATGCAGAAAGATAAGTCCTGCGCTCACTCCCATCACTGGGCGGCAGCAATGACTACAGTTCACATCAGCCCCAATATATATTAAAAACCAAAGAAAAACTAGTTACCTGCGCTCTCTCCTTAATCCCTATGTACTTTTAAACAAATGGAGCTTCCTTGAGCTTCTGGTGAATGGTTAGAGTTAGGACCCACCTGGGGTGGTCTGCCTTGAAGTTGGCAGGTGGGCTTATCCTCTCATGTCCATTGGAGGTAACTAAAAACCTCAATTTGTTTAAAAGTTTAAGACTAAGACTCTAATTTAAGACTATGTCCTCTTGTTGTGGTAGTTTTTCTTCTTTTAAATATAGTCTCCTCCTTTACTGTGTTGATTCCCTTTATGTATTTAAATGTTTCTATCATATCCCCCCTGTCTCGTCTTTCCTCCAAGCTATACATGTTAAGTTCCTTTAACCTTTACTTGTAAGTTTTATCCTGCAATCCATGAACCAGTTTAGTAGCCCTAAAGCCACAGTAACCCATTTACAACTGTAGCAAAATGTCTTTTTTTTCAGATGTGCTGATTTTTCTAAAGTCATCTACACAATTTAGTTTGCTAGACTTTGCTCTCAACGATATTTTTAATTTTGGAAATTGATGGTAGAGAAAAGGAAACACTGCTTTTGCAGTAAAATGGGCTAAAGAACAGTTATCCCTGAGTTAAGGCTTGAAACTATCAAATAAGCATACAAAGTAAACTGGTCCAAGAACTGTAAACAAGTTGTAGGCCTTATTGCTTTCTCTTGATGGCTCGGTCCCCTTTGAGGATGAAGATATAGAAATTACACATGCACAAAAAAGTCACAGTTCTCCCTGGATCAGAATGAGTTGATGAAACTCAGATAAGCATTAAGAAAGCCTGTAGGATCCTCCAGCTGTGGGTAATGACTGATGTGATCATCCAGAACAAAGAAGGTCGACTTTGGAATTAGTTTTCTGCAAGAATAGAATGAAAGTTAAAGAATCTTTATGAACTAGTGACACAAACTGCGACATGGTGAAAAGTCACGGGGACATGTTACACATTGTGGCATAGATCTCCTAACACTACTTATGGTCACACAGATCTAAATTCATCCCTATCTGTAAAATATTACAGAGAATTAGTAAAAATTAATAAGTTTGTTTTGCCTGCTTTATATTTGTAGTCTGTGTGTTAATTTTTATTATTTATATTGCGCCAACAAATTCTGCAGAGCTGTACAATGGTTTGTAACTGACATGGTTTCCGTGCAATCTTCAAACACTAATTGTATACATTTAGAGATTCCCACATTAAATATTGAAAATGTCACATTTACATATAAAATCCGGCATAGTTAATCATTTGCAGGCCACATCTTCTGAGGACTGTTCAACTTACGTGTAGTGTTCTAGGAACTGAGGGTGTGGATTGACCGGATCAAGTGGTCCATATATTAGATGTACTATGAAAGGGAAAAAAAAACCAATAACTTAGAAAATCATGGATTGCCAAATGTTTGCATTATGTTTCCTATAATGGCAAATTATCTATTTGAGCCTTATGGGAAATGTAGTGCACAAACATCTGCAGTTCAAATTAGCCATCAGGCCACATGGTGCCACACACTACTGCAAGAGCAATTCTACATAAACTCAATACCAGGAAAGTTTGCCATCAAGCAAGCAGTGCTCTTTCCCTTTAATGGCTAGGACACAGATCCTTCATGGTTTAAGAAAAATGCTTATTGAACAAATTTTTAACTCACATGGAACAGAGGAATTGGCCAATGCTCCCACCCAGCGATCTCTGTGTTTCCTGCGTTGATTTATATACTGCAAAATACTAAAATGGCAAGACTGGTGTAATAACAAGTATGGGTATAAGCTATCATGCAAACAGATTACGGAATCTTGCAGCTACACATTTTTAGTCACAGTGGAGAAGGAATACAAGTGTTGTATACATACTATTTCTATAGCACCCACAATTTCTATAGCACATACGTGTTTAAAATATTACCAGATATAGATCATGGATTTCCCTTCCATGTAGGCACACATGATGTTTGCACAAATGTGTATTTTTAACTAAATGCAAAGGTTATATAGTTATGGGGGTGATATATATTTTAAACACATTCATTTTTCAATATATTATGTAATTGTATTTATACCACCCCAGTAATCACTAAGCTATGTTCAGCTGTAGTATTCTGTTAGTAAAGGGGGTTGCCCTACCCTCCATACTCTACCTGTCCACCACCAAATTCCCTTCATTGTTCCTCAGAGCAGTCCACATGTCCCAGAATTCTGTTTCGGATGGCTGTGTATGGGGGCCAAACACCTCACTGATGCTGTGAACAGAAAACATTACATCAGTCATAGATGGGAGAAGGGCAGTATACTAGCTTACACAGAATATCATTAGAAATAAACAACTCCCATCCTACATATACAATGAGCTCATGTTCTAATAATACCATATGCTGTCTCTCCTGAATAATCCTGAAGTTTAACGCATAATATAGATTTGTTGTGGATAGGAATGCTGTTCTCTGATCTGACTTTACTAATCCAGAAAAATTCCATTACATACAAGAAGAGGTTAACCTAATAGGAATTTTCATATAATGGGAAAGTAGTAATTGGATATCAGATTCACCAAAATTATTTTTAATTGAGGACCTATTCCTGATTACATCTTCCTCCATGGCTCTGGCAGTCCTCACCCTTGGGGAAGGGAAGGAGGTAATGAGGATTCCTTCCTCCCCTTCTCTGACCCATTACATGCCCTCATACGATGTTCTCTTGTTTTTTGCACTGGTCTTCCACTTAAATATACTCTAGGCTCTACCCCTCAACTGATGCAGCATATATGTATCTCCTATCTACCTGTGTTGAAACTAAATTCCTCCATTTGGCATTTGGGTGTCATTTTTTAAGAATTTTGTTTGAGAGGACTTTGGTATCTCTTTCAATACTTTTCAACATATTCTGTCTATGTCAATACACATTTATTGAAACAAAAATCACAGTGTTGTTAATTAGGCTTACCCTCTGCTGAACATATAGAAATTCATCAGCCTTGTAAGAATTGGGGAAAAAATACCAGCATCCTTTAACAGCTGTTGAAGTGAAAAGCAAACATTGTAACACAAAGACAGCAACAATTTTGTTTATAAAATATCTTTCTCTATTATTTACATTGACAACAGAGATAGATAGATAGATAGATAGATAGATAGATAAACAAGAGCAACTACAAATATTTGGGTTAGGATCCTGAGAGTGATTTATGCCAATTTTCTAGATCAGTTGAAGAAGGGAAAGGAAATGGAAGAAACGCGTGTGTAAATGTCCACAAGCATGCTCTTCTGTTTCCCCACTTTATTTTTTACAATTAACATTAAATTACTGAGCTGACCTTTTGGACAATCCTGGGATAATGCACTTCTGGGATAATACCTGCAATGAAAGAAAATAGTTTTTGCAAATTTACAATTCCACATGTTTAAATGACTACCTTCTGGGCAAATGAGAAATACATGGAGCAAGGAAAGCATTGATCTGCAGAGAGGTTGGCTTTAATCACTGAAGCGGACCAACAAATCCAACTGCAAGTTAGTCACCATAGGTCACTGCTCCCGTAAGGATGAGAGATCAATGGAACAATCTCTTACATAAGAATACTTTGGGATTTTCTCTGAAAAGTATGCAAACACATAATGTTCCAGCAACATATTACCCATTCTACACCATTCTTTAGTATTCCCTGGTTATCCAAGCCTCTTTCATGCACGTTCATATTCCCTCTTCACACTTCCATAGAATAGAATAAAATGTAACATTGGGACTGTGTGTGTGTAAAAATGTGATTGTTTGTATAGGTATGTCAATGTACGTGTGTGTGTGTGTCTGTGATTGAATGTTTGTGTATGTATGTGGGTGTGGGTCTGTGGTCGTGTGTATGTACATATGTGAGTGTGTGTGTGTGTGTGTGTGTGTGTGTGTGTATATAGGTCTGTGATTCAAGAACGTAGATATTCCCTCTTCACACTTCCTTAGGATATAAAAACATGAAACATTGGGACTATATTCCTCAATGTGCATATAAAAGGATTTCACACATATACAATGCAAAGGAAAGAAAGTAACAGTCTAGTTTCAAAGCATACAACAATAGGCTGAATACCTGGTTCACTCTGATGCTATGAATGTCTGCATTTATACTGCACACTCTATGAATCTGAATGGCAATGATAGGCTGAGAGTGCTAGGAGAACCCGCAAAGCTCAAAGTCCAGTATCGATATCCTAGTTTGACAGAATTACGTTTAGTAATCATGTAATCATTTGGCTGCAGAGGGGCGAGACAGTTTGATTAACAACCAGGAAAAGGCAACCATCAGCTGTTAGCAATGTTGTAGTAGTTATGGTGCTTAGAGTGTCTCTGTAAAGCAGGTGAGGTTCAATTAACGATATAGAGATACCACCAGTTGGAATCAACCACTTACCTCCATTGGACAAACACAGGCTTCCTATATGAATGTGCCCTTTTCTTCCATGGTCATACCTAATAGAAAATGAAACAGAAAAACACATGTTCTTTGTGTGGAGCTTAAGACCTTAGTCACAAGGACCTGTTCTCACTATGAAATATATGTCAAACTGCATATCATTTCTGCTGTGTTATTACAGTTTTTTTCAGGTTTTTACCAATTTGCATGGAAAACTACTCTAAACTACATCGGCAGAGCTTTTCTAGTTGCCTTTTAACCTGAGAATTTTGTAAACAAAAAAATTTGTATAAAAGATATCTAAAAAATTTCCTCAGTTCAACCCTCTGTTTCTTTTAATTTCAAAAGGTAATAACTTTCATTATATTATACAATGTAATAGATGCCTGAAAATGCCATATGGTATTAGTCTGACCTGTAAAGCAGTTCCTGGGCAACAGTATCCCCATAATCATGAGACAAGAGGTTCAGTTTCTGATCGCTCAGGCCAAGGTGACTAATAAGCGCTTCTACTATGGAAGCCTGTTCGAAAATGGAGTATCGGTGGAGTCTCTGAAAATAAATATGTGAATACTCAGCTGCACATCTGAAAGAGTCAACAAAGCCTCCATTACTGTTAGTACATGTAAAACTGGATTTTTTTTATTTCTAATGGTTAAGCAACATAACCATCATGGTATGTTGCCTACACTGTCTCTGCTTCATCCGCACTATCAATTTTAAACAGTTTAGGAGAGTGCGCTGACATAAACTAGGGCTCTTCCAGTCAATGAACCACCACACTCTCCGCTATATTGATAACGGTAAATTAACATATATGCATTATCAATTTCATCCAATCTGAATAATACTGACTGGTTGAGAATGCCAGGCTATGCTGCGCCCCTCTCTCTCTCAGCCAATCAATGTTGTCCAGGATGGAAGAAATTGAAATTCAGAATGTAGAAGTGTTAATGTGTAAAGGAGAAGGCAATCTTTGTGCTCTCGTCAATGTCAAAGCAGTCTGAACTTAGAACAGGGAACAGAGCCATATAGTGGATCCACAGTGCTTGCTACATATAGTATATTAAAATAATTCTGTTGCTTTCCAGAATTTAGCAGCAATATTATAGACATAGAATAAGTTGACACCTACCGGTTTATCACTGAAACCGAAACCGATAAAATCTACAGCAATAACTCTGTGAAATCGCTGAGTTAGACCTTCCCACACCTGTAGCAAGAGAATAAATGTTCACATTTGATGAATAATAGCATTCCAAAAAATGTGCTGTCAAAATGTAATATTTAAATTCAAGTTATTTGGTGCTTAAGAACATGAATCATGAATCAGAAGAGCATCCATTAATATTCTAAACAATTCAATATTTAGAACATGTGTGCACAAGCAGCTATTTTGGTTTTCCAGTTCACATCAGGAAGATCAAAGTCACCCATGATAACTTCCCTGTTCATTGTCATTTTAGCATTTTCCTCAACCAGTAGATTATCTAACTCCTGGGGGCCTATAAATTACATCTGTACTGCGTGATTACCAAATTCTAACGTAACCCAAACGGACTCTATGTTCACCTCACTAACTTTTATTAGGCTAGCTTTTATGCTATCCTTTACATACAGGGCCACCCCTCCCCCTTTCTTGCCTCCCCTGTCTTTTCTATATAAAGAGTACCCTCTCTTAAGAGCCATCAGGATGCATGGCAAAATATGCTTTATTGCTGCTCCCCAAGAGCCACTGTTCTCTATTGGTTCTTATACTTCACATACAGAGTTTCTAAATGCCTGTGAAATAAAAACAAATATAAAAACAAGACATGCAATTCTCACCTTATACCAGTCATAACTGGATGTTGGAAAACCATGCAAAAGAACCAACACATCAGAGTTGCCAACAGTCCCCAGTGAATCTGATTAACATAAGATAAAAGGACAGACACTTTAGCTGTATAGTTTATAGATATGTAGATATGAACAATAAATACATGGGGGGGGGGGGAATAAAAATCAATGGTGCTAACCAAATGACTGATGAAGAGCAGTACTGCTGGGAAAATGGTAGAGAAGAGCGATACTTTGGTGATGTGGTGAAGCGTGATACTATGGAGACCAGTTGGTGGGATTGAGAGAGACACTGTAGGACAAAGATCATTTGGGGGAATGAAGACGGAGATGCTGTAAAATGAGGGACATTGAGACACATTCTGGGTTGGGATGGAAAGGGACACTGTTTGGATAATGGAGAGAGAAATTACGAGGCTGCACGAGAGATACAGTGTGGTTCATAGTGAGAGACAATGCACCAGTGATTGGAGAGAAACAAAAAAGTGCTGGAAAGAATGGGAGAGGAGAACAAGATAAGTATGAAGAATGGCAATGGAGAGAAAAAAATTGATGTGATGATCGAGGGGGCACGCAGGGTGAAGATATTAGTCATGGTGAAATAAAGTAACATACAAAGTGAAGATGGAGAGAGATATTTGGTATGCAGACAGGGGAAAGCACACAGCCTGATAAATGTAGAGGCTACTAAAGCTCCAGACCCAGACATTACAATATGCCCAACCTGCCTAATATTTTTATTTATTTTTGTAATTGTAGCATTTGGAAAGGGAGGAATCACGATAGCCACATCATCTCCCAGGACTATACTTATAGCAGTTTAAAGCAGTAAATATTGTGCATTAACATGCATCCTGACATCAGCACTTGGAATGCAGTGACTTGACATGGTCTGCATGGAGACACATAGCACTTTGAACTGTAGTGCAGAACTGAATATGAAATGACAGCTGCATATATTGTTGCTGGAGCCTTCAATAAGGGCCAAATATTGGATGGATACATACACTATGCACTATTTTCAATAGGACATAGGACAGGAAGTGACCCATTGCTTTCCTAGTGGATTTCTCTGTGCCTCAGTCTGTTTGTGAAGATAAGGATTTTATAGATTTAAAATGTTCAGTTCAAATATGCACTAGGTTTGAGTTTTTATATTGCTACAAAGTTTAGTTGTAGATTTAGGTAAGTCACATTCTCCTTTTTTTTTGTATTCTTTATTTTGTCATTCAGCATGGTAGTAGTACAGTAAAAATTCAATTTTGGTACTTTCACATACAGTAATATCCTTTATGGACCACATAATATTAGGTAGTATGAAACATGCTGACTTTTAAAAAAATTTTTTTTAAAGGAAAATAAAAAACACAAATCTACTAAAAATGTGCAAGACTAAACAGTAATCCCCTATGGGCTTAGGCTGAATTCCACAGGTAAAGCCTTAGCTTTACCAGAGATGCCCAGTTGAGGATGCACCTCCCTCCAAGGTCACAAAGTGAACATGTTGGTGGATTTGCATTCGTGAGTGTGTGGGGGGAGGGAGTAGGGTGAGAACTTTAGTACTCGAGTCTATCGCGGATGTGGCGTTAAGTGTTTAGAACCATCGAGTGCAGGTATGCGCAAGGTGACCCAGCCATACGTGCCTCATTCAGGGAAGCTATACACCAGTCCCCAAGTTAAGATTACCTTAAATGTGAGGAACCTTAAAATTATAAGTGAATAACATCTAAAAACATATAAGGAAACAAGAAGAATATCATATCATGGAAAGTATATTCTGTACATATGGGTGGAATTTGGGAGACTTAGAGGTCTTGGCCTATCGTCCCATCAGGCTGGTTCTTGTGCTGAGGAGATTTGCCAAGGGGCATGAGGAGTGAACTCCGCTATCTTGGTAGGGTCCAGGTGAGTCAGCCCAGATGTTTCTGCTCCTGGAGGGCTAGTGAGGACCAGCTTCTGCAGGTGAGTTTCTAGCTCTGAGTAGCTATGTGATTGATAGGCAGTCCCCAAATATGTGAAGAGGATTGACTTCGGTGCTCCCCAGCAGCAGGATATATCCCTGTTGTGCAGGTGTAGCAGGAGTGGTTGTAGGGCCTTTCTCCAAGTGAGAGGGCTTTGTGTGTCCGTAAACAGCGAGAGCGTGGAGTCTTCGAGTATTAGAGGGCTCCCCGAACCACAGCAAGAAACAGCGCCCTGTGGTAGCGGTTCTTGGGTGGTAGCCTGGATATTGAGCCTACTGATGGACGCTCACCGAAATCTAGCGAGGGTTCATCTGAGGATTAGGCTGAGCCTTCGTACAACGCCATCTTGTCCCATGCAACCTTCTGCGAAATTTGCAGTAGTTCGCCAATATCTAACGGCTTCTTTCTGGCTTTGTTTTTTTGGCCCATTATCTTGCCAGGCTGGTTGTCAATGTAAACAGCTGGCTTTGTACACAATTTCCACCACAATAAGCAGTTTTACACTCTGTACAGCGCAGAGCTCCGGTTTTTGCGACCACTCTGTTCCTTGGCTGGCCCCGCCCCCCACATTCTCATTTAAGCACATGAAATTGGAAAAGTAAATTGCAATTTTATAATAAGGTCTACAGTAATTTATATCCCTGGACCCATTAAGCAACTAATGCAGCACTGGAGAAGTCCACAGAATGGAAATGGAGAGAGGTACAGTGTGTGGTAATCAAGACAGGCATTGTTCGAAAGATGGAAAGGAACACTCTAGTGAGATCAACAGGACTAGAGATGAAAGATTGATTGGCTGTCCAATGCCAGAAACATGGAAACTGAGAAAAGAAAATAGCTAAATTCCTGGTAAGGTGTCTGACTCCTATTCAGTAATGCCATCAAAATAACTTAAGTGTCTACCAAAATTTCAGGGACCTTTTCCACCTAATTGATGATGGTTAAAGTGGTGACAGAACGTACTAGAACAGTGGGAATTTGATGGCATAGCTATGGCTCATTAGCGGCCGTTAAAGCTTCAATAAACATATATTGCAATATCCTTGTGTTTCAGTGAAGAGGCATATTAAGTCTGTAAATAAGAACTACCTTTTTTATTAGATAAAATCGTACAAATTTGACAGATAAAGCACAGGCACATTACATGCAACTACTGACTTGATTTAATATTTTTGGATAAGCTTTTAATATATTGAAAAATATGTTCATATTTTTTTATAGATGAACATATTTTTCAATACATTATGTCAATATAAAATTGAGGCCTAAATCAGAGGGACAAAACAGAAAAGCAAGGCAAAGATGGATGCATTTCGCATCTCCCCTCTACCCTTCCTCAACCGCTAGCAGCTACAGTTAGCTGTTTATAAAACTCATTTTAAATGTGTGCAGAAGTCTATTCTGTTGAATGCATAAAATATTTTTATAGATTTCTAGCAAGCCCAGATTTGAGCTGTGAAACTATTCTGTATAAATACTAAGAATTTATTGGTTCAAGCTAAACTATTCAAGACTCTGGTGTTGATTGGCAGTGTTTTCTCATGCCTTTATACTTTTTTTCTTAGCAAGTTTCTGTTATTTTTAAATAAATAGTGAGGCAGTTCCAGTATTGCCATCTCCTCAATAAGAAATTACCATATTTTCCTGCAAGTATCACCAGTAGCAAAAACATTTGAGGGGATTTGAAATACAAGATTATTTCAACCTCAGAACAACCTGGTAGATCATGTTTATAGATTACTATAAATTCATTTCTAGTGAAATTTTCTGTATAGATTTCTATTCAATCTTTAATTACGCTAGAAAACTAAATAGCAGTGCACAGTATTAATGGAATCTCACCTTTGTAAAATATTCGCTGCTCTTGAAAAGTGAAAAATGCTCCTGATGACCTCCATGTGTTGAGGGCTGGAGAGAGGTTTGGAGGAGGAATGTGCAGATAGACAGCGACAAGAGGAACAGTCAAGAGTCCAACCTGAATCCACCACTCCTTCATCCTACAAAATAGGAAAATAATCAAATCCCTAATTAGGATAGAACAGAATCTGTGTAACATAGTCCATGTGTCAAACCTTAACCTCAGAACAATTAAGCCCTCTGGTAGTGATAAAAGATTAGGGATTTATATTTTATTTAGCACTTGGAAATAATTAATTACACATACATTATTTAACAAGTTCAAGTATGTGAAGACACACAAACACATTAGCTGCAGATCACATTTAGAAGGAGAAAACTTTAAATTACTAGAGCTTAATTCTGCAAAGTTAAAGAATTAACATTTAATCAGACTCCTCCGGCTTAAACTAACAACCCACTTAACAACAAATGATCAATTAATACTGTGCAAATCATTTGTGGTAATTTAGGGAAATTCATGGAGTAAAATTTCAGAGGTAATGGCTTGACCTGTGTCATGTGAGGTAAATATATCATCATTTGGGGGTTCTCACTTCTAACAGCGGAGTGAACAGTGTGGGTGGGATCCAGAGTGGAGGATAGACTAAGCATGTTGTGGTGCAAGGAGACTATTATTAAGAAAGCAGACTGGGTAATCTGCCACTTTGATCACCCCAGTAAAATCGATCTCTGTCTCCAAGATGCTCGGGTTCAATATGTTGCTGAAAGAGTGGATAGATTGTTGGGACTGGCTGTAATGGCCCATATTGGTACCAATGCCAAAGTTAGAGGAAGATTAAATGGTTCACGGAATTAGAAACCACGTGAAACAAGAAGAACTCAGATGGGCGTATTTACTGAGATACTACATGTGCCAAAGGCAAATGGAAACTAACTTCATCCATGATGGATTGCACCTGAATGGGAAGAGCTCTGCTGCACTTGAGGAGAGAATGGTAAAAATGTTCGAGGAGACTTTAAACTAAGAAAATAGATAGAGGTAGATAGAAGGTCCACGGAATGCACCCACCCCCACATCATGGGCCTCCTATTAAGAAAAATAGTATTTGCTCGCTCTCTCTCTCAATGGGCAGCCAGCAAAAGGGATATTAACATCATGGCAGAACGAATCTCTTCATTAGAGGAAAAAATAACTAATATGGATTCACAATAAACAGTTTTAAAAGAAAATAATATACAATTATCCGAAAAGGCAAAAGGTTTGGAATACAAACTAAGAGAATTAGAAGATCGATCAAGGAGATGAAATTTGCGATTTCGTAACATCCCAGAAAGCCTCACTCAAGATAAAATCAAGGACCTTCTACAAGAGATGTACAAGAAAATCGAACCAGAAGCTGACCCATATGAATATAAAATGGAAAGAATTCATAGGTCATACAAACTGAAGAATATACCGGATAAGCCGCCGAGAGATTCATGCTTATTCATTCAAAGAAAAAATCGTGAGAGCTATTAGAGATAAATCCATACAGGAAGACAAGTTCAAAGATATCTGCGTATATCAAGATCTCTCATACCAGAGACGAACAGGCGGAGAAGTTTTGCACAAACTCTGATCACATTGAGAGACAGACAAAAAATATACGCTATCAATGGGGTTACCCAAACAAGTTAAAGGTCCATTGGAAGAATCAACAGGAGACTTTTGAGTCCCCAGAGGATTTATTAAAATGGATGAAACTCGTAAATATGAGTGGTTAAAAGGGTAGATCAGAGTGTGAGAGGTGAAGAAAGAAAGAAAGAAAGAAAAAGGATTGAGAATTGAAGGTATGGTTGGGAGGAGGTATAATGGTCTATGAAGTTTTAACGATTCTTTTTATAAAGTATAAAACAAGGAGTGGAGCTATGGTGAATAATCTTTTTACAAGAAAAACTATATAGCTAATCGCATGTAATGTATCTAATCTGGATGCTTATTCAAACAAAAGGTAGTTCAAAGGTCGGATTTAGAACTAGTACTGTATATATGTTTCTGCAGAATATAGAATTACTGTAGTGTTCATGTCCACAGTAAGAAATAAGTACTAAAACATTATGAACAGTTACATTTAAATGACTGGACCTGAACACTGCCAAACATTCACAATCCAATCTTAACACAGAAAGAAAATGATGAACACACACACACACAAAAAACAAAACAAATAGGAAGAAACTCTAATACAATACATCACTTGAATCACCAGCTATAAAGTGACTGTAAGACAGTAGTTTGGGGCAGTAACAATGAAAACCGATGGGTATTTTTTTTTTTTTTTTTTTACTTATTGAGCACTTTATCCAAGAATAAAAAGCTCTCAGCCACTGAAGCTACACTGGATCTTCCTGCAAATTATTTCTGAAACTGAATTCCCTACTAAAAACTAGCACCTACACATGTCTAACGCAGTGCACCCGTTTTAATTCTACAAACTGTGCCCTCATTCAGCACCTTGTACTCGCCCTGACCTAAAGCAGTGATAGGGATCCAGCATTGTCACTTTATAGTCCGGCCATCTGTCATTTCAGTAAGTGCCGCACGTTCACCCAGCAGAATGACACCCACATCTTTCCCATCGCCCTCTGCACTATAACCTTGTCCCATACCCTTCAAGCTCAGGAATAAAGGCAGCTGCCGTGCCCCAAGCCTATTATTACCATCTATTCTAATGAAGTATCCCGCTCGTTCCACGCTTGGAATCCTGCCCCTGCTCGTTACATTGTAACCCGCCGCTCTCCCTTACCTGCTCTCAAGTACCCATACTGCAAATTCAAAGCCGTGCACGCGTTGCCAGCGGTTCTCACGCCCGTGCACGAGCCTAGCTCTCACTGTGCACAATCCCACCGGCAGACATGTTTGTTGTTGGCATTTCCCCTTTCTCAGACAGGAAACTATCATATAAACCTCTACAATCTTTGGTTAAAAACTAGGGGAAGAGGAAGTGCTAACTCCCCCCTTGGAGTGTGAGCCCCCAGATGTCCTTTTAGTGCAAAAACCAAATGGTGGCCATTTTTTTATTGAAGTGTAGCACAGGTATTTGTGATTGTTTTAATGCACTCATTACATGCTAATTTACATTTACCCAATGTGATTTTTTTTTCACCAATTTACATAGGTTATGTGGTTCAAAATGTTTTTTTCCATTAATAGTTTTTATTGAAGTTTTTCAGCATTATGAAGGACAGTGCAGTACAATAAAAGCATCACAGCCAAATCATGACAAGAAGTATAGTTATTGTAGTAGGGTGTGGAACTGCACTCTGTCCCAAGTAGTATGTAGCTGGGTGCAACTAGGGCAGTCCCAGTACCAGAGACCAAATACTAAGTAACAAATAGAAGAGAGGTCCAGGCTCTCCAAGGTACAAACCAGGCAATTTTATTGAAGCCACTCCATCACAACTTTTCGAACTACACAGTCTTTGTCAAGCTACTAAGTGTATGTGTACATTCATTTTTATAGGAATACAAGTGATTTACAATTAACAAGGTTACATCAATTAAACAATCAATTAATTAAACATAAATTCAATTACCTCCATATACAATCCTCAGTGTAGTTACATTGATAGTAAAGTTGTTGTGCAGGGAAGGGATGGCTCGCCTGGAAAAGTAGTGGCGGCTAGGAACCACGTACTGTGGGAGAGCCACCGCCATCGGGTTTTTAAAACTGCCCAGCTCCATCAGACGGAATGACATCATTTAAAAGGCCAGGAATTTTTAAATGCTGGCATTCAGGGACAGGGATCGCGGGTGGGTACTTCCTCTTTCTCTCCAGTGTTTGGGAGATAGACAGCTGAACGTTTCCGTGAGACAGTGTGGAGATGCTTGGGGATGGTGGCAGACATGGTGGCGTTGCTGCCACATCTTCTGTTTGCGGGGTGGCATGTGCCACTGTCACTCCAGAGGTGGAGGAAGAGGAAGCAGGAGGAGAGCTTTCTTGGTTTTTGAGGTGCTTACTCCACTGCAGCTTGTGCTTTGCATGTAGATGCCTGGTCATGCAGGTTGTGCTCAGGTTTGGAACGTTTATGCCTCGCTTCAGGCTCTGATTGCACAGCATGCAAACCACTCGTGTCTTGTTGTCAGCACATTGTCTGAAGAACTGCCACGCCAGGGAACTCCTTGGAGCTGGCTTTGGCGTGCTCGGTCCGCAGGTGCAATGGGCAGTAGCAGGCGTACGGTCTATGGGACGGCCGCTCAGTTTTTGCACCCTGCTCCCTCTTATGCTGTGCTGGTGCCTCTGTGCGACCACCGCCTCTTCCTCCAAACTGCACACATCACTCGCATGACCTTAATTCCATGTGGGGTCTAGGACCTCATTATCCTCCACATCATCTCAACCCTGCCCTCCTTGCCGGTCTGCACACTGCAGAAAGCCACAGCACTTGGCACCTGTGTTTCGTCATCAGAGTTGTGCTGCGGTGGTCCTTGCATGTCCACATCCTGGCACATAAGTGGTTGTGCATCACTGTACTCAATCTCTTCCACTTCTGGAGCAGGGCTGGGTGGATGGCCCACGGAAACCCCACCAGCAGAGTCTGTAGCTGGCACAGATCGATCATGTGCTCTCCGTGCAAGAGTAGCTTCATCAACACCAGCAGCACCACATCCCTTATTTGACACTCTCCTCATTCTTTGCGTTCACCCACCAAACTAACAGATGGTTTATGTCAGGCGACAATGTAACCGCCAATAGTCAACAATTAAGTTCACTGACAGTAAGGCAGTGCCGGTGTCCTAAAGAGAGAGAATTTCTAGAGTTCACACAACAGTGTGACAGACGTAATTAATACAGTTACTTCACTGTCTCAAATGTGAATTTGTCAAACAACAATGTAACGGTAGTATTTAACGGTTTTATTGGACTGCAAGAAATGCACCGCAGGCCGCAAATGTACTATTTAGCATTAAAAAAAAAAAATCAGAATTTTTCAAAGTGCGATGTAACCACAGTATTTGACAGTTCTATTTGACTCTCAGATATGAATTGCATGCCCCAAATTTACTTTTTAGCACCAAAAAAATGTGATTGCTTATTTCTCTGTGGCACTGGGCTCAGGGCAGGGCACAAAAATGTAGTATAGCACCCACAAAAATAATCGCTGTAGTTTGCAGATTCAACACCAGAATTCTTTCCTAATCTGTCCCTCACAGATGCAGCACCCTCTCCCTACACTAATAAGAGCTCATGTGACGTGCGGTGCTACGTGACTCCAGCTTATATAGAGGCTGGGTCACATGCTGCACTGGCCAATCACAGCCATGCCATTAGTAGGCATGACTATGATGGCTTTTAAGGGCACACGAGTCAAACGCTTGTTGATTGGCTGCCGTGCAGCTTTTCAAAACACGCCATTAAATCGCTGAACACCGAACTCTAACCCGAACTGTTACTGAAATGTCCAGGTTTGTGTTCGGGGTCAAAAAATCGTGATGTTCGGGTTTGCGCAACTCTAGTATCTAATTGAACATGTTTGTGGCATGATTTGTTCGGGTACCGAGGATTGTTCGTGCACGGAGACTTTTTTTTAGTTGAAATTTGTGTTCGACTTCTGAATTGTTAGAGAAAGGGATCGTTTGAGTACTGAGGTTCGACTGTATATGTATAATATATACACATTTTTTATTTTTACCAAAAATATGGGAACAGAGTGGAAAATATAGCATTAATATGACGCCTAGGGTGTCCCTTTACAGAGAATCACCAGTACCTCCTTTAAATGTTAAAATATTCCATTGAATAAAACATAAAAAAAAAAAACACAACTGTAACCCGTGGTAACCTTATGTGTGATTATCACTTTTCTTTTAAACATAAGAGCTTAGAGGATACAGTGATGTAGATTTCTAATTTTTTTTGTTTTTCACACTTCACATACATGTATTTGTTAGGCTTCCCTTTAGCTAATAAAAACCTACCTTCAAATTAGCAATTGCACACGTTGTTGCTACCCTTTTTTCAATGCCCTTTTGGTTTCATTCAATTTCAGACACAGCTCTTTTTGTCTCTTGATTTTATTTTTTTTAAATATACAGCACATAACAAAATCCTCCCTTATACGCAGAATATTCTAAACATCAGAGACACTGCATTAAGGAAATGGTTTTCATTAACCCCTTAAGGACACATGACATGTGTGACATGTCATGATTACCTTTTATTTCAGAAGTTTGGTCCTTAAGGGGTTAAACCGAAATGTCAGGAACATTATAGAGAATGTTATATTTTAGGATAATATCGACAAACTGGAAACATAGCATGATCAGTAATTCAATAGTCAATTTTACACAATTCCTGGTTTAGTAAAGAGGCCTGCCTGATATTCACACATGCAATGACCAAAGTGGTCTGGCGTTTGTGAAGACGGTAGATGTAGCTTAAGTCTAAATGGCTCATCGAGGAAGAGTAGTCCGCAGATACAGATCTCTAATATAATACTCGTTACCCAGTGTGTATTAATTTATCCACCCACTTACGTTTACATGGACATTGGGTGCATTGCTAATATTTTATCTTTGTTTTATTACTTCAACTTAATGAAGGTATGAAAACAAAAAAACAAAACAGGAGTCAGAAGAATCCTGAATCTTGTAACAGTTACACGCTAGAGGAAAAAAAATATATATATATATTTTTTTACAATATAAATAATCATGGTAATAAAGCATTGATGAGGGAGTGAGGGGGAATAAAGGTGACAAACATAACAATAACAAAACCAAACGACATCCTAGAACACAAAAACAAAAACTGTAATCTACATTTTACCTGAAAGCCAACAGGCCCAAATAAAGTGCATTCTATTTCTAAGTTTATAAGAACTAGCTCAAAAGTCTCATTCAGTCCTCACACGAATGCTGTTTTGCCAACATAATGGTGAATAATGACAGGTTTGTGAAGAAAACTGCTCCCCTAGCCCCACTCATGAGAAATATAGTTCAAACATGTGGAATGCCAAGATTAGTCATTAAAGGACCACTCTAGGCACCCAGACCACTTCAGCTTAATGAAGTGGTCTGGGTGCCAGGTCCTTCTAGGGTTAACCCATTTTTTCATAATTATAGCAGTTTCAGAGAAACTGCTATAATTATGAATGGGTTAAGCCTTCCCCCTAATCCTCTAGTGGCTGTCTCATTGACAGCCACTAGAGGCGCTTGCGTGCTTCTCACTGTGATTTTCACAGTGAGAGCACGCAAGCGTCCATAGGAAAGCATTGTAAATGCTTTCCTGCGACGGGGAATGCGCGCGCAGCTTTGCCACGCGTGCGCATTCAGCCAGGAGGGGAACGGGGAGGAGAGGGGGAGAGAGCTCCCCCCCAGCTGAAAAAAGGTAAAACCCTTTCCCCCTTTCTAGCCCGGGCGGGGGGGGTCCCTGAGGGTGGGGGCACCCTCAGGGCACTATAGTGCCAGGAAAACGAGTATGTTTTCCTGGCACTATAGTGGTCCTTTAATACCAAACAGGGAAGATGCTGACATGAAGGAATGCGAGGACTTTGAAGCAATTTTTCTATGTAGCTCAGAAAACCCAAGTGGCAAAGTATGCACAACTATTAAAACGGTTCTGTCAACTCCCCCTGCTTCCCCCCCCCCCAAAAAAAAAAAAGCATTTCATAAAAAGAATATATTAATGAAATGCTAATAATGACTATGTAGGAATATTACTGAACTACTTTGTCTTATGTATTTTTCCTACACAAGACAAAAATGGGTGCAAAGAACAGGTTCAGTTAAGTAAAACCTACATTTCCTTGCACCACAGGCCACTGCAAGTTATGATGACACCATCTGTGTTTTTTGCAAAATATGCACCCCCACCCCCTCCTCCCCCCCCAAAAAAACCCCAGAAGGTGGCAGAGCGGCTATAAAGAAAGAGGAAATACATGATTTGTAGTGTGTTATTACTGGAGTGGTTATCTTCTGTATCAAAATGAAGTTATAACAGCTAAATGGGCATTCCAGACTGATGTTGACCCATATTTTATATACAGAATACATTTAAAATATCTGCACAGACATTCGTTACTAAGATTGCCAGATCCACCAAATTTTCCTGGAAACTTACAAGAGTTCATGCAGCAGCAAGAATATCAGTTAATCAAAGTAGAGTCTTAAGGATCCTTGCTCACATTATATGAATCATATATACACACTTATTTTTATTAGTTTTCATGTATGTTTAAATATTTTGGGGTGCAGTCACTGAACTTATTTGAGTATGTGTTCATAAGATGTTATATTATACTTTCCGTGTCCACAAGGTAACCCTATGAGAAGCATCTGATTGGACACTACCCAGCACGAACATGAATGTAGGTACTGGGCAAAGAGGAGGCACATCGGGTTAGCTGCAAAAGCAATGTTTTACAGCTCATAAAAAGTAGGAATTTAGCCAATTCACATATCTGCAGTTACTAAATTTCGCCAAAAAAGTTTCCAATTGAACTGTATTGTTCAAATTCATTAAAAAATATACATTTTGTAGACTTTCCTTTTAATGGGAAGCCAATGTTAGGGTGCCCTTTTAAATGCCTATCATTTAAAAAGGGCACTTTAAAAATACATTTTTTTTATTGCTCATCTAAAAAAAAAAACATAATAAATTACTTACACACCTATGCTTTAAGAAATTGACCTTGTACCCAATAAAAATAATGGGACAAATGCTTTTATCGCAGGGAAAAAAAAAATGTTTTAAAGGCCACTTTTTAAGTCTATATGAAATTATGTATACAATAAAATTGTCTTTTCAATAGTGCATCAAATAAAAACCACAAAGATCTGAATTAAAAGTGGGTGTTGAAAGAAAGCACATATATTGCAGCCAGTATGTATCTAAATAAGGCCCAAAATGAAAGGTGTTGATAGAAAATTGCATCAGAACAACTTAAGTGTAGTGGTGTTTATATAAGGGTTTATATTATTCTTGCAGCAGTACGGCGTTTACTGGCTATCCCTATCTGGCTCGGCAGACAATTCCACTAGAAATACTAAAACACAAAATCAAGTAGGGAACACCTCACCTTCTATACACAGAAACTAGCACAAAAACCCAGCATTATAAACGTTCTGTAAACAATGTTCTACTTGTTCTCATGATGTTTTACTCTCCCACAATTGTCTAGTCTAACAATACTGCTGGAGCGAGAAAAACTGCTCTATGCAACAAAGCAGATGTGGATGGTTTAATGTTGTGGTTAAATAAGCACTTTATTTCCATGGCTTAGTATGAGGACTGCTGCTGCGCATGGTTCGGGAGCTGATCGAGCTGGCAGATGAGGGTAAATGGCTGTTTCTTGAGCTGGCCATTTTGGATTCCAGTCTTGCAGTTGATAAACGGCTGGATCTGCCTGAAAACAGAGATATAGTGGTCGTTATGCACTATTTTTTGGACTTTATTGACCTTATATTGATTAGTATGAGACATTGAATTGGACTAAATTTGAATCACCTTTCATAAGTTTCTTTGGATGTTTTATTTATCAGCTAATATGTCGCTTCAATCGGTAGGTGACTTTAGTTCTAGTAAATACACTTTATGGATAGAAATACTGTGGCATTCCACCGAGAGATAGCATTCAACCTTTATTGTACAAATCTTTGGGGTCGGGTGGGAAGGCAGGGGGGGAACGGCAGGTGGGCACTATAGGGAGCTATAGTGACAGAAACAACTGTTTTCCTGGCACTATATCAGTTTAAATAAAAATCACAGCATCTACAATGGCATGTGCTGTAGTTGTTGTGAAGGAAAGCAGAACAACCAGCTTTATGAGTGTTCTCGTTAGTCAGTCCTTAGGTTATGCACATGTGTACCAGGCTGTACCTTTGATATTGTCTCAAAGTGTGACCAGCACTGGACACAGCCATCAAATATGTATCAAAGATCCCATGTCATGACACCACTGGGGCAACTCATGTGAGGGATACTAGGTTTCTTTCTCCCCCTCCACTTTATACACATATAGATATTGATAGCACTTACTGGCAGAGTCAATCGACGTGAATGTTTTCTCAAGATGCTGCTCTATCATTTCCAGTTCTTCGGTAGAAAATCTCCATTTGTTCTCAGCAGGTATAAAGACTTCTTTTGGAATGACTCTCTTGCGACCAGACTTTGGCTGTGTAGACTGTGGCAGGCACGTAACAGGGAATGTACCAGTTGTAAGACCTTCGGGGAATTTTTGTGCAATGACTTTTAAACCTGTATAAAGCAGCCAGACTATTAAAATGTGTTCTTGGTATTCAAGCAACAAATGCATTTCATCCTACTAGTTAAAATACCAATGCAATATTATAAAACGTTTAAAGGGACCCTCCACTGCCTAAATAAAAATAAATAAGATCACTGTTTAGTAGTTATGTGCAAAATGAAAACATGCATTTTTTTTCCAATTTCAATATATACACCATCCTTCTTTTCTATTCCCACACAAGTTTCAGTAATGATTATTATCGCCATTTATATAGACCAACAGATTCCGTAGCGCTTTACAAAATTATGAGAGGGGGGATTTAACTATAAATAGGACAATTACAAGAAAATCTACAGGAACGATAGGTTGAAGAGGGCCCTGCTCAAACGAGCTTACAGTCTATAGGAGGTGGGGCATAAAACACATTAGGACAGGAGATAGCAATCAAATAAGGTGGGAGTGAAGCAGAGCTGGAGGAGAGAGTAGAGTGCTGCTCATGTATGTAAGGTAGTGGTTAGTCTGGGAGGCCATAAGCTTTCCTAAAGAAATGGGTTTTAAGGTACTTCTTAAAGGATTGAAGACTATGGGAGAGTCTGATGGCGGTTGGCAGGCTATTCCATAGGAAGGTAACCACCCACGAAAAGCCCTGCAAGCGCGAGTTGGCTGTATGGGTGCGAGCAACGGACAGGAGGGGAGAAGGGGCATACCTATGGATCTGTGAGGAGATAGAGGGGCTAAAATTGTTCAGTGCTTTATAGGTATGGGTTAGCACTTTGAATTAGAAACATAGAATGTGACAGCAGATAAGAACCAGTCAGCCCATCTAGTCTGCCCAATTTTTTAAAATACTTTCATTAGTCCCTGGCCTTATCTTATAGTTAGGATAGCCTTATGCATATCCCACACATGCTTAAGCTCCTTTACTGTGTTAACCCTTTACCACTTCAGCTGGAAGCCTATTCCATACATCCACTACCCTCTCTGTAAAGAAATACTCCCAGATATTATTTTTAAACCTTTGCCCCTCTAATTTAAGACCTCTTGTTGTGGTAGTTTTTCTTCTTTTAAATATAGTCTCCTCCTTTACGGTGTTGATTCCTTTTATGTATTTAAAGGTTTCTATCATATCCCCCTTGTCTCGTCCTTCCTCAAAGCTATACATGTTAAGTTCCTTTAACCTTTCCTTGTAAGTTTTATCCTGCAATCCATGAACCAGTTTAGTAGCCCTTCTCTGAACTCTCTCTAAAGTATCCATATCCTTCTGGAGATACGGTCTCCAGTACTGCGTACAATACTCCAAATGAGGTCTCACCAGTGTTCTGTACAATGGCATGAGTACATCCCTCTTTCTACTGCTAATACCTCTCCCTTTACAACCAAGCATTCTGCTAGCATTTCCTGCTGCTCTATTACATTGTCTGCATACCTTTAAGTCATTTGAAATAATAACCCCTAAATCCCTTTCCTCAGATGTTGAGGTTAGGACTCTATCAAATATTCTGTATTCTGCCCTTGGGTTTTTATGTCCAAGATGCATTATCTTGCACTTATCCACATTAAATGTCAGTTGCCACAACTCTATTTTTCTAGTTTACCTAAATCATTTGCCATTTGGCTTATCCCTCCTGGAACATCAACCCGGTTATATATCTTCGTATCATCAGCAAAAACACATACCTTACCACCAAGACCTTCTGCAATATCACTAGTAAAAACATTAAAGAGAATGGGTCCAAGTGCAGATCCCTGAGGTACCCCACCGGTGACAAGAACATGCTTTGAAAATACTCCATTGACTACAACCCTCTGTCACTCAGCCACTGCCTTACCCATTTAACAATATTGGAATCCAAACTTAAAGATTGCAGTTTATTGATAAGCCTTCTATGTGCAACAGTGTTGTTTGTCCCTAGATGGACAAGTACATCCAATTCCCCTTCCTGCTTTGCTCGCTTAACAATATTACAAATACGTCTCCTGTCTCTGTGAGCAGTAGCTCCGGGAAGACATCTCACAAGACCACCATTGTCCATCTCCACACCTGTTATGATAGAATCCCCCAACAACAACTGCTTTCTATTAGGCCTCACCAAGGTCTCCAAGCCTGTCTCCACAACACCACTACCCCCCGTGCCTGAGCCTGTGGCCACAACACCACTACCCCCCGTGCCTGAGCCTGTGGCCACAACACCACTACCCCCCGTGCCTGAGCCTGTGGCCACAACACCACTACCCCCCGTGCGTGAGCCTGTGGCCACAACACCACTACCCCCCGTGGCTGAGCCTGTGGCCACAACACCACTACCCCCCGTGGCTGAGCCTGTGGCCACAACACCACTACCCCCCGTGGCTGAGCCTGTGGCCACAACACCACTACCATCCGTGGCTGAGCCTGTGGCCACAACACCACTACCCTCAGTGCCTGAGCCTGTGGCCACAACACCACTACCCTCCGTGGCTGAGCCTGTGGCCACAACACCACTACCCACAGTGCCTGAGCCTGTGGCCACAACACCACTACCCTCAGTGCCTGAGCCTGTGGCCACAACACCACTACACTCAGTGCCTGAGCCTGTGGCCACAACACCACAGCCTGTCTCCTATAGTATACAGGAAGCCAATGTAAGGGATGACATAGGGGTGAAGTGTGAGAGAACTGACTAGAGAGGGAAATCAGTCTGGCTGTGTTGTAGAATTATTAGGCCTCTATAAATTTGTAAGGCCCCTTTAAATCCTCTTGCTATACCTCTAAGAGGCCCCCATAGTTTTACAAGGAAGCTTTGTCTATAGAACATAGAATTTGCATGTCAGCAAGAAATAGCTTTGATAAAATGTGTATTTACTAAAATCCTTGAAACTTAACCTTGAGAAACTAACAAGTGCCAGCTACGCTCCAAATGGATAGCTGCCAAAAGGCCCCTCCCGTCGAGTGAGCTCCTCATTTTAGCAAGATGGCGCTAAAACCTGTAGGAGTTAAGAAATTACGTAGATAGTGACCTAAGAATGGGGAGGGCATTTTACTAACATCTTAGCACCTAAGCCAATTAACAATGTCTATTTGTCTATATCTTGATTTTCTTCAATGATGTAATAATGCCTTTATAAGGGTCTGCGCACCCATTTTCTGTCAGAAGCCATTAAACTTCTCTGAAGTTCTTTCATTACCCTGAACCTTGTGTCTCAGTGTGAATTTACTTCAGCGTGCACGCAACTTTATTATCTTTAATTTGGACAGGAACAGATAGTCATTCAAACTAATTGGTTTGCAGTAAATCATCTAGAACAATTGGCGCCCAACGTGGGGCTCTGGGCTATGTCCAGTCTGGGCAGCTGTCCAAGAAGACGCTGGGGGGGCTGAATCCTGGGGGAAGGAAAAGAGCCTGATCACCTCTGAATACACGGTAGAGATTGCTGCAGCACCTAGCCGGTATGTTCCTGCCCCTGTGATTGACCTGTCCCAGTGTCTGTGACTGCTGCCGAGAGGACATCAAAGTCAGGTAATAACTTGCCCAGAGTCTTTGTATTGTTAATGATACCTAGTTTACCTGCATGTTGACTATCTGTTGCCTGGGTGTGTTTGTATTGGTATGTGTTTAACTTAGTACCCGGGGAGTGTAAGTGCCTGTTTAACCCCTTTTAGGTACCACATGCCTGTGGTAGTAAGGAAAAAGGGGGGTGGACCTGTGGAAGTTTTCCTGGGGGTCCTCTATTGCCTGTTTAACTCTTTTAGGAGCCACGTGGCTGTGGCTGTAAGGAAAAAGAGTAGGGGGGATCTGTGGAGGGCAGTAGACTCACTGCTTCCTGGGGATCCCCAGAGTGTCATTTTGACCGCTTAGCTAGCCTCATCAGACACTTCTTCTTGGTAAAATTCCAGTCTCAAGCGCTGAGACAGGTAAGATTCCAATTCTTTAGGCTATACAGGATTCGGGTTGGAAGCTGTTGCTGTTTCCTGTGGCTGCTGGTAGTGAGACTTGCGGGTGGGTCCGCAACAGGGACACTACGAGGTTGAGGGAGGTGGCTTTTGGCCACACGAGTAAAGGCAAGGGATAACACTGTTGAACTTATTTGAACTGTGATGCATGCACTGTATTTACACTGAAATGTTATTGACTTATTTGTCTGTCACACAGATTCCTGTGTTTACTTTTATCTTACTCACTGTACTATTTTCACTTTCCCCTCCTATTTCTCTTTCTCTGTTGAGAGAAGTGATTGGTCACACACTTCTCGCCACGCTCCAATCCGCGGCTACCACGGGTAGGCGGAATCAGTGACTAGTCTACGTTTTGGGAAGACGTACTTAAAGAGCTTGCTCTTAAAGTAGCAGTCGAGCACGGTAGACATTCTGTTCCTTTCTCTCTCTATATCTGGGACGCCTTGTATAGGGAATATGGGACAGAAACTGGGAAAACCCGATAAGGGTTGGCTAGCACGAGACTTGGTAGAAGATAGGGAAGGTGAAGAGATGGTTAAGAAGGTTGATAAGATTGCTAAAGTATGTGGCATCACGGTACCCCCGTGTGGTAGATTGCAGCCAGAAAGCTGGCGTAAGATACTGACAGAGAAGAAAGGCAAGTTAATGGACAATGATTTAGTCCGCACAGCGGAAGCCTGGTACAGAGTAGCCAAAGCCATCCAGCAAGAGGGATGGATTGAACAAGAGGTTGATTACAAGGGTGTGAAAATGTTTGTGTATCATAAGAATTTTGTCACTGGAAATTCTCCCCAGCACGCGCCTAGTTATGGCACACATGAGGTGGCCACCCCTTTCCCTGACACTACCCCTGTTTGCCCTGTCCTGAATGCCGATGGATCTGTATTTTCCCCTCCATCGATTTCCCAACTCCCATCATCCTCATCCCTTCCTTTACCACGCCCATCTTCCTCCAGTCCATTGCACCCCTCCAGCATGCCCTCCTCCCGCCCGTCCTCTCCTGCCGTCCCACCTGCCTATTCATCTTCCTCCTCCCCTCCTACCGACCCACCCTCTCCATTTTCTCCTCCTCCTACTACTCCCTTACTTCCTTCTTCCGTATTCTCAGACCCTCCTACTCCACCCTATCCTCCTCCCACTCCTCCAGCTCCTCCTACTCCACCCTATCCTCCTCCCACTCCTCCAGCTCCTCCTACTCCACCCTATCCTCCTCCCACTCCTCCAGTTCCTCCTACTCCACCCTATCCTCCTCCCACTCCTCCAGCTCCTCCTACTCCACCCTATCCTCCTCCCACTCCTCCGGCTCCTCCTACTCCACCCACTCCCAGTCCCTCCCCCTCCCCGTCACATCCTCTCCCTAATCCCTACCCACCGCCACCGCCCTACGCCTATTCTGCCTATCCGCCCGCCCAAATGCCTTGGCCCTTAGCCTATGCCTATTCCACACTTCCGCCTCCCCAGCCCGCCTATCCCGTACCTCCCATATTCACACAGCCGACCCCGATTACACCTGCCCACACTTTGCCCACATCCAATATGGCCGCCACTTCCTCACTTAACCCGAACGCAACTTCCTTCCACGCCTCCAATATGGCGTCCCCCAGTAACATAGCCCCTCTTATGCCCGTTCTTCCGAATGATCTGCTACCTCCACCCCATAGCTCACCAGCAGCCCCGGCTGGTGGAGTGCCCCTTCTACCCCCGGCCCTGTCACCACAGGTAGTTCCCTCCCCGGGAGTCCGGATAGCACATGCAGATGAATTTGACACGGTAAGCTCCCATGGTTACCAGTCCCCACCAGACTCCAGGGAGATTTCGCCCCAACCTCCGCGACGTTCTCTTAATGATCCCTTTGGTCGCAGGGTTCAAGGGGACAAAGCCCCGGTAATGTATGTTACCTTTAACCCAACACAGGCCAGTGCCCTGATGAAGTCACTCCCTGACCCAGAAAAGCAACCTATGCCCTTTTACAGAGCAGTGGTCCAGATTCAACAGACCTATTCCGCCGCATGGCGTGATTTGCTGAGCCTCTGTGCCATTAAGGCTGGAGATGCCTACTGGCCTAGCATTGCTCGCCACCTATGCACTAATTGGTTGTCAAGTGATACCGATTATACGTCCGGACTTGAGTTCTGTGATCAGCTAAAAGCTTGGGCCAAAGATAAACTTGCTGATCAGGCAGCCGGACTTAATGATATTGTCCAGGAAAAAGGTGAATCCGTAGAGAGGTTTCACGCTAGGCTCTTTCAAGTATTCTCTGACCTAGGGTTTGAACTTAGCAATAAAATACATGCCCAAATGCTTTCTGGTGCCTTTGTACAGGGCATCAAAGACTCTATACGGAAAGGTATTATTGCTGCCCGCCCTGAGTATAGAGTGGTTCCCCTTGATAAGCTGCTTTTAGTTGCCCGTGGTTTGGAGGCAGCACAGGTGCCAAGAAGATCCAATCCCACCCCCCTTATGGTATCACGCCCGCCGATTCCCAGAGGCACTAGGCCTGAGGATGGAATTTGCTTTAATTGTGGGGTGAAAGGCCATTTTAGAAGTGACTGCCCTGAACCCATAAAACACCGGAGGCCATACGCTGGCAAGCAAACTTCCAAGTCCGCCACTACCACGAAGGCCCCAGAAACCCCTTCACCTGATTCAGCCCAAGAAGACTAGGACACCGGCAAGCCTGTGTCATTAACCCCTGTTATGGCAGTGTCTTCAGGGGAACAAGGGGGGCCTCTTGCTACTGTAATTTTACCCATTGAGGGCCAGCCCACCACTTTCCTAGTTGACACAGGTGCAGCCCGAAGTGTTCTGAGAGAACAAGACCTGCCCGATGCCTCATTTCTTTCCAATATTGATGTCTCCTGTGTTGGGGTGGACGGCCTTCCAAGGCAAAGTCCCCTGTCCACCCCACTGCGGGTTGGTAACTGCCACAACTTGCTTGCTCGCTTTGTGGTATCTTCCACATGCCCCATTAACCTGTTAGGAGCTGATGTTCTTTCACGCCTGCAGGCATCCATCACCTTTACTCCAGATGGACAAGTGGAACTATCCACCCCTCTATCTGTCTCAGACACCTCAGCTTTGTGCTCCTTACCCCTGATGCTACATCTAGAAGAGCCTCATGGGGATGCAAAAGACCTAGGACTAATTTCCCTGATTCACTAAAGACTGATGTTCCCAAGAAGCTGTGGTCCACAGGCCCAGAGGACATAGGCCATCTAAAGGTCCCGCCTGTGGTGGTAAAGCTCATCCCAGGCGTAAAATTGCCACGAAAATCACAGTATCCTTTGAAACCAGCTCAAGCTGCAGCCATTACAATTCAAATTCAAGCACTCCTGGAGAAGGGTGCTCTTGTCAAATGTGAATCACCATGCAATACTCCATTATTTCCAGTAAAGAAAAAGACTCCAAAAGGCGAACCAGAAAAGTACAGATTGGTCCAAGACCTCAGAGCGGTAAATGAAGCCACAGTTTTGGACACTCCAATAGTGCCCAACCCACACACTCTCCTTTCCGGCGTTCCACCCTCTGCCAAGTACTTCACTGTCATTGATCTAGCCAATGCCTTCTTCAGTGTTCCCCTGGATCCAACTTGCCAATATCTGTTTGCTTTCACACATGACAAACAACAGTACACATGGACTGTCATGCCCCAAGGGGCACAAAATTCACCAAGTCAATTTGCGAAGGCCATGTGCTCTATCCTTGATCCATGGCAATCTGACCATCCTGAGGTCGTCCTGCTTCAATATGTGGATGATTTGCTGCTTTGTGGAGATGATATACCCACAACAGAACAATGCTCACTTAATCTTCTTTGCTACCTAGCAGAACAAGGATGTAAAGCTTCACGTCTCAAGCTGCAATTCTGCCAACCTACTGTTATTTTCCTTGGCCATTGTCTGTCTCAGGGAACCAGACATCTTACCCGTGACCGAGTTAGAGCGGTACTGGACATTCCACCTCCAAGGACCTCGAAGTCACTACACGCCTTCCTAGGCCTCATTTCCTATTGCCGAGCATGGATCCCAGAAGCCTCGCTCCTTATGCAACCTCTTTATGATGCTCTCAAGTCAGACCCATTTTGCTTGTCCACAGAAGCCCTTGACAACTTCTGTTCTCTCAAACGTGCTATTGCTTCTGCTCCTGCTCTTGGCCTACCAGACTATACCAAACCCTTCAAATTGTTTGTTTCTGAAAGACAAGGCCATGCAACAGGAGTACTCACTCAGGCTCATGGTCCTGGAGGCCGCCAAAGGCCTATTGGATTTTTCTCCTGCCAACTGGATATTGTGGCCAGAGGACGTCCCTCTTGCCTTCGGGCCGTCTTTGCTGCCAGAGAGCTCATTGAAAGAACTGGAGATCTTGTCCTTGGCCACCCCCTGGTTGTCTTGGCCCCTCATGACATTTCTGCCATAGTCAACCAGGTCCAACTTAAGCATGTTACTCCTGCCAGGCATCTTCGCCTTCAATGTCATCTTTTGTTGCCTGACAACATTACCCTCCAAAGATGTCAAGTTCTCAATCCGTCCACTCTTCTGCCACTCCCTGAGGGGGGTGTATACTACGGATTCATCATGGACGAAATTTATGTTTTCTTCTCACTGGCACCATCAAGAAGGAAATGCATCCCAACCTATCCTTTTATGATGGACAAGCACTCCTTCATGACGGAGCAAGACATGCCTTCTGTACCATGTGGTACAAACCAAACATCACTCCTGAACCCTGCTATGAAGATGAACTCTATAAGCTGGTTGAAGTAAAACTCACTGCACAAGACTTCTACTGTGATTCTGAAGGCAACAGTATGGTCTTGATTCATCTACCTCCGGAACTCAAGCATTTGTACCGTCATTGGGACACTGCCATTCCACATGTCCCTGTGACCAAGTTGAAAACAATATCATGGAATGATCTTGGGCCTATGGCAAAAGCATGGGCCACTATGGACGAATCACAGCTACAGGAAAATGGTGTTGTCAAATATCCAACAACTGACCACCTAAAAGCATGGCCACGTCATTTCCTGGAGAATGAGTTCCAAGATTTAACCATAGTGAATGACTACGACCCAGATACACCTCATGACTGTTTTGAACAGATGAAAATGGAAACAACACATCTACCAACTGTGCATGAAGACCCATTGGTAGATCCCGATCTCACCCTGTTTGTGGACGGCTCAAGATATGCTGATGAAGAAGGAAGATACCATACAGGATATGCCGTAACCACAACAGATGAAATTGTCAAATCATCATCTTTACCATCAACTATGTCTGCACAAGAAGCTGAATTGCAAGCCCTGACTTCAGCATGCAAGATCTCTGAAGGAAAGCGCGCCAATATCTACACGGATTCAAGATATGCACTGGGCGTGGCTCACGACTTCGGATTAATTTGGAAAACAAGAGGATTTCTTACCACCGCCGGTACACCAATCAAGCACGGTTCCGCAATCAAGGAGCTGATGGACGCCCTCCTACTCCCAGAAGAAGTGGCTATTTTAAAGATAAAAGCACATGGGAAGTTGGACTCAGATGAAGCAAAGGGCAACCATCTAGCTGATCAAGCTGCAAAACAAGCTGCAAGAGAACCACAGGAAGTGGAAAGAAGAGTGTCCGGAAATGAAGAGACTCCCATATTTACTCTGCAGACTCTTCCAACTGACCTGAAAATCCTGCGGGAACAACAGGCTACAGTTGCCCCTGAAGAAATACAGAAGTGGAAACAGAAAGGGGCAGTTCTAAGAGATGGAGTGTATTACAACAATCTCAGATTCTGCCTTCCTAAGAATCTATACCCAGCAGTTGTTCAGTGGGCACATGGCCCTGCACACCTATCAAAAGATTTGATGATTGCCCTTGTACAGAAGTACTATGAGGCTCCTGGAATTGCCACGCTAGCCAGCAATTACTGCAAAACGTGTGTCATCTGCGCCAAGTGCAATCCGGGGAAAATGACTAAAGTCCCTCCAAAACACTTGGCCAAGCCCATGTACCCGTTTCAAAGAATTCAGATAGACCACATCCAGATGCCAAAGAGTGGCAACTTCGAATATGCACTAGTAATAGTAGACATGTTCTCAGGCTGGCCAGAAGCCTACCCAGTGGTTAACATCACCGCAAAAACAACAGCAAGACGGCTACTTACAGAAATTGTATGTAGGTTTGGATTACCAGAAGTCATTGAAAGTGACCAAGGCCCAGCTTTCACAGCATCAGTAACTAAAGAGATTTGGGCCGCCCTAGGAGTGACCCTTGCCTTCCACACACCTTATCACCCACAAAGCAGTGGTAAGGTGGAGCGTATGAATGGCACCCTGAAAACTAGAATGCTAAAATGTCGCAAGAAACAAAAATGCCCTGGCCCGAAAGCTTGCCAATAGCCCTGTTTAGTGTCAGACATACACCTAGAGGGAAGCCCTCATTGTCCCCTTACGAGATTCTATTCGGGTCAGCACCCAGGCTAGGTTGCTATTTTCCCCAGCAATTACAACTTCATACTGATGTTTTGGTAAACTATGTAACTGAACTTGCCAATGCTTTGAACAAAATCCATGCCCAAGTTTTCTCTTCGAAAACACACCCTGGAACCAAGATTTGACGGACCGTTCCAAGTTCTCCTGATCTCCCCTACCTCTGTCAAATTGGCCGGAAGGCCTAACTGGATCCACGCTTCCCACTGCAAGAAGACACCTGCCCCAGAGGAAGCTAACTCTATGCAACCATGTGCCTCTGGTACATTATCTCCTTAGTTGGCCTCCTAAAACCACATATCCAGTCCTTTAAAGATATGATGGCCATCGCTAACCCCACTTTTGAAGATACCATGGCCGCTGAAACTGGATTCAATGACATTAATTTGTGGTTAGAATGGATGAGGTATAATGCTAACAAACATAATAAAACAGCATGTTATGTATGTGGCGGTGCCCGACCCCACCTTGGCACCGTCCCGCTAACTCTCCCTTTAGAGATAGAAGATTGCTTCTTAAGCCTTTTTGCCTACCAATATGACTTTAATAGGTCCCTCTGCATGGCATGGACGGCAGAATACCCTCTCTTAGTTGAAAATGTTAAGCCACCAGATGGAGTCACAGTCTATAGAGGTCTACACACTTGTTATGCCATGTATGACGGGATTGGTAAATTCATGGGTAACTTTTCTAAAGGTTATTGCGCCACTTACAGAACTGTTCCTATACGCCTGTTGCAACACCATACCAGGTCATTGGGGGATATTTACTGGTTATGTGGGGATCTACAGTTAAGATCTAGGCTGGAAACTGAGTGGTGGGGTGAGTGTACCCTGGCCAAAGTTATCATGCCCATTCATATTATTTCTGATAATCATCATGACACATACGACCCTCCACATACATCAGCCAGAGTAAGGCGCGAAACCCCAGTAAAAGGCAGTTTTGACCCCCACATTTACATAGATGCCATTGGGGTGCCTAGGGGGGTACCTAATGAATTTAAAGCTAGAGATGAAGTAGCTGTAGGTTTTGAATCACTTTTTACCATAGTCACTGCCAACAAAAACCTTAATTGGATTAATTATATCTATTACAACCAACAGCGCTTCGTGAACTACACCAGGGATGCCCTCCAGGGCTTGGCCGAGCAATTACAGGCCACATCCCAAATGACCTTCCAGAACAGACTGGCCTTAGACATGATCTTAGCCGAAAAAGGGGGAGTCTGTAAAATACTTCCCGACACTATGACTTGTTGCACTTACATTCCAGAAAACACAGGTCCTAATGGTAAAGTCACTCTAGCCATAGCTAAATTAAATAGACTCTCAGAAGAGTTAAAGAGAAACTCTGGAGTTACTGATCCCTGGGAAAAATGGTTTGGTTGGATGACTGGTTGGCAGAGAGCTTTAGTCCAGATTGGTATTGCCTTACTAATTTTTCTTTTTATTCTCGCTCTTCTCATTTGTTGTGTCCTCCCATGCCTAAGGAAATTCCTGCAGAAAACTGTAGACCAAGCAACACCAACCTTCACTCATCTGACAATCGATGATCAAGACCTCATCTCACCCTGTATTCCGCTACAAACTCTCCCTTATACTGATGAAGTGCAGAAAGTCTAGGAAGGGACAGTACAGGGACAGCGTCCGTCTTTATGGGTAGACTGCCGTACGGAGAAGTAGTGGATAAGCCACTATGGGTTACCAGCGGAGTGAAGAGTGTTCCTGAACCGTACTGACGGATGTGCTGCAGCCTGTTAGGGTCAAGAGAGGGATAGACTTGCACTTTGCATTAACACTAAGTCAGCGGTCATGGGGTTTCCGTGTCTTTGGGCTAATACTTCTTCTGATACTAACAAATAAAGTTTTGTCTTTTAGCAAATAACATTTTAGGGGGGACTGTTGTAGAATTATTAGGCCTCTATAAATTTGTAAGGCCCCTTTAAATCCTCTTGCTATACCTCTAAGAGGCCCCCATAGTTTTACAAGGAAGCTTTGTCTATAGAACATAGAATTTGCATGTCAGCAAGAAATAGCTTTGATAAAATGTGTATTTACTAAAATCCTTGAAACTTAACCTTGAGAAACTAACAAGTGCCAGCTACGCTCCAAATGGATAGCTGCCAAAAGGCCCCTCCCGTCGAGTGAGCTCCTCATTTTAGCAAGATGGCGCTAAAACCTGTAGGAGTTAAGAAATTACGTAGATAGTGACCTAAGAATGGGGAGGGCATTTTACTAACATCTTAGCACCTAAGCCAATTAACAATGTCTATTTGTCTATATCTTGATTTTCTTCAATGATGTAATAATGCCTTTATAAGGGTCTGCGCACCCATTTTCTGTCAGAAGCCATTAAACTTCTCTGAAGTTCTTTCATTACCCTGAACCTTGTGTCTCAGTGTGAATTTACTTCTGCGTGCACGCAACTTTATTATCTTTAATTTGGACAGGAACAGATAGTCATTCAAACTAATTGGTTTGCAGTAAATCATCTAGAACAGCTGCAGCATTCATTACAGATTGTAGCAGGGCAATACGGCTAATGGGAAGACCAATTAGCAGAGAGTAACAATAGTCCATGCGAGAGATTACTAGAGCACGGACAAGCTTTTTAGTAGCATCTTGTGTAAGAAAGGGGTGAAAGTGGGCAATGTTTTTAAGGTGGAATTGGCATGATTTGACAACAGAGGCCAGAATCAAAAGTAACACCAAGACAACGTGCTTGTAAGGATGGGATGATATTTGTATTACTGTAGATGTGATGGTATATTCATTTCACATACCCAGGGGTAGATTGTTTTTAAAAATTCTACCTGTTCAAGGGATTACAGTTGTAGCCCAATCTACTTGTCTTGACACAAAATACATTTATATTGGAAAACTTGGAGCCCCCACCAAGAAGCCTGGACATTTATTAAAGAAAGGAAAAATAGATTATTTTGACCCTACAAGGGGAAGAAGGCTTGGTGCAAGGTTGCAAATACATTAAGAGGGCTTACAATAACAAAATCGCCATTAGTGAGTGACAAGTTAGCCCTGGGGAGTAGACTATGGCTTGCAGTGGTGAGTAACTTTTAAGGCCTGGCTTGAAGCGCATAACTTAAAATTTCATTATGGAAGGAGGTTTGCTTGAGTAATCGAATGTTAAGTCAAGAATTGTTGGTTGAAAAAGCAGTAATCAGCCATTGAGCCCAAATCCCTGTATACACCAGCACCCTATCTTGTAATTCTTCCTGCAGTCTAAACTCTTACACCTTTCTATACCAGAAGTAGAATGGTGGGCTGATGTCCTGCCTCCAATACAAGGGTATTAGCTGTTAAGCTAAATTGAGAATATAGAAGGGGAGGAATTTCTACGAATACTTATTTAGTTAGAAATATTTGCAGATTTGGGGTTTATATAGTTTATTCACTATTATGCAGCTAAATGAAGTCAATTAGGACCTGACATTTTCTCATTTGTTCACCATGTCCATCAACAATACAATTTAAGAATGCTAATAACAGCAAGCAAGTTTGACAACAATTATTTAAGTATAGGACTGCATGTCTCAGAGTAAATTTTTCCTATTTTTGAAATCTTGGTCAAAAACATCATTTTCTATATTGAGCACCACCGTAACATTAAATTACCCATTGCAAAAAAGGTAATTGAATTAGATAACATACCTCCAGACAGCATGAAAACGTTCTCAAATCCTCTCTCACACATTGTGGTGGCTGCTTGACTTGCCATCCTCTCATCTTCATCATACAAGATAATTATTTTACCATGAGCATTTTTCTAAATACATGTGGTCAAGTGAAATTAATGATTTGCAGGTTTCTTCATTTGTTATATGTACAAAATATAACTTTACATGTCAATGTACACATATATAAAACACAAACACTTTGGTTTTATGCAGAGAAACATGACACTAGTCTATTAAACATTGGAAACTTTATAATATATTTTATTCTAAGTGTTGAGCTTTTATATTCATTTGGCAATTTGTAGGAACTCAATGAACATGCATCTGAAATATTTTTTGCAGAGCGACAGCTACATGGCACTTATTTACATGGAATAAACAATGCAGACCATATCTTTAAGCCTGTACTCAAATTCCACTGTTTAGTGGGAGCATATGCTGTGTGTCTAGAACCAAAACGTACCCTGGAGGATTGTCAGGCAGTGTTAAGCATAGTCAGGTAAAATGAGAGTTCATTTTAATGTTCTCAGACAACAAAGCCATTTTAACTTTTGTTTCAATTTAAAAGAAAATATACATATACATATATATATATATATATATACATATATATATATATATATATATATATATATATATATATATCTCATTAAAATGGTGTATATCATCAAAAAAGTAATCTGGGGTATATTGTAAAATGTACTGCAACTTATATGTTCAACCAGTAATCGTTGCAATTAGTTCTATTTATTGTTTCGCGCATGGGCAAGGGAGAAATGTTCTCACTAATAACCAAGGAGGCCTGCAGAACATTTGCAACTTTTGTTTCCCCGAAGTCACTGCTTATTTGGTTTATGGATCTTTAAATTTATTTTCTGTTAAAGAAGTCTAACCCCCATGATTACAGGTATAGGAGGTATGCTTTTTGAAGTGTGTGCATGATCCTTTTGACTCAACAGACAGCTCCTGTGCCTGCTAGAATGGCAACCTATCTTATGAAAAGTATTCTATAGAATGAACCAAATACATAAAAGAAAACTATCTACAGGGATCTTCCACTAATGAATGAGGTTCAGTGCAGGCAACCCCAATTGGCAACAGTCAGCTCCTGCATCACCATGCGGAGAGATTCTCTAGCCTGATCAATTTGGCAGGAGAAGGGTAAAATGACATGCATGCACGGTTAAAATAAGCATTTGTCTGAATGATTTAACTCTTGCTTGAATTAAACAAATGTCAAAAGTGACTGTAAACCATCTTCAATAAACCACACAAAGAGTAACCAGGACTACTAGTGCTTTTGTCACTATAAACAGCAAAACATAAAAGGATACAAACTCCAAGATGTCATGTGTGAAGGGATTCATAGTCCTTGAAAGCATTGCTATGGGGTAACTATGAGCTGCAGAGAGAATAGACAAGAATGGTCAACAAATAACATACTCTACAACAATGTACAATGACAAGACAAAAAACAGTGGCATCACAAGTTTAGAAGTACTGAAAAGAAAAATAAATGAGGGACAATGGCTCCAGTTAAAGGTGTGACATACATAAGCATTTTAACCATACATTTGAAAAACATGTTAGATTATAAAAGTGTGGGGCTCGGGATGTCTGCGGAGGGTAAGAATTTGAGCTCCCAGGAGGACACAATCAAATTGGCTTCCCTTATTGCAAAATGTGTTTAACCCTTTTCAGAAGTTAGAGTTTATATACCATCCTACAAAAAGGAGGGCTTAAAAGAAAACATTTCTTAATTTCTCACACTATTTTTAGATTTCATGCATATTTAATTACTTTTCATATAAAATTATGTGATGTAAAAAGTAAGCCATATCTCTCCTGAACAAAATGAGATACAATAAGTGTGGTGAACTTAAAATTAAAGGCGAATTACGGTTGAACAGACCTCTAGCTCGAATTCTAGGTTTTGTTTTGGTTCAGAACTTGAACAGTTACCTCTGTTCTTATGGGGTTAATTTTTATTTTTTTTATCTCCTGCAACAACCCCCTGTGTGTGATAAGGTTAAATAAACAGAGCAAGACATGAGCATTTCACAGGGCTGTAAGACATCTGGAGCACTGACCTCCAACTATGTGGCACTGATCATAACAGTCTTTATCCCTCACATCAAGCAGGAGGAATGGGCAGTCGGTGTATGGCTTGTCCAGAGATTGTGGACTTGGTGAGGGTTCTTTCTTAAGAGTTTTGGTTTGTGTATTTCCAAGATCTAATTCTCCAACACCACTTATTAGGCTGAAATAAGAAAGCAGAAAAAAAATGTGTCACAAACAAAAACATGAGTATATTCTATGCAACTTAAAGTAAAAAAAAAAAAAAAAAAGTCTAATTGCCTAGATAATAATATTAAACAATGTATTCAAATTATCAGAAAAGGTTTGTTTATACAGTGTAACCATACTGCTAGTATAACTCAGACACATGGACGACAATTCTAATGAACTATTTGTCTAATGGTCAAATCTGACTCTTTTATTGTAAAAAAATAAATAAAAAAACGAAAAAACTCGTAGGTATGACTACATCAACTATACAAGCCCTGAGGTCTGCTATATATGCCTCTCTGCAGTCATGCAGGGCGAGCCCTTGGATGAGAGCGTCAGTTGATCACTCTCGGCCACGGAGCTAAGCCCTGCACAGTTGAATTTAACTCAGTGAAGAGAGCTTCTGGCTGCAGAGGAGCAGGGAGCAGCACCTTGTAAACCCCAGGTAGGAAGTCAAACCTGTACAAAACCGTGTGCCAGGTTATAGTGTATGGAGTGTTCCTTTAAAAGAAGACAAGTTTTTTTTGTTTTTGTTTTTTTTAATAACCAGCAAATTATAATATATATATATATATATATATATTTTATTTTTTTTTAATTATACACACACACACACACACACACACACACACAAACCAAAATAAAACCAGCTATGTGATAAATGTTTATAAACTTACAGTAAACTTGGTCAGATGGCATTGTTGGGCACGACTCTCAGCTAGGGGAGTCTCTTCAGCCTCCACCCCTACTTACCATGTCCATCTCAATTTCACCCCAATCCACTAATGACAGAAACAGGGAACCATTGTGCAGCAGCAGGAGAGAGAAACCCAACACCCGAGCCTGCATTGCATGCATCACAATGATCAGACTCCATTTCTGTCAGGAAGTTACAAGGTGAAGAGAGCTTCCAACTACACATGTGTAAATCTGTCAGGCATGCTCCATGCACCCTTCCAGCAAGCCTAGGGATAGCAAACTGATTTATTAGAGTTGGCTACATCAGTTCCTTCCTGGAGTGGGTGTGAAAAGCATGAGAAAATAAGCAGGTAAATCTGACGCCCCCAAAAAATAAAATAAAAATTAATCACATTTACTTGCTCTTTTTTTAGCCTGCAGAGTAAGTCAACTGCCTCATTAAAACTAAGGCTTTGTCTCAAAGTGATGCATGCCCCTGTAAAGGGCATCATCTATTTAACCTTTAATAAGGTGATTTGTCAGAGAATATAGGACTAGATTGGTTAGTTTATTATATCAATTAAAGGGCTTTGTCACTTCTCTGGAAATAACATCACTGGATAAAACCCACCATCTTTCCTAACCTCTCCCACCCTCCTCCTCCTCCTCTCACACCTCCTGATGTTCCCACCCTAATACTTTTTCTGTTTTTGTCACTACCATTGGAGAATCTTATACGAGATCACATCCTGATTAAGCAAATTATGTCGTACAAGTTACCTGTCTGCCTCAGAGCATATCACGCGAATACTAATGTCATACTAGTTCATTACTACTTATATTTAAAAAGGTTGACAGATGCTAGGTATGATTCAATTACAATGCTTTAACATTGTTGTTCAAGTGCTATCACAAGAAACTTATGGGATACGTGAAGTTTTGTAGTAGATTGATATCTTTTGGTATAAGGACCATATGAAATATAAAAAAACAATAAAACGATTTATTGTATAAAAGCCATTTTTGATAAAGTGCTTTGAGACTGAGTGGTTATGGTAACCTTTGATGATGTTCCGACAGGAGCACTTGTTCTATATTATAGAAACACGTTCTATAATAAACTTTAATTTAAAAAAAACAAACACTTTTTTAAAAAAAGAGGGGAGTCATATGACCATGATGTCATTTTGGCACCAAAATCCAAGGCCTATATACATCCAGTGTTGTCAGGTACATGTTTCAACCCACTTGAGAAAGCCCTAAGGGGAGAAATACGTTGTAGTATTTTAATTGCTGTATTTTATTAAAGGTATTTTGGCCACTTTCAACTTGCGAGTCAGCCATTTTACTGTTTTATTTATTTTTACCTGGCACCAGAGTTTTTATTGTTCCAGTGAGAATTTTACTCCAAAGAATCCTTGGTGGGGATTATACCAATCAAGCTTTATCCATTGAGCAGTCTGTCTGCTCGATAACATGTGAGTAACCACTTGGTATTTTATTATTTCACCTCTGGCTTTTATACAATAACCACTTTAATATTTCATATGGTCCTTATGCCAACAAGATATCCATCTACTACAAAACTTCACATATCCCATAAGTGGGGATTGTACCACTGTATGCCATCCACACTAGAGCTAGTCTTATAGCGCTTGAAAACGTGAGTAGGACCATGTAGGCCTCTTACAAAATAGTACTTAGTACCTGTTACATAGAAACATAGAATGTGACGGCAGATAAGAACCATTCGACCAATCTAGTCTGCCCAATTTTCTAAATACTTTCATTAGTCCCTGGCCTTATCTTATAGTTAGGATAGCCTTATGCCTATCCCACGCATGCTTAAACTCCTTTACTGTGTTAACCTCTACCACCTCAGCTGGAAGGCTATTCCATGCATCCACTACACTCTCAGTAAAGTAATACTTCCTGATATAATTTATAAACCTTTGTCCCTCTAATTTAAGACTATGACCTCTTGTTGTGGTAGTTTTTCTTCTTTTAAATATAGTCTCCTCCTTTACTGTGTTGATTCCCTTTATGTATTTAAAGGTCTCTATCATATCCCCCATGTCTCGTCTTTCCTCCAAGCTATACATGTTAAGATCCTTTAACCTTTCCTGGTAAGTTTTATCTTGCAATCCATGAACCAGTTTAGTAGCCCTTCTCTGAACTCTCTCTATAAGGTATCAATATCCTTCTGAAGATACGGTCTTCAGTACTGCGTACAATACTCCAAGTGAGGTCTCACCAGTGTTCTGTACAATGGCATGAGCACTTCCCACTTTCTACTGCTTATATCTCTCCATATACAACCAAGCATTCTGCTACTCTATTACATTGTCTGCCTACCTTTAAGTCATAAAAAATAATCACACCTAAATCCCTTTCCTCATGTTGAGGTTAGTACTCTATCAAATATCCTGTACTCTGCCCTTGGGTTTTTACATCCAAAATGCATTATCTTGCACTTATTCACATTAAATGTCAGTTGCCACAACTCTGACCATTTTTCTAGTTTACCTAAATCATTTGCCATTTGGCTTATCCCTCCTGGAACATCAACCCTGTTACATATCTTAGTATCATCAGCAAAAAGACATACCTTACAATCAAGACCTTCTGCAATATCACTAATAAAAATATTAAAAAGAATGGGTCCAAGTACAGATCCCTGAGGTACAACCCTCTCTTGCTTGTCACTCAGCCATTGCCTTACCCATCCAACAATATTGGAATCCAAACGTAAAGATTGCAGTTTATTGATAAGCCTTCTATGTGCAACAGTGTCAAACGCCTCACTGAAATCTAGGTAAGCAATGTCTACTGCACTACCATGATCTATAATTTTAGTTACCCAATCAAAAAAATCAATAAGATTAGTTTGGCATGATCTCCCTGAAGTAAACCCATGTTGTCTCTGATCTTGAAATCCATGTGATTTTAGATGTTCAACAATCCGATCCTTTAACATGGTTTCCATCACTTTCCCCACTACTGAAGTAAGGCTTACTGGCCTATAGTTGCCCGACTCCTCCCTATTACCTTTCTTGTGAATGGGCATAACATTCGCTAACTTCCAATCGTCTGGGACTACTCCTTTTGGTATATACTGCACCATTATTTGCTGTCTTTTTATTTTTTCATACGGATCTCACGAATATCCCATGCCCATACTTTACAGAGGAATACTTCCATTGACAAGATTGTGATTGACTTCTTATACAAGCTTTTTGGGGGGATTTTTTTGCTGTATTTATCAGGCATAGACTCTTTTCGACCTACTTTTTGGACTCCTGATTATTATTCATTATCTATATTTCAAACTCTTGTTTTTTTATCTTGTATGTATTCTCTCTTATGTAGTGTCTTGTATATATGTTTGTATAGTTTATAAATCAGGTTTTCACGCCTGTGGCGCCGCCTCTCCAGCCACATTTTTTTTAAACGTATCATATGTTTATGCATTTCAACGTTATAACTTTTAAAAAAGAAAAAGAAAACAAAAACACAAAAGAAAAAATGGTAACTCTGGAGGATTGAGAAAATAATTAAAATCAATAAATAAAACCTTGTACTAACCTTTATCATGTGATATTTATTTTTCTTCAATTTTAACTAAACATTTAGAAAATTAAATCACAATGCAGTTCAGTCCAGGCACAGCCAGGACACATGATGCATATAAGAGTAATCTAAAAACAGTTATGTGAATAGTATGTGATACTTCCACTTTAACCCCATAAGGACACATGACATGTGTGACATGTCATGATTCCCTTTTATTCCAGAACTTTGGTCCTTTAGGGGTTAATACTACCAAAGCATAGGAAACTAACAAAGTACCAACAATTAAATGTGAGGTGAAAACTAAAGAAGCGATTATAAAAATAGAACAAAAAAAAAAAAAAAAATGTATATATATTCTCTCTCTCTCACGGACTGACCACTCGGGCAGATCGGTCATGGACCGAGGCAGTCAGGGGCCCAGCTGCCTGAACAGTCATACTCTCTCTGGCTGGGGAGTTCAGAGACCTCCCGAGCCAGAGAGGCACAATTTAACATGATATGTTGCCCCTCCGGTGTCCCCTCACCTACTGAGACCTGGCAGCAATCCTGCTCTTGCCAGGTCTCCTTCATCCTGTTTGCGTCGAGCTCCGTGTGAGGGGAGGAAGCAGGGCCCAGGGCAGGGGAAGTGACATCACTTTCTCCTCTCCTGCTGCAGAATCTACAGAGTGAGCAGTCTGGCAGAGTCTGCAGGTATGTAAATCTCCCATGCCCCTTCTCCACCTCAGCACCCATATCCACCAGCACCCATGCCCCCTCCACCTCAGCACCTATCTCCCTAAGCCCCATCCATCTCAGCAACCATCTTCCTTAGTCCCATGCCCCCTCCATCTCAGCAACCATCTCCCTCAGACCCCATCATCTCAGCACACACACCCCCTTCACCTCAGCACCCATTTCATCTCCCATGCCTTCTTCCACCTTTTACACCCACCTTAGTCCCATGCCCCCCTCCACACACCTCAACACCCATGTCCCCCTTCACTCACCTCAGCCCCCCTCTCCCCAGCACCCACTTCATCTCCCATGCCTTCTTCTACCTTAGCACCCATCTCCCCCTTCACTCACCCCAGCCCCTATTTCATCTCCCATGCCCCACTCCACCTCAGCACCCATCTCCCTTAGCACCCCCCTGGGCCCCATGCCCCCCTCCACCCACCTCAGCACCCATCTCTCCCATCAATTCTAACACAACGTGTTGACATACAGGAACACATCACAAGTAGCAGAACCCCACAAATAGCCTACAAACACATATTTGGAGGCTACCTGTATGGACTTGTACGATTGAAAACAAATGTGGGGGATGCTGCGTATGATGTCACCAGCAAACACTGGGGGAAAAACTGTGCACCAGAAGGGGGCCACTGGTCTATCATAGCCCAAGGGCCCTGTGAGTTGTCAGTCCGCCCCTGCATACGCTTGTATTGTTTATTTCCTCCAAAATATAATTAACAAAACCTATAGCTGCCAATATTGAGAACATATTATACTGCAGTAATAGTATGCATGGTGTCAAGACCAAGAATCACATTCAGCTTAGGTAAGAAACCTGTATTTTATTTACCTCTGCAAAGTAGATCGTGCAGAATGCAGCGACTCCCCTCCTCCTTCATTATCAAGTATCTGGATGGGACTTAAAGCCACACTGTTAGGGCTTCCTTTACCATTAGTTCTGTTTGTTGCAAGTTCTGTATCTGCTTCGGATATAACAGAGTCATTGTCTAGGAGGAAAAAAAAATTTGATAGAAGAAAAAAAAAAAACGTTATTTCTCATTTATTTTTATTGTCTGTATTACTGGGGGCAAATTCACTGTTGGCATAAGTGACCTGGGTGTCTACATTTTTTTATTTGGAATTTAAAATCAGTACCAATTACTTTCTCAAGGCGGGGATACTTAGGATTTTTTTTTAGACCTGCAGGGGTACTTCTCCGTACAAGATTGAGAAACACAGCTTTAATTGATTTCTTGAAGCACCAAAACTAATTTGCAATACTGCAAAAAGATGGCGGTGCATAGTGTGCCTGCAGCTTCTAAGAGTGACTTATAATTGCAGTGAATTGCTTACCAAACTTCAAGGCGGTCTCTAGAGCCAGAGCCGAGCCACGGCCATGCATAGACTATTGCACTGCAGATTTCTGCATATAGTCCATTTATCAAAATTCACAAAGCTGTATATAAGCTACAAGCAGCCATGATATACTCCTATCTCCCCACCTGATAAGTGGAACTGCTGATATGAGAAACTACTTATCCCAGAATAAGAGGCACCTGATTAGTAGAGCCTCTTGTTTGTGAAGGAGGTGTCTGTCTTAAGGTAATAGCTTATTTTGAGTCCTAGTCTCAGAAAAAGTAAGCTGTTTTATATATATAATGCATTAGAAATACAAGGGCATTTTTTGCAATTATCTCCTTTAAAAGATCAGTCTAAGCCAGTGGTTCCCAAACTGTGTGCCGCAACGGGCACAAAGGGGTGCCAGTGCTACGATCATATGACAATAGCACTGGGAACCATGCCTGGCTCTGCAGGACCGGAGGGGAGGTGAGAGATCTCCCTCTCTGGTCCGCTAGCACCCGCCAGGGTATGGAGGGAGAGATTATACGGGGGAGCTCTAACCTGCAGCTCCACCTGGTTCTACTCTTGCGAGCTCGGAGCTTTGCCGCGGTTACCACGGCAACACTCAGAATCTCGCAAGTGTAAACTCTAGCCTGAGCTGCTAGAGTTTCCTCTTACCACATGGACCACCAGGGATTGTCCCCCATCCCAGGCAAAGGTAAACAGGGATATGAAAATAATAATTTTTAATAAAAATTTTTTTTTTTTTTTTTTTTATATATTTGTAAATTTACCCTTCTACCTCCACAGAGACACAATAGCTCCCTCCATACACACAAACTGTACCCCTAATACAACCTGTCCCCCCACATACCACTACATCCTTCACACACACACACACACACACACACACTACAACCTTCACAAACACAATGCACCCCCATACACTCCCTGCACCCTACACGCACACAAACTGTATACCTCATGCACAAACACACTACATCCTTCACAAACACAATGCACCCCCGTACACTCACTGCACCCCTCAAATGCACAGATCTTGCACCTTTCACACATAATACTGCCTCTATCCGCTACTACAGCCCCTGTCCCGGCAGATCCCAGGTAAGTTGTCAAACTGTTCTTAAACAGTTTGACTACTTACTCTCGGAGGGCACTACGGCACTACTGGCACCATAACTACTACAACGTGCTGTAGTGGTTATTGTGCCTGGATTGTTTCTATAAAAACAAACAAATAAATAAATCTATCAGTGCCCCTCCCGAGATTAGGTTCTGGATCTGCGCCTGAACAGCAAGCATTTCTGCCAAACATTGGCCCAGTATATGCCGCTGCGCTGTACATATATACAACCTAGGAAATTTGTTTGACTTGGGGCGCCTTGGAAAAAATATTGAAATATTAAGGGTGCCTTGAACCTAAAAAATTTGGGAACCACTGGTCTAAGCAACTATTGTAGCCCAGTGTAGTGGTTATAATGCTGAAAGAATATGGGAACAGCCTTGTTTTGTGCTGGGAGTTTTTTTTTTTGGCAAACCACAGATATAAAAAATGGGAAATGGAGCCTATGGAAAAAAAATCAAAAAAATCTTTATGACGGCCAACTGACTGCAACATCTCTAGAGGTTTCCATAATTAGATGGCTGACATACAATACTTTAACAATCAAATATTCATTACCTTCCATCCTCTGCAGCTCCTCTCTGGTCATTTCAGCAACATCACTGTCTTCAGATACAGATGCAACCTGAAGAACCTGAGTATAGCAGACAGTTATCCCATCATTATTCATTTAAAAACAGCTTTGCTGTGAAGAATACATAGAGATTGCGGTCCTTTTCAAGCTTGTTCTGGGATCCACAAACAATACCATACGATTACAGAGTATGACACATAAAACATGGATCTGTAGCAATCATTCCACCTAGATCCTTAGGAACAAAAGCCTTTAAGTAGAGGCATTAGGAAGGATACTATTCAGTCTAAAACCTTATTGTCCCTTGGAAAAAATGTGCCCAGGGTTTGATGCAAGTTCACTCATGTGCAATGAAGCTTCATGAGCCAGTTTGAAAATCAAATGATAGCCTGGCCCAGTTCAGAGCCAATTACTTTCGTAAGAGAGCGCATAAGGGTCTGTAACTCCAGCAGGTGGAGAACATGGTCAGTGCTCCATTGCGACTTCAGCACTTTGAAGTGAATCAGTGGGTATCTGTTGTAAATTATGCAACATGATGGGAACAAAAGTAATCTGCATCCATAAGACCACCAGAGATAACGCCTATCTACAATAAAAAGCAAAAAGAGGTGGGACTAATTGGAAAAAAAGAAAAACCCTAATAAATGTAAGAAATCCTAATACATTCTCATCACATACACAGAACTCATAATTAACTCCCAACTCCCATTACACGTGCATGCTCCAGCCCTCTCACTCAATTCCCAAAACAGACACGTAGGAAAATCAAAAGAAAACGTGCTATTTTTTTGGGGGGGTCCTAAAAGTTGAGAGACATTCTATTAGTCGTCATGGTGATTAGTCTTAATTTAGCACTTTGCCCCAGAACAGCACCTACTTTTGCCTTTATAAATCTCCCCCATGGAGATTTGCTTGCAAGTACTGTTGCTTGCAAGTACATGGTTTTGCTAAAATGTGCAGCTTTTAACATCTATTTAAACAGATTGTTTTTGGTTTCCTGCACACAATATGCAAAGAAACCTTAATTAATAAAAAATCATGCTCAATATTATAATTTTCTAGATCACAAAAGGGGAACTGCTAAATCATTTGGTTTTGATTTATGGAATCAACAATTGTTTTCAATACTAAAAAAAAATAAAATAAAAAAATATATCAGAATTCAAAAGAAAGTTTCAATTCAGTTTCAGTTTCCTCCCTTTAATTTCACTAATTATTTTGGACTAATTGTTGTAAATTGATTGTCAACTCACGATTTAGTTAAACAACAAAAAAACCTTATTGATAGACATTTTCAAAACAGTAAATTGACACTAAAAGTAAAACTGTAAACTGATACTGCCTTATTGAGAAGAGGAAAAAAAAAGCCAATTACCAGCTGGGCAAATGTGGTAACCTTAATCCTCTTGAACAGTTCATCTTTTTTGTACCGATAATCTGCAAAACAAAACGTTGGTAAGAAATGAGAGTGCTCAATAGTCCAAGAAAGAGAGATATAATATAGAACAGATCATGAAAAACACATATTTAAATTACACGAATGGTATATTTCAAGAAGAAAATAAAAATAAAAATCATGTTAATAGGTTTGATAATTTGAATGTTTATTTTACATATGATAGAATAAGAAAATGTACCCCAAATTAGACCAATGGCCAAATTAGGATGACATGCTTGTTTGACATATAAGCAGACTAACAGAATATAAAATGTGCAGCAATGGAAAATATATATTATTATCCTGCTGAATGAAAAAAGAAAAAAAAAAAACAATGGTAAAGTAAACCAACTGCAAAAACCAAAACTAAATGACAAGCCTTACATATTTGTAATTATTATTATACTTTATATCTAAATTAGGAACACATTCCGCAGTGCTGTACATGGGTACAATACGTTTGAGACAATACAACATTTGACAAATACAGGAGGTGGTGAGGGCCATACAAGTATCTAAAAGAAGAAAATAGAAAAATCAAACATAAGCAACTCAGGATACCAGAAGTATAATAGTTCATGACATTTCATGCAGTCTTGCATGTATGTGAAGCAATACAGAACCTAAAAAAAAAGTAAAAAAAAAAAAAAGTGCGATATTCCCTTTTCTACATGAATGCACCAACCCACTTTACAACAACGCCAGTTATTTAAAACTGCTTTAAACATTCCACTCTAAGACACCATGGCAATCAACAACATTCCAGAACCTTGAGACTAAATTACACATACCTGGTTCTGCCTGACAGGGAGCTTCATCAGAGCTTTGGGACATTTTTTTGATAAAGTTTAATAACTCAATGCAAGGTGCAGAAAAGCCCTAACGCACAGCTGAATCTTAGGAAGCTACTAAGCACAGTAAGTGTAATGAAATGTCCTAAATCTAGCCCCAGATTCTCTCATTATGCCATACCAAAGGACAGCCAGATCTTTTGTTCACTTTTATCAGATTTGTATACTTTCAGCCATCATATTCGCATAGTTGTTCACAAAGCAGACAGAATTACTGTACCCAGTATTTGATTTCACATTGATAGGAGGAATCCTTACCAATAGCACAAAAGTGCCCATTCTAATCAACCTAGAAATGTCTACATTATACTGCACATGAGAATAGACAAAGATTTGTGTGTGTTCCAACTAGTGTTGAAACAGGGGAATAAAAATAAAAAAAGGGGAAACCTGATGTTTCCTGAGGGAATTAAGTTCTGGGCAGCAACAAAACATCATTTATTAAACTGCCAGTAAAAAGAGCACTGCAAATGGTTTGGACATTTAAACGATAAAGGAATGATTGTGCTGCAAGACTAGATTTCTCGCCAAATGGGTTAAATATTGTAAAGCATTAATTGCAAAAAAATTTAATGTCAGTATAAACCCATGGCTAGGACCCAAAAACTGGTTGCTCCTAGGCAGGAACAGGTATTTCTAATTAATTGCACCAGAAATGCCCCATAGCACACTGCTGTACCCAAATTGGTTAAAATGCTGGACAGTCTAGCTACAGCAAGACACAGGAAACGGCATATAAACTACTGACACACTGGTACCACACTCCTGAGTCACTACATGCCCGAATTCCATCCCACCCCCCACAGTGCTGGAGATGTGGGGAGGGCAGGGGCACACTCTTACACATCTGGTGGGCATGCAAGCAGATAGCCCCATTCTGGTCTGAGATCCACAAAATATTGGCAAGGTTTACAGACGACCAAGTCCCATTCGACCCAGCAGTCATGCTCTTACACCACACTAAAACCCCTCGAACAGCTTATAAGAGGTCACTCACTATCCGCATACTGAACACGGCCAAAATGATCATACCACAGTATTGGAAAACACAGGTCACCCCCCCCGTGAGAGTTTGGTTTACGCAAATGGAAGAACTGAGATCCCTAGAGGAACTACATCACAAAGCCCACGATACATTCCAAGTGTACCTTAACACTTGGACACATTGGATCCTGAAGACAACAGACCCCGAATTTAGTGACATGACACAACTACCATCACATAATTAGCTGCAGGAGGCTACAAACCCAAAGAGGAGAGGGGAAGACAGCCATACAGGGGCAGGTCTACCTCCGGCAACGGGTGTTCACCGACACTGGAAGGCCCGACAAACACACAAAAAGACAAGAGAGGCCCTGTCACATAGACGAGGAGACCACCCCAACTAAATAGGGCACCCCAAAGAGGGGAGGGGGGGCGGATCATAGGGCCCGGGCTGTCCCGCGACACTCTCACAAACAGGCACGAGCAACGGAGACATACACACACACGCAACATCCATAAGGGACTTATGAAACTGACGTAATTGCGGGCATACGAGCCCAACAGGACATGCAACTGTACAAAATATATAAGAAAGAGTGTAGATGATATGCTTGTTATGTTTGTCATCTATCACAGTTATATATACATGGTTAAACTAATGGAGACCTGCGAGTCTCAATGTGCTGGCATTTGCTATGTGAACACACCGTAAGACAACAACGGAGACCTGCGAGTCTCAATGCTATGCCTTTCTCTTTGTGTGCATGAAATATGCCAATAAAAATATATTTACAAAAAAAAAAAAAAAATGCTGGACAGTACAGTATACCCCACATTTTCTGTTTAAGAGGAATGCAGGCTGGATGAAGGGGTTGTCTTGTGCGGTGTACTTGAAGTCTGACCACTGTCAAAGGAGTTATTGTCCACACCATCTTGAAGGCAGATAAATCCAAGTCCTCTTAAATGTAAAATATGGGGTATACTACTCTCCCTAGTGCCAAACGTTCCCACTTAGGCTATCACAACCCTAAATATACCAGTGGTATTTCTAAATGGCACTTTATATAATATTCTTTAAATGGGGACATATAAAATGCACCTTTTGACTGTGAATGTACATTGAAAAGCTTGGAAACCGTTCGAACACTAAAAAATTATGGGCTTATAGGCTCCAGTCAAAATGAAAAAAAAAAAAATGTAAAAGGACCACTTTAAGCACTATTATTGCTTCATCCAGCCTGACACCCCCAATGTACTCCAAGGTACCATAACAACTTAATTGAATTTAGTGTTCATAATAGGCTATAGAATTCCTAAGTGGGTTTTCATCTCTATAATAAACATTGTCTTAAGGGGCACGTTAGGCACCCAGACCACTTCAGCTCATTTTTACATTGCAGCACTAAGTCTGCCTCTAGTGGCTTTCTACCAGACAGCCACTAGAGGCACTTGCTGCTTGCTAGGCAATTTTTGGTCACCTGATCTTGGACGTCCTCACACTCTGCATGAGGACATCCAGCGTCAGAGAAATTCCCATAGGAAAGCTTTAAATTAAATGCTTTCCTATGTAGAGGGACTAATGCAGTTGCGGTACTCGCCGCACATGCGCATTATTCAACAGGGAATGGCAACTTTTCAACTCCAATGAGTCATATGGCTTGATAAAGACTCATTGGAGTCAAAATGCCTTTTTGTGTCCATTAAAAATCTGTACTGGATTCACCACGGAGTGCCTGGACATCTGTTTCTTTTACACTGTGTTTGTATGCCTGACTGTGTGTCTGTTTGTGAGGCCTGGGTCAATTTCTTCAAAGGGGATCCAAGACTTCAGATATTTCTCTGTTTAGGATATTTCAAAACTGGATCCCATTTACAAACACTAGATTTTTAATAAAATTAGTGTGTAGTGCCCAAAGAGGAAGAAGCTTGTGCCTTGGTCGCTCACCACGCCATCTTCACATTCATAAACCTGGCTACATTGTATGGGAATTTATACATGTGGTACACAGTGTAATTTAGGAGGTGTCAATATTAAAACTTTAATCAAAGCACCAAGCCCACTTCAAGCATCTTGACCACTTTAAAAATCACTGAAGTCGGCATGTACAGCATTTCACTAATAAACCAGGCACAACCAGAGTTTGCTGCTGGATGCGCAACTCCCCCAGGTTCCAGGTTAGCATATTGGGCGTGTATTGTCAACACCATTGCATTTTGGCCAAACGCCTAACAGTGGCCGAGGCCCCACTCTATGCTGCCCAAATACTGCTCTTGCAGCTAATCCAAATATATTTCTATATTATTTTCTCCAAACTTAGATTCTAATTCATTAAGCTGCAATATGTTACTCTATTTTTTTAGTTCTGTATATTGAAATTGCATCATATTTTCCCTTTAGATACAGTATATGTTTATTGTGGACACATGGTTATACTGTGAACTTGTTTGCCGTCAGCGTATCACATACTTAAGATCTTTTTCCCCATTTTGTTTTCTTTTTAGTTTTCTTGCACTATAGCCTTATTTGCAAACATTTTTTTATTTTGACAGTGATTTGCCCAGAGAGAATATGGGGGAAAGTGCTTTCTGTTCTGCTTTAATTGATAATTAGTTATGTAATTGATTTTGTGTTCCTTTCAATCGTCTTGAGGATTTTTAAACTCACCATTTGCGCAAATAGGATTCTCGAAGGAAGTGTCTAAAGGCACTAAACGTGTAAGCGTACCCTGTTGGGCTCTTTCTTTCAAGTTTTAATTTGATCAAGGAGCCCAGATTCTCCCTCTTTGGGACATGCATATATTCCATTTTCAATTTTGAAAAAAAGATTCATCTGTGGGGAATGCATTCAACAATGGATTTCTCCTGTGTGTCTGCCTATTAATGTACAGACTACAATGCAAGACCTCAGAATTGCTGTTAACACATTTGACTCTTCAAAAACATGTTTGAAGGTTTCTTCAGATCCAAATGGGTGTGCAAAGAGGTTATTTAAAACTAACATGCTTTAGAAATTTGATAAAAAGAACTCTGATAACTGCTGGAGGTGTAACAAAGCTTGAGGCTCTCTGTACCCACATATGGCAGAAATGTGAGGATTTAACTGATCTAAAACAAAAATTTAAATAGAACGTTTAATACATTATTATGAAAATAAGTTTGTTTGACCCCACAAATGTACCTTTTTTAAAATAGGATTACAAAAATGGGAGAAATACCAACTACAATTATTTACACATATCATACTTGCATCTAACATCTGTCTTGCCAGAAACTGGAAACAGCAAGGTCATTTTAAATTGGCCAGAAGTGTTTTTAATCAAATTAATTATCAGTGCGTAATGGAGAGGGGATATCATTCTAGGCACAATCCTTTAATCGACTACTGGAAATTATAGGAGCTTTCTCCCTTTGCAAAACCGATTTTATGATTTATTTAAATATATGGTCTCCTCCGCTTTCTATCAATCTCCCCTGTATGAATGCAAACGAACAACTACATATACATACATACATATATACATATATATATATATATATATATAAAAAATGTAATATAGAATTAAAGATGAAAAAAAAACACAAAACAAAACAAAAAAAAAAACCACACACACACACACAACATGCTTTGATGTGAGGTACAAAAGATAATTATTGTAGACAAATCATCATAGGTATATAAAATGTTTATATAGGCCAGGCCATATTATTGTACTTGGAAATGTTATATCAATATTTTAAAACTGTAGACGTAGCCTTTTGTTTCAAACATATAAACAAATTAGTTCTTTCAAATGTATTGCTTCATATGGATCATATTGGAAATGTTCTATAAATGTGATTTGTGTGTGGCAAATAAGTTTTTCTGCACAGTGTGATACTTGAGTCACACTGAAAAAAACCCACCTTTTTTACCCAGTCTTCTTGAGATGGGGAAGACAGTTGCTTATTCACTGGCTGAAAGCACTCAGCTGACACACTCAGCCAACAAACAAATGCCTACATTGGCATCTCGCTTTTCTTATGCAAGAAGACCGATACAGCCCGGGCTTCCAGGTAAGTGTCAACCAAAGCACACCTTGCACGGGGGGGGGAGTAGACCAGAAACACTGTTTTTGTTTCTCCTCCTCTCTATCAGGGTTAATGCAATAATTGTTGGGATTCAATGTGAATTTCAAACTGAAGGCTGCAGTTAAAACTGGATAAATAAGCCAATACCAGTTTAAGAAGCGCAGAAGTGTTGTGTATTTAAGCAGTAAGTTGAGTTGTTATGAAGTTGGAAATTCACTTACTTCGCTTGATCTCTTCAATCCTTTCCAAATATTTGGTCATGCTGCTACCTGGAGAGAGAGACATTATGCTAGTGAGCTACAAAATATACTGTGTGCTTTTATATATGTAGGTGATTATTACTATGAGGTCATTGCTACTGAACAAGAGTGACACATATACAGTGAACCTGTCATGCCAGGTTAAACTTGCTATAACAGTTCCTATGGCAGTAAGTATATACTTTATAATAGTGATAAATTATATATTCAATTGCTTTATCTGCCGTTATATTCATACTTGCCTCTTTTACAGTGTTCCAGAGCTATGTGTATGTGTTACCATCCCTCTCCGACCAACTTGTGAACATTTCCCTAAACAGGGCAATCCTCCTCCCTGATGCTGACATATTGACTTCACTGCCAAAGCATTGGCATCAGAACATAGGTGGGGGTTAATAATGGTTAAAATGGTTCTGTCATCTTCAGGGGAACAATGGCACAAGGGGACAGCAGAAGAAAGTCCCCCCCTTAAGCACCGCCATCATCTTTCAGCTCCAGTTGCTTTATCCACAAGGAGCTCACACCTGTGCTGAAATCTTTTGCACATGCATAGAGAAGCTAAATGCTCCCCATGGAGATACAAGAAGGAAATGCGGATTGGCACTGGGCCGTGATTTGCCGAACATGCGCACTAGCCTCCCATGGGGGAGCATACCTTGATGTGGAACCTAAGCAATGCCAAGACGGTGCAGTATGCCATTCAACTGGTACACACAAGATTTGGAGGGAGGGGGACAAGGAATATATGGGGGTTATGCCTTAATATGAAACCTGAGCAGTGCCAGGCAGATGTAGTGTGCTGTGAACACGGGGGAACGAACCAGACGTTGGGGGGACAGGTGCCTTCGCTGTGGATATAGCTGATGATGTGCTAGGTGGTCTATCGGACCATGGATTGTCGAGTCAGCCACTCATGCAGCAGGGGCTTGTCCAGAACACCACTGAAGAAGATGAGGAACTGAATGTTGATAGTGAAACAGGCCATGGCCAATGTGAACAGGGAATCAAGTACGTAGCCTTATTGGCCCCCCACTTACCCAGTTATATCAGGCAGTGTACAAGCTTCTGTTCAGCTGGTGCATGCAGTTATTGGCGACAATGACAGTCATAGTGTGGTCAGAAGGAGATTTCTGCCAGCGACCCCCCACCAGGCTGCCCTAGTCCACTTTCGGCAGCTCCACCAGCACCACTGTACAAGGACGGCGTCGCTTGAGCTTCTCCTGGAAGCCCTGCACCCCCATTCGAGCAGCTGTAGGACTAAGTGGAGGGCTGGGGGCAGCCATGTGCCAATCACACAACTATCTAGTGAGGGGAGGACCCCTATAGAGCACAGGTGACCAAACGGTAGATTCATTAATGGTCGTTAAACTCCCAGAATGCTTTGCCAGGTGAAGATCTAACATTTTCTCATTACTGCGTGTATTCACACATACTGACACATCTGCGACACGTGAACACACAGATATACACAAGGGAACACAGCGACACACACACGAAACAACATGCATATTTTAGTCACCCTCCTACATCCATACCTTTAACCATCCCGGGGTGCAGTGGAGGCTGGCTTAATGGAGTGGGCTTCAGCTCTCTCTTTCTGTCTCCACTCTCCTGCATGGCCCAGTGTGCTGATAGAGGGCTGCAGGCTTTGGTGTTAGGGCCAGCTGGACCATCCAGGCTTGTAGAGGCAAGTACCTTTCAAATCAAGTATATACACACACACACACACACACACATGCATAGATTAATATATGAAGTCCCACGCTACTAGCTTTATCTTTAAAAGGTACTCACCACTACAAGCCTAGAGGGTCTATGACAGACTAACCATGGACCTTCCCTGTCACAGGTGCCTCATTTCAGAGCCATATTTAACCTTGCACTGCAGAGAGTCTCAGAAAAAAATGCTTTCCAAAGTAGGTAGGTTTTATAAGGTAGGTAGGTTTACCTTGGCGTTGTGGCAGACGTATGCAACGTATGATCATATAATGTAACTAAAATAAGTCAGGTGCTATTATAAAATAAAAAGTACGAAATTCTGTGAGCTGAGAGAGAGAATAAGAAAGTGAGCGCGTGCATAATAATCACTCATGGACAGCTGTGTCATTAATGCAACGCATCAGCATGAGGTTGGTTACTGGCTTTTGGTATGTGCTTCACAAGTAATGCCAAGCCTCCATAGCACGCCAGTAACCAACCTCATGCTGATGAGTTGCAATAATGAAACAGCTGTCCATGAATGATTCACTGGCTTTGCACCTCTTCCTGAGTTGTGTTTCAAAGCTGTTGTATACAGCAGTCACATACACCAAGGAATCCATGTAAAAAGTGGAAAAATAAGGCAAAAATGTGGTTCTTTGTTGAACTTAATAAAGCACTTCTGATGTATAGATTATGCCCCTGCAGTCTCACTGCTCAAATCTCTGCCATTCAGAAGTACAATCACGTTGTTTATGCTGCCCTAGTTTCACCTCCCTGCATGTGACTTGCACAGTCTTCCTAAACACTTCCTGTACAGATTTGTCTAATGTTTAAACTTCCTTTAGCCAATTCGGTTTAATTTAGAACTTCTTATCTCGTGCTCTGCTAAAAGCTTTCTGGACCCACCAGGAGCCTCCTGTATGAACTTAAAAGAGCAGAAAAAAAACCCTTCTGAAATAGGTTACATCTGATTAAAAATGAAACCATTTTTGTTTTCACACAGGCTGTGTCACAGACAGGGGAGGTATGGCTAGGGCTGCATAAACAAAAAATATTTAACTCCTTCATGGCAGAGAACAGAGCTGAGAGACTGCATGGGCATGATATATACACCCAAACTGCTTCATTAAGCTAAAGTTGTTTTGGTGACTAGTGTCCCTTTAACTACAGAATCAAAATAAAGCCAATTTTAAGCATTATCTACATAAAAAGTAAACACTAGAATTTCATTTTATTTTAACTAAGACACATATAGTAGGTTATAGCTGCCTAAGTTACCTCCTTAGTGCACACACAATCCTTCTCTCTAACGGCTCAAAAGAAAAAGAATGGGGTAGGCTTCAAGTTGCCATTTTAAGAAGAAAAGAGGTGCTTTATTTTGGTGCCAAATACCTGCATTGACAGAAACGTTCTAATCAAAAGGACAGAATTGTAAGATAAATGATAAGAGTGCTTGACTGAGCAAAAATTACTTCACTCTTCAGATATCACTTCATGGTCAGTTTTTAAAAATAAACGTTGCTAAGAGTAAACCACTGTCAATGTTATAGTTTAGCAGAAAATGGCAGAGTGCATTTGTCAAAAAACTATTGTGAAAACTTAATTAGTGCATCATCAACTTGCGTGTGGGAAAAGAAAACAACTTCATCTACCAACACAAAGGAAACAGAACACATTTGTTTCCTAGAATGGATCTTGTTTCCATTTAAAGGACCACTCTAGGCACCCAGACCACTTCAGCTTAATGAAGTGGTCTGGGTGCCAGGTCCAGCTAGGGTTAACCCATTTTTTTTATAAACATAGCAGTTTCAGAGAAACTGCTATGTTTATGAATGGGTTAAGCCTTCCCCTATTCCCTCTAGCGGCTGTCTCATTGACAGCCGCTAGAGGCGCTTGCGTGCTTCTCACTGTGATTTTCACAGTGAGAGCACGCCAGCGTCCATAGGAAAGCATTGATAATGCTTTCCTATGCGACCGGCTGAATGCGCATGCAGCTCTTGCCGCGCGTGCGCATTCAGCCGACGGGGAGGAGAGCTCCCCGCCCAGCGCTGGAAAAAGGTAAGTTTTTACCCCTTTCCCCCTTCCAGAGCCGGGTGGGGGCACCCTCAGGGCACTATAGTGCCAGGAAAACGAGTATGTTTTCCTGGCACTATAGAGGTCCTTTAATTGTGGATGATTAATTTTTTGCAATGCAGAAATCTCTGATGGTTTGATCAACTATCTGGACAGCCCATTGTTTCTGGAGCTAAACAATTTTCAGACTCAAGATTGATCATTTAAAAATAATTTCTATTTAAACAGACATTATATACCCTGTGCAAGGAATCATGTTTTTGATATGTGTGCGCGCAACAGTTTTAATATTTTTTCCAATGCTTATAACTTAAAGGGACACTATAGTCAAAATAATAATTCCCTTCAGGCTTTTTGCAGTAAACACTGCTTTTTCATGGAAAAGGCAATGTTTACATTACAGCCTAGTGATAACTCCATGGGCCACTCCTCAGATGGCTGCTAGAGGTGATTCCTGTTGCAGAGTTGCACAGTGTGCAGCACTGCCATTCAATGTCTCCACCCTCTGCATGGAGACACTGAACTTTCCTCACAGAGATGCATTGATTCAATGCATATCTATGAAGAGAGGCTTATTGGCCAGGGCTGTGTTTAACTTGTGCTGCCTCTGCCCCTGATCTGCCTCCTTGACAAGCTCAGCCAATCCAATGCTTTCCTATGGGAAAGCAGTGTGAATGGCTGAGATCACCACTTCTGATGATGTCAGCCAAAGAGGCAGATCAGGAGCAGGGCCAGCACCAGCAGACTGGCACAACAGTAATATTTTACAATATTTAGGACGGCAAGACCTAGATGGTGTTTTTAACACTATAGGGTCAGGAACACAAACATGTATTCCTGACTCTATAGTGTTAAAAACACCATATTGTTCCTTTAAAAAGCATACCTGTCATTGTACACATAACCTTAGTTTAAACAACAAAAATAAAATGTCATCTGTATGTCATACTAGGAGTCTACTTAGCACTTTTTGTTGAGGCAAAACATTTTATACAAGGTTATTAACTAGTGATAATTCAATGTGAATTTCAGATTTAAGGGCAAAGTATTCGAACTGGAAACATTTTCTATTCAGCTATGTTTACTTTTGAAATTCACTTTGAATTAACCTGAATTTTCGTTTTAGTGAATAGCCTTTTTATTCAAAGGTGGTTTAAAGTTGCTCTACATCATGTTCACATTTCGTATGTTAAGGGAAAGATACATTGGTAACTTACTGACCAGTATCCAGTCTTGTCTTGACATGCACGTATTTTGGATTCTGGGGAATTCTCTTCTTTAAAATCTGAAAGAAAAAAATTGTTTTTATTATACTGCAATACATTTCAGTATTCAACATGTAAACTGAAGTATTATTTATATAATACAGAACATTTACTGTATTTCAAATATCTCTTCACTTTATGGCAGAATTTAGGCTTCTACTGGTTTGTGCTCTTCTGTTGATTCTTTTGTCCCTTACCAACCTTTCAATACTGGCTGTATTTTGATTGGCTAGATTCAACCAATTATAAAACAAGTTTAATTTCAAATAGGTAATTAAAAAAAAAAAAATTTAAAGCCTTGCCTCCATGTTCTATTTCCCAGATCAATTTCCAAGCTATGGTTTCCTTAAAGTGCTACTACAGTAAATTCTTCCAGATTTATTATTCTACAGCAAGCATGTCAAACTCACGTCCCACAATGAATATTTCTGCGGCCCGCGAGCTTGACATGCTTACTAAAGCAAAGTAGGCATCTGCTCTCCCTCCATTGCAGGTGCCTACCCTGCTCATTTACCCGGCCGGGGGAGAGGTCTCTGGTGGCAGCGAGAGAGCTCAGTCTTTTTGCTCCTCATTGCTGCCTCGCGCACGCCGTCTGAAGTGAAGCCGGGCGCCAGAATATGATGTCATATTCCGGCCCTCTGCATCACTAAATTGCGCACGGGGGAGCAGTGAGGAGCAGGAAGACTGAGCTCCCAAGAAAAGATTAGGGAGAGGTACCACACCAACTCCCAAAGGTAGGGAGCAATGAATACAATGATGTGAGTGTGTGCAAGAATGTTGAAGTGTGTGTGTGTGTGTGACTGTGTCTGTCTGTCTATGTCAGAGTGTGTGTGTGTTGGTCAGTGTTGCTATGGCCGCAGCTGGAAAGTGGAGAACCTGGCTGGGCACGCAACGCCACATTCTGACGTTCTCCACCTTCACAGGTTTTCAAGGAGCAGCAGGAGGATTCGTTTGGAACAGGATGCGGACAGCGCCATTGGGGGTATACCAGAGGCTGGACTCCGGAGTTGCATACTGGCAGCGGCAATGAGTGGATCATCAGGGTCTGCTTGTTGGCTAATATTGTTTTTTGTTTTAAACAAGGGCTGGGGTTTACTAGAGGGGGGGGCTGGGATTTAGTACAGACAGGGGGCTAATACATTGAATTAATACAGAGGGAGGGCTGTGAATTAGTACAGAGGGGACGCTGTTTTTTATACTGTACTTTTTAAAACAAACCTATGTTTCTATGAAAATTTAAGGTTTGGGTTTTTTTGTGGCCCACATAAACTTAAACCTTGATTATGTGGTCCATGCTAGCCTTCTAGTTTGACATGCTTGTTCTACAGAATCAAAAAAGTTTATTATTATGCTCTTGTAACATAGAACATTGTGTGGTGTCAGAGAGGGAAGAGCGACCACCCAGTGCCGAGTGAGATCAGTGCTGGAATCAGGCAAGTATGGTAAACGTTTATTAAACCTTACACAGCCAGGGTTGGGTGCGAAGGAAGTATAGTGCTACAAATACAGCTTTGTATTCCCGAGCACTATAGTATCACTTTAAAAAGGTTTTGGGGAGGGGAGTTGGCAGTTGCTTGTGCCCATTATGTCAGTATTGACATTTTTTTTATTAATTAAAAAATAAATAGTGAAAAGGAATTTTTGAAACTCTAATGGGCATCTCAGAGCTTCTTTACCATTTCAGTGATTTGAAGTGGCCATGGTGCCTAGCGACTGTATTACAGGGAATTGATAATAATGATAATAATAATGATAATAATGATGATGATATAGTTTAGGCTAAAACAGCGGATTCGCACACGTTGTCCCGCACAGCTGCAGTCACGGTGTTGGATTACATATATGATATATAAATGACACCGTGTGGGTTTGCCTGGCGGTTATAACAGCAGGTACTGCCAGCAGCTCGCTAACGGACACTGCTCGGTAAGGGGACCGCACTGAGCCGGATACCAGGCAGTATCCACGCGTAGGTCAAGCTCTCACCTCGGGATCGCCGATATTCCTCCTGGCCGACATGATTCCTTATTTTTTTTTAATTCAAACTGCCTGCACAGCAGCCGCACACACAACTGCCCTCCTTCTACGGCGGCTTCAGCTTCCACACGTGCCAACACCTTGTCCGCGGATTGGCCGAGTGCAGACTGACAACCAATCACAGAGGCCGTTACTCTTGCGGGGGCGTGCCTTGTGATGTCCGTGACAGTTCACGGCGGTTGCTAGGTGACACGGGACGCTGTGTTCCTGCTGGTGCCTTGTCTGTCCAGTTCCCGCCGGGCTGCCCGGGGGACAGGATGGGCCTGGTGGGATAGGTCTCCATCACACTACCTTACTCCTTATCAAAATCTGATAACTGCGCCATTCTCCAGAAACCCTATCACTCACAAGGGCGTAAAAAATAATCGTTAACACGGAAAATAATGTGTGCCATATAGGTAGTCACCAGAATCACTACAGGAACTAGCAGTCTTCTTAAAGGGGTACTCTTAGTGCCAGGAACACAAAGCTGTATTACTGGCTCTATAGCTCCCTCTGCCTCCCCCCTCCCTCGCACCACCCTGCGGTGGTAAATTAAGGACTAAACTCCCTTTATTTAGTATCTGATCCCAGCGCCAATGTCCCTTGGTGCTGGTTTGTAGGTCCGCCTCCGTCACACGAAGAGCAGGTACTAATGCACATGTGCGGCAAATGCTGCATGCGCCTTAGACCTCTCCATCGGAAAGCATTGAATTATTTCCTTTGGGGGGAAATCTGACGCTGGATGTACTCATGCTGAAGGTGAGGACGTTCAGCATCAGATACCGGATCAAAGGTCCATTTGGATGCAGGAAGCACCTCCAGTGGCTGTTTGGGAGAAAGTCACTGGAGGCAGTCTTAGTTTCTCTGGAACTTCAATATTTAACATTGCAGCACTAGTGGCAATACGGACACTGTACTGTGGTTTGGGTGCCTATAGCGTCCCTTTAATGTAAACATTGCTTTTTCAGAGAAAAGACAGTGATTACATTACTTCCATGTAACACCTCTAGTGGCAGTCACTCAGACCGCTGCTAGAGGTGCCTTCTAGTCCAGGGATGCACAAAATTCTTTTTTTTTTTTTTTTTTAATTCTTTATTTTCATCGTGCATGTGATAACATTTGGCGTGCTGGGCCACAACAGCAGCTGCATGCTTTTTCATAACATTTTAACATTGTAAGTCATGGCAGGTTAAACAGCGCACATTTTTGTTTTTTTGGAAAAAAAAAAGAATAACACTTGCAATTATCGTGCTTAAGAACAATGATTAATCAGTTTGGACATGTGCAGCTTGTTAAATTTACAGTTAGTTTGGTCTCATGTAAGAATAAGGTTAAGTACATGGCAAAGCTGTACGGTGAGGGTCTACTATGGGTGCGTATGCATTTCTCTTGTCCCCTTCTATTCTTCCCCCTATTGTGTTTTCTGATATGCATATATGTATGCCTATATTCTCCCTACAATAGAAAGTTATGGACTAGTACTAGGGTCTAACGCGTTAAACATTAGCAGGTAAGTCGTTAGAAGCGTATTAGCCAGCATATACAGCTGCAGACACCGCCAGAGTAGGCAATTTTAAAAACCCCAGGGAGATCAATAGAGGTATTACTGATTTAGTTGAGTTATCGTGATATCAAGGGCTAGTGGTAGGTCGTGTTCCGGGTGGCTAAATTTACAATCCTATCCGTGGTGCTCCAGTGGAGCAATGCTGAGTAAACAAAACTAAAACCATAAACGCGAAAACATTACACACACAAACCGTAAGAGAGCTTTGTCCCCCGTGCTGTAGCAATTAGCCTAATGTGTTCAAAGTGTGTGGGCCTTTGGTGCTAAGTATCTTCTAGAGGCGTCTGTGTGCTTCTGCGTGCCAGAGGCCGATTGGGGGCAGTAGTATTATGTCTGTGTCCCCTTATTACAATTCGTGTGGAGTGTGGTACTAACGTAGGGCGATAGTAAGCGTTTATGTGGCTATTGATAGGTTAAAGATAAAAACAAACAAAGAAAAAAAAAATAAGAACAATAATAAAAAGTAAGATAAGCTAAGCATTCAGTTATAACAATAAGGTCGTGATTCGGCCAATCTGTGAGAAAATAGAAAAATAGCGTCCCAGTGAAGGGCCTGTCGGGCTCAAGTCGTGGCTGCCGCGTAAGCCTCCGTGGCTCTCTGTCTGGGCTTGAATTCTGTGGAGTGTACCAGGTCAAGGCCTCGAGAGGTTGCAGGTAGCGCTCTTCCGACGGAGTCCAGTGGGAGATCCAAGTCTCTCAGTGCCGCTGTGGCTTCTTGCATGTCATGTATAACATATGTTGTTTCACCTTTGGTGACGTGTAGTGTGTTGGCTGGGCCCCATCGGTACCGGAGCTGGTGTGTGTGTAGTAGGGTGGTAAACGGTCTCAGCGTTCTCCTCCATGCCAGCGTTCCTCCTGAGAGGTTGGTATAGAGGGAAAGCTCCATCTCCTCAAAAAGGTAGGTAGGTCGGCCTCTGGCAGCTGCTTGTACCGCCATTTTGTCTGTGCGGCTGAGGAATTGAAGAATCAGGTCTCCAGGAGCTGAAGTTGGTGCTTTGCTCGATTTCGGTATGCGGAATATACCAGTTATTTGGGTCGCTTTGGCCGCTTTGGGGTTTAGAAGTGCAGCTATCAGCCGCCTGGTGAAATGTGGTAGCTCAGCATCCGAGATGTTTTCTGCCACTCCCCGCACTTTTAGGTTGTTTTGGCGCCGTCTATCTTCCTGGGCATCGAGCTTTCGTTCCGTGAGGAGGTTTTGTCGCTGAAGTTCTGAAACCGCCCGTTGCAGCTCCTTGAGATGGGTTGCCTGTGAGTCGGAGCGGTGTTCTATCACACCCAATCTGCTAGATAGGCCACGTAAGTCGTCACGGATTGCAGCCACCTCTGCCGAGATTTTTTGATGGTGGCCTTCCATGAGACTGCCGATTGCTTCCATTGTGACCGGCGTGGAGGCCACCGTGGGCGGTGTAGGTTTCAGCGGTGCCGTCGAGGGCCTCCGCAGTTCTGCCACATTCTCCCCCTCTGCTTCGTCCGATGTTCCATCCTCAAAGTCAGAGCTGCAGACCAAAGGTGTTGGGCTCTTCCTGTATGGGCAGACAGAAGTGAGGGGCCCTGCACCCAGTGCAATAAAGGGCAAGCTGCCGTGTCCAATCCCTATGTCGGGCCCACGCGGTACCGAGACCGAGGAAAGCCACCTCTGGTTTTGGATATCCACATAGCAAGCAAAATAAGTGCTTAGGCACTTCTAAATATATATATATATATATATATATATATATATATATATATATAAAAAAAAATTCAAATTGACCATGAAGTGCACATGCAGCTCTAATCAAAAAGTGTACCTCACAATCACCAAAATATACCAAATAAACAAACAACAAGAAAAGTAAAGTGCGCTCAGTGCATACAAAAATATTCTCCACAAATAACACTGTATAAAGTTAAGATACTTCCCTTTTTGAAGATTTAACCCCTTAAGGACGGGGGACGTGCTATGCCGTCCTTAGGGACCCGGCTCTAAACGCCGGGGGGTTTCCTGACTCCTGTGTACCTGACTCCTGTGTACCTGACTCCTGTGTACCAGTCCTTGGCTAGTTCTTGTTTTCGCTGTCTCTCTGTTCCCTTGACCTTGGCTCATTCTTGACTCTGTCATTTCCCTGTCTACATCGAGTCCGGCCATTCTAAGGCCCAGTAAGACGTATCTTATTTATCTTGTCTCTTGTTGGACTAAATCTTGCGTGTTGGGGTACACTATCGTGACATGTATAGACAAATACATACACATAAATACACATACACCGTCTAAATGTATTTTAATATTAATATATAATTATATATATATATTAATATCAAAATACACGTACACTGATATTGATTATATATAAAATTATCATTATATATATATTTATATATAATATAAAATAAATATATATGTAAATACATTAAAAGAAATATGTATAATTTCCTTCTAACTGTATTTTAAAATTAATATATATTGATATAATAAAATAATATATATCTATATACATAAGTATATACGTATATATCACTATATATATATATATATATATATATATACCTATATATAAATAAAAATGATTTTTAAAAATTATATATATATATATATATATATATATACACACACACACACGTGTATATGTATAATAATTCTACGTATATAATTATGTAATAATTTTACATAATTAGGTCATTTTATTACAATTTGCGGGACCTGCCTGACAATCCAGGCTGAAAGTCCAGGGAATTTATTTTGCTAGCACTATATTTAACCCTGTAACTTTCCAAGACACTATAAAACCTGTACATGGGGGGTACTGTTTTACTCAGAAGATTTAAAAATAAAATGTATTACAACGATGCTGTCGTCAGTGAAAGTGAAATTGTTTGCATTTTTCGCACACAAATGGCACTTACACGGACTATATAATTGTTGTGCTACATTTTACTGTTTTGAAACACTAATATTTGTGTTCAGCGAAGTCTCCTGAGTATAACAGTACCCCTCATTTACAGGTTTTATAGTGGTTTCAAAAGTTAGTCAAATATAAGGCTGGCGTTTCATTTTTTTCACATGGAAATTCGCCAGATTGGTTACTTTGCCTTTGAGACCGTATGGTAGCCCAGGAATGAGAATTACCCCCATGATGGCATACCATTTGGCCAGTGTTTGTGACCAAATGGCTACTAAAAAAGACTGGACATACCCCATTTGCAATACCTTGGGTTGTCTACTATTGCAAATGGTATGCCATCATGGGGGTAATTCTCATTCCTGGGCTACCATACGGCCTCAAAGGCAACGTAACCAATCTGGCGAATTTCAATATGATAAAACTGAAAAATGTAACATGCTATATTTGACCCTGTAACTTCCCAAAACATCATTAAACCTGTACATAGGGGGTACTGTTTTACACGTGAGACATCGCTGATTACAAATATGTGTATTTTATTGCAGTAAAAGCAGTTAGAAGGTCACGTAGAACTAAACTTTTTATTTAAATTCTTATTTTTTCCCATTTTTTTATATTTTATTCATATTAAATTATGTTTTATACCTAAATATTTAATGTTAAATGAAAGCCATGTTTCTCCTGAATAAAATGATATATAATAAGTGTGGGTGCACATAATATGAAAGAGGTGAATTATGCCTGAACAGACATATAGCGCAAATTCAAGTTTTTGTTTACATTTTGTTTTGATCACAACGTGTACATTTGGCTCAGTGCTTAAGGGGTTAAAAGTGTTGTTGTATGATATTCATATAATAGTTGGGGTTTCAGGTGGCAGTATTCCCTTTTTTACCACTCTGGGAATTCTGGTATCTAGTATTAGTATCTTCCAAAAAAGAAACAATTTCATAGTGCAGTATGTAAAAGAATCATAAAGATAATGCAGATGTATTTAGAACCACTGACATGGTATAGAGCCATGAACAGGCTCTATATCAATGGCATTGGTGTGCCCTCCTCTCAGGCTGATATAAACTGCAACAGGAATTTAGACACCGGTAGTATTCAAGTACAAAAAGTTATGAAGAAAGCATAAAAAAAATGGGGCCAAGTGAAGCAAATACACATGTAACCATCCTCACCACTGGCACATCCCCATATAGTAGTACAAAAATAACACGTTTCAGCCAATGGTCTTCTTCCAAAAATGAAACTTGGTCCCTCCGTTTTCCTAAATATGGTCTATTAATCCAAATCATCTGTCAGTTCTTCCGGGTCATGTGATCTGATAACATATTACAAAACTTTCACTTTTGTGCTATAACAAATCACGTAACTTTCATTGACCAGACCACCGGAGCAGAACTGGCTACAGCGTCATTTTTTTAAAAAGGGAAAACCTATTTGAAGAAATGTTACACAGTGGGAATAGAGCACATAACCAAATACTAACATACAGAATCATATGGGGAAAAAAGAAAATACATACAAACACACATTAGGATCCAAATATAGTATTGAGAAGTGGCGCGATATCAAGCTGTAATAAACCCCTCTCCCACATGCATCAAAGCTATCAAATTGAAAAGATACTTATGTTTCTTGCTGAATGGTATCCCAATTCATGCTCAGCATGTAAGAGAAAAAGATAGTACGATCATAGAACAGATCTGTATGCATTAATTTGCACTTTTTTAGATAGTGCTAAATATCACATATACTATACTTGTGTGTTTTATTTTATATACACATTAGGATCCAATGTGACTAAAATGGTCTACAATGTTTTTCTTGAAAGGGGAGCATTTACATGCTAGATTTTTTTTAACCTTTCTCTCGTGGAAGTGACTTCTTTCAAGAAAAAGAAGGTAGCACAAGTTGAAAAAGACTTTTATATCAATTGTTTGGAACTACTGCCAGGCCTTTTTGTAAATGTTTCCTTAAGAATCGATTCAACTGTTCAATTTTTCTTTGTATGGACAACGTTGCTGCAGTCTGATATGTCAATCATTTAGGCAGTTCAAAATCCAAAAATGTTTCTGTCCGTTCTGTTCATCTCACAATATTTCAGTGCAAGAGGAATACTTATCTGGTTTGTCAAATATGGCTGAAGATTGGCATTCTCGTCATATTGTAGACAACAGCGATTGACACTTGAACAGGGAGGCAGATGGATCATCTTTGGGGACCATTCCAAATAGACTTATTTGAATTGAGACCGAATTGTCATCTTCCAACCTTCTACAGTTGGAGACCAGATCTAGAGGCTCTGGCTGTAGATACGTTATGTCAAAATGGTCTCAGACCGGAAGTTATGCATTCCCTCAGTTTCCTATGATTACCAGGACAAATTCTCATATTCGGAATCCGAAGGCTATGACAATTCTAATAACAGCGTTGTGGCGAACACAGTCATGGTTCCCTCAACTCCTGGAACTGACATCTCTTACCAACCAAGAAGGTCAGATTCACAAATTGTTACAACAAAACCTTCTGTTTTTGCTTGCATGGAAGATATCTGGAGATTTACTTTAATCGAAGGAATTTCAGAATCAATTTTGCCATTACTACAGTCACAGTGATCTACAGTAGGTATGCCCAAGAGAAACATACTCTGTTTTTCACATATCCTTTGTCACCAATGACAACTGCTGTGTGTAATGAATGATCACTGTCTTCTCTCACCAAGTTGTGACTTGAAAACACTTCCTGGGACATTTTTACATAGTCAACCTAGTATGGCAGCCTACTGCAGTCCACTGGAATATATTCAAGTGGGCCAGTTCAAAACCGTAGAGCTTGAACTGTCCAGCCCATTCACAAACCCACACCGTGCTAGGCTAGCAAAGTCCCTGCACAAATGGTGCTGTGAACCCACATCCCCTTTGCTAGCCCTTCAGTGCTAGAGGCCTATGGGAGAATTGCCCCAATGCCTGAACTTCCATAGACATGACTATTAAGCAGAATGCTTAATAGCTTGATGCTCTTTATTGGTTTCAAATAATATTGCAAACATGTTTCAGCATTTGAAAACTAAGTAAGCTAATAAAGTATTACAGAGGGATAAGCGAAGAGCTGGTCAGGCAAGTGGCAAATTTGTATTTGTATAAATTGAATTAATTTATGAAAATTGTTAAAATGGACAAGGGGCAAATTAATAAAGGGAACAAACAGCGCACAATGTCAGACAATGGCTGTAAATGCCATTAAGCAATACGGATATTTAGTTCTTGGTATTGAAGGGTAATAATTTTTTTAAACGTAATAGATACTTTCGAGAACCTGTGTTTCTGGCAAAGAAGTGTGTATGAAGTTGTGATACATAACAACATAATAAATGATTGGTTTCTACTATTTGAGGCTAAAATGGAAGAAACTTTTTGTATTCTTCCAAACTCACTCAACACTATGTTACTCAAGGAACTAATAAAAATGATCTGTGCAACTGAAGATGTTGAATGTAAATAACCTTTATTAATACAAATAAGTGAATTGTTTAGTAGAGGTTGTCACGAGTGTGCTCAATGAGCTTAGTGAGGGCCAGCCATGTCTCCTCTGCAGTAGGAACGATCTGACTAGCTGGAAGAATGAATCCATAACGGCCTGTGTCACGAAGCTCAAAGGTAAAGGAATACCTGATGCCCTGATTGTAGGTCCAGTCAACGGTTCCACCACTGGCTTGATCTATATTTGAAAACAAATATAATTTTGAAAATCACAAACCCATGCGTGACATTTAATCAAACTTCATCAGTTAGAATCATAAATTTAAATGCAAATAAAATCAAATGAACATTATTGTTTTAAATGTATGAAAGTTTTAAAACCATTATGTATCAATTTCTTTTATCTACAATGCTTAATTTAAAAAATACATATAGGATGACACTCGCCTACCATTTTAAAGGTCAAACTATAACATGAAATGATACTCCATTTTAATGCTTTATAAATGTATTAAAATACAAAACATAAAATTTAGAAAAGTAAAAAATGCTATTGATCTTTGAAGTTTCAGTTGGTGCACAGTCTAGTGGGTCTGCCTGAAGCTGCTAGCTGACTTCCCCCACCAGGAAGAGACTTTTATCAGCAGCTTTTATGAGCTCTGTAAATTGCTAGTACTGTGGCTGCTATAAGTTTATATCACAGGTCAGTTCAATCTTTAGTGGGTAGAGTGGCACACTATACATTCTAGGAGTAAAGAGAGCTCAGCCCTTGTATTCATTTTTTATAATCAGCCTGGAACAAAAGTTTCTTGCTGAATGATTGACAGAATCCAGAGGCAGAGCTACGCAATGGAAAGAAAATTAATGTATTCAGCCTGGAACAAACATTTTTTGCAGAATGATTGACAGGAACCAGGGGAAATGGAAAGAAAATCTTATTACTGGCAGTAATTCTAGCAGAAACATTACACAGACAGGGTCTTTGTACCATTTCCAATGGTAACAATCTGAAATGGTTATGGTGCTTACAGCAACCCTTTAGAGAGATCGCCATAATCAAAGTTTATTGTCACAGAGAAACTTACAGATGGTGGTGATGATGCTTCCATATGTATACTGTGTACCATAGAGTGAGGCCAAGGCGTTGACTGCACTTCTAGACACACTATCCTAGTGAAAAAAAAAAGATACACAGAATAAACTTTATAGCAATAGGCCCAACCAATTCAGAAGTAATTCACTGATAGCACAGTGTATCAGTATTTTACCAGCTCTGCATAGTGTGCTGCACGGGCAGTGGTGTATCCATATGGGTAGAGCAGCATCTGAGAATAACTGTGAATAGAAACAAAGCCCTTGATTTTGCCATGACTCTTCACAAAGTCCACAATAGCTTTCACCTCGGACTCAGAGTGGGCAGCACGTCCTCTGTAGGTATCAGAGCAAGCATTGGCGCTAGATCCACCACCTACAGAACCAGAGAAAAGAATGTTTACATTCACAATTAATTTCACAATGTACAGCATACTTATTTTAAATTCTATCACATATGTATATAATTTACATATATTCATTATGCCCAGTGACAAAATAATTTTTGTGTGATAAACATCTAATCAAAAGTAGCAAACTTAAAGGGACACTCTAGACCAGGGATAGGCAACCTTCGGCACTCCAGATGTTGTGGACTTCATCTCCCATAATGCTCTTACAAAGCTCTGGCAAAGCATCATGGGAGGTGTAGTCCAAAACATCTGCAGTGCCAAAGGTTGCCTATGCCTGCTGTAGACCTTTAAACCATTTCAGCTTGCTGAAGTGCTTTATGTTTGAAGAATGTGTACTCTTTTTTTCATTGCACAAACAGTGGAAATTTCAATAGAAATTCACACTTATAAATTTACCTTGGCTGTCAATCATACAACCAAGCTTGTTGCTTCCTGGTTTGGTTAGCTTAGTGGAGCCAAACTCAAGAGCCAGTCTTGCAAGGGCTTCTCGTTGAACTGCATTGAGAAATCTGTGATTGGACAGCCACAGGAAGACTGGGCTGTGGATGAAGGGGTCAAGGGGGGATTTGAAAAGGCTGCAGACAATAGATCTGCAGCTTTTCTAGCTATTTTTAGCTACACTCTCAATGAAGAAATGCATAATTAAACTCTTGCATGTCTTTCTTTCTTTCTTTCTTTCTTCTTGTGACAGATACCACAACAGATAATCTGTCTAGTGAGAGATTCATACCATATCGAATATTTGTCACTTTTTGATTGCCATCTTCATTCATTCCTTATAGGGAATAGTGGGTGTCCAAATTTTAAAAAAATAACAAACTCTTTGGGCAAAATTGGGTTCCTCCTAATTAATATTTTCTGGATTTAGATGAACGGAAATTAGAAAATTAACGAAAAAAAACTATTTTTCCCCCGTGTAAATCTCTAGTAATCATGCCAAGAGTTATGTTTAATATGTAAATCTTTCATAGCATATCACAACATTTGAACATATTTACATCAAGATCTGGAATTATAATTTCTTCCTTTGACAGAGGGAAAGTTAAACTTTTTCATCGTAGTTTACAACATAGAGATTGTATATATGAGAGGCTTTTCTCACATTATCATTTAAAGTATTCTCCTAGGCAGGAATATCCTCTCTACTTAAAGGGACACTCTAAGCAACATAATCATTACTGTGTAGTGTAATGGCTCTGGTGCAAGGAGGCTGTCACTGCATTGTTACAATTGTAAACATTGCCTTTCCTGAGAAATGCAGTCTTAACATGTGATCTTGTAGAAATCAAATTTGAAGCCACTCAGACAGCCACCAATTGCCCTGGGAGCAGTCTTCCAGTCTTTGCATGAAGATGTTAAATGCTCCCTTCAGAGATGCATTGAGGCAATTCATCTCTTTGAAGAGATGCTGATTGGCACAGTACAGCAATTGCTGTGCATGGGAAGAAGCTTATGAAAGCATTGGATTGGCTGAAACTGTCTGTAAAGTTGAGACATGCGAATAGGGAACTAAACGGTAAGTAAACTTTATTTTACTTGTTAAAGGATCACTACAGGGTCAGGAACACAAACATGTATTCCTGACTCTATAGTGTTAACACCAACATCTAGCCCCCCTGGGCCCCTCATGCCTCCATAAATATAGTAAAAATCTTACTGTATTCAAGTCTGAAGCTGTAAATCTGCATGCTGTTAGACTCAGAAAAACAAGCAGTCTGCTGACATGTGGTAGCCTGATCCAATCACAGTGCTTCCCCTTAGGATTGGCTGAGACTGACAAAGAGGCAGATCAGGGGCAGAGCTAGCACGATTCAAACACAGCCCTGGACAATCAACATCTCCTCATAGAGATGAATTGAATCAATGAATCTCTATGAGGAAAGTTCAGTGTCTTCATGCAGAGGGAGGAGATACTGAATCACAGGATGTTGTGCACAGTGCTGCCCTGTGCTCTGCTGACAGCAGATCTGAGTGGATGGAGGCATAATATGCCTCCATCAACTCCGAAGTCCCTCTGGTTCACTCTGAGTGACTGCAACTGGAGGTGTTCAGTTTAACTATGTGGCAGTGTCTCAGAAAATACAGTGTTTACATGAGAGGCTCCAGGGAGCTATAGTTCTCACCTGAACAACCTAATTAAGCTGAAGTTGATCAGGTGACTATAGTGTCCCTTTAAGGGGAGAGTGGGGGAGGAGGGCAAATAATCAAAATAGACAATAAAACACTCCAACATTAAGAATACATGTTTGTATTTCTAATGTTAGTGTTTCCATTTGTAACAGTCTCCAGCATTTTTAGAATTTTGTTTTCTCCACTTGCCATATTCTTTTAACTAATTATCCATAACTTAAAGCATATCAAAGCTATGCATTCAGAACATTTGATTGTGAATTGGAGGTTATAATAATAGTTTCACAGAGTAGAACACATGATTTATTAATTGCACAAAATAAAAAAAATAAAAATGCATTTAAAAAATAGTGTTACCTCCAAAACCAGCATCCCAGTTTCTGTTGGGGTCTGTACCAATGCAGGTTGAGCCAGTGTTTGGAGATCTGGTTTTACGCCACATACGGTCCTGTAATGTTTATATCGCCTGTTAAACTGATTCTCATATTTATCAAATAGATGTGTTTACCTGTTGCTTAGTGCAGATAAGACATCAGAGTATTATGGAATAATTAAATATTGTGGTAATTGCAACTTATTTAGTTGTACTGTTTTATTTTCAATGTAGATTACTTGTCTGTGTGAGAAACGAATAAGAAAAATATTTCTGCACACTTTACAAAACAGAGTAGTAGTTAAGATTTGTCATTTTGCAGTGAAAAGTCTACCTTGCTTGTCTTACAACATTCTGTCCTAGAGTTTAGCTCTATGTCATTGTTTCTTTAAAGGAGGAGTCTAATTTGATGATATGTTATATTTCTTACAGCGTTTTCATAGGTATACTTACAAAAAGCTGACACATTAAATGAACATTGCACATACAATAACCACATGCAAATTCCATGACCACCCCCAATTTTTAGTAGTCACACCATTTTACAATGGTTTGTACCTGGGGTTCACCAGGTGCGACTTCCCACCTCCCCTACGCTTGACACAGAAATGAAAGCTAGGTACCAAAAACTCCTATAATAATCTTAAATTAAATAAATTACCCTTGTGTGAGTGTAGACAAAGCCATCAGGGTTTGTCACAATTTCCAAAAAGATATCCAGTTTATTCAGGGTGTTAGTCAATGATGCATCACGACCATAATCGGTAACAATCTGTAAAAAAGATTATGTAACACAATGAGGCGCCATTCATTTCTTCTCAAAACAGATGCAGGAAAAGTCATTGATGTGTTTTGAAGTTGGTCTGTTTTTGGATGAATGACCACTCAAATACTTTGTAACATTTGTGAATGAAAGGCAACCAAGTAGAGGAATGACTGTACCATGTAATCCATTTTCCAGTAGAGCTGGAGTTACTTAATGTTCAATACAATCACACTGAATATTGAACTCAGAGTGACAATTATTTTTGACCTACTAATTTCTCCTTTGTCATTAATGGTTTTCCAATATGAGTTGATATACCTGTTTGTTGCTAGGCTAGCCACAGTTGAATTGTAACTGATAATCTCATACCTTTTTTGCAAACCAAAGTCCACTGGCCTGAGTGACCCACTCACGAGAATGAATGCCGGTGTCAATCCAGAAAGCTGGGCGGTTTGATCCTGTGCTGAACTAATAAAGATGATAAAAGTTAATATTCAGTATTCATTAGCAATGGTATCTGAAACAGTTTCTAAAAACAAAACACACATAATGCTATCACAAACAGGACAACACACAATACACTATAAAAAAGGTATTGGGTTATGAGTTGATAGCAATACACACACGCACGCACGCAAATATAGATTTCAGAAGGTTAAAGGGACACTTCCCAAATATAACAAAAAGAAAAAGAAAGAAAATCTCTCATAGTATATATATATCACCAATCAAATAATGCATGCATTTAATATGGATTTTTTTTCTTTAAGGTATATCTAAAACAGCTTACAAATGCTGCAGATCTATTCTATGCAGCCTTTGTAAGTCTTCTCCGTGTACCCCGCCCAGACTTTCTGTGGCTGTCCAATCACAGACTTCCCAATGCAGCTCAATGAGAAATCCCTATAGCAAAAACTAAAAGGACCGGTTATCTGATTAACAGCCATGAGGATATAACAAGATTCATTTATAAAAGTGCCAATTTCTATCTAAATCTCTTCACACATAATGTACTTCATTAAGTTGAAGTGATTTATGGGTCTGGAATGAGGATAAATAAACTACACCTTACCTTCAGGACATTAAGTGGGCGACCTTCATAGCTCTTGCCAATGACAACTTTGCTCACAAAGCCTGGGTTTTCAGCCACCAGATTGTCAATAAAGTTGTTAATCTGTGGGATGGAACCAATACAGTTCAAATGAAAATCAGCACAGTACATTCTTGAAACGTGTTTCTACTCCATGTACCCACTAGGTACACATATTCTTTTTCATTTTATTTATTCCTGTACTACCGACAGACATCTACATTGCAGCGTCATTAGATGTATAAATATTTAAAATATCATATGTCTTACTGTTGGGATCTACAAGCTAGTATTAAGTGAGCTTAGCTTTTGTTTTCCACAGTCTAGATAGTGCCACTAAAATTTAATTTTGCTTAGGATTAAAAAAGGACATTATTCACTACACTCTTCCGGAGTGATCATAAATACAAAATAATCATACTGAATGTGGTTCATGATACCTCATCAAATGTATGGTAAACAGCAAAGTTAAAGGAGGCAGTGGAACGTGAATTCTCCATGGAACGTCCAATTCTCATATCTCTCTGCTCCTCATCCAGCATACTCTACAGGAAACATACCATACAAAGCTAATATTAATAGTCTGAGCAAAAACATTGTTACCAAGGGAATGAGCAACCCATGGTGCAATAATATGTAGGGAAACACACTGGAAGGAGAAGAAGGGGAGCATGATTAGAGGCATAACAAAGTGCAAATTATTAATATTACTAAAAGAAGTCTGTATTGATTTGTCCCATAATTGTACATGTATCTCTGCCTTTAAAAGGACTCTGATAGTAAATTATCAGCTCTGCTGTACAAATCTCAGATCCTAATTGACTGCGGGCATCACATGCGATGGTTACTATCACACTGAAAATATCAGATCTTCACATGTTAATTACAACTACACTTACTATATGAATTTGCTGGGAAACTTATTTCACACTTACTATTAGACTTGTTGTCTACTTAAGGACACAAATATTTTTTGCTATGTGTATGTTCAACTGCAATTTTAAACTTTATTTTCATTAGTTGCACCAACACATATTATATACTGTTTTTAAAAAGACATAATGGACTTTAGAGGGACTTTATAGTCACCAAAACAAATACAGCAAATCTAGTTGTTCCGGTGAGTATAGTCAATCCCTGCAGGCATTTAATGTAAACACAGCCTTTTCAGAGAAATTGCAGCCTAGAAACACATCTAGTGGTCACTCCTCAGAAGGCCACTGTGGGGCACTGTAGCAGTTTGACAGTTAAAATGACCTAATAAATGCATACCATTAGTGAATGTAGACAACATGGAGTATGTCATATAGTATATTTTGAACCTTATGTGTTTCAAATGTGATGGTATTTTATTTTCACTGTTTTTAACATGCACATTACAGTTTAGCTGATTATGCTCTAAACATGATGTTTGCTACTGTAATAAAAATCACTAATTGCACTAATCACTAAACACATCATTGCATCTTGGGGCATTTTAGTAACTCACTTATTTAAATGACTCCATAAATGCATATGATTTGCAAAAGTGGACAACACGCTGACTCTCGTATTATATATTTAGAGCTTTATTGAGTTACCTTTTTTTTTTTCAAAGTTTGTGGCATTAATATTTATTTTTGTGTCCCTAGATGATAAAGAAAAATATCAAGGTATCGACTGATACCTGGATCTCGTTGGTGTGTTCCGAGGATTTAACCATGCTCACACCCTATTCCTGCCAATGAGGATTTAAATCTCCATTAAAAGAGTTGCATGCCGTGCTCGCTTTGATCACAGCATGCAGCTCATTTGTCATCTGGCTCTAGCTTATATAGGGGAGCCCAAAGTATCAACTGATACCTGAGTCTGTGAGTCTCTAGTTGTACAACTGGGGGATTTAAATCCCTATTTAAAGAGCTGAGTCGAGCGTACATATTTATACTAATTAAACACGAGCACACACGCGCACACACACTAAAAGACAAAACGTAAATTAAATAGTAGTAGTAGGAAATTGGGAACATTAGGTGTACTGACTTGTTCATATGTATGATTTCATTTTCTTTATATTTTTTAGAAATGCACATTGTAGCATTACATATACTTAATTCCCGATATTTTACATATTATAAATTATGTTCTCATGTTTTATATATTATGATTAATAATTTTCCTTTACAAGTCCTCAATCTAATTTAGACACACACTGAGCAATGTTCTAGATTTACAGGTAGAACTGTGCATAAGCTGACCTTTACCTATGATCATAACCCACAGTCCCATATTTCATTTACCTGCAGGTCATGGATCATGATGGAGTATTGGATGTTGTTAGATTCCAGGTAGACTTTAACAGCCTGCAAGCTGGCGAATGGCACACGAATATCAACGGGGTAGAAGAAAGTTGTGGGCCCTCTCCAGAAATCAATCTGAAAAACAACAAAGATATGTTAATGGTATAAACCAATTTGGTGAGTGCGAGATAATGATAAGAGCATGTTCTATCAATTTCTCCAGGAAAGATAGCAATAAACTGGTAACTGAAAGAGATAAAATATCTATGGGATTATCCTCAGCTGAATTCCCATACTTGGGCTGTATGTATCCATTTTCAGCCTTCTGGAAATTTGGTATGCCTAGTTTCTAACATAACATGTTAACATATATAGTAAACTAATTATACTAATTGTTCTCTAAATTAGAGTTACTCATACTCATAAATAGCATTTTTTAATACCAATATCTTACATGTTCAATGAAGTGGTCTGGGTGCCAGGTCCAGCTAGGTTTAACCCTTTTTGCTGTAAACATAGCAGTTGCAGAGAAACTGCTATGTTTACAAATGGGTTAATCCAGCCTGTAGTGGCTGTCTCATTGACAGCCGCTAGAGGCACTTCCGCGCTTCTCACTGTGATTTTCACAGTGAGAAGACGCCAGCGTCCATAGGAAAGCATTTAGAATGCTTTCCTATGAGACTGACTGAATGCGCGAGCGACTCTTGCCGCGCATGCGCATTCAGCCAGGGACGTCAGAAGAGGGAGGAGAGTCCCAGCGCCGAGGGAGCCTGGCGCTGGAAAAAGGGTAAGGGATTAACCCCATCCTCCCCCTTAAGCGGGAGTGGGGGCACCCTCAATGCACTATAGTGCCAGGAAAACGAGTATGCTTTCCTGGCATTATAGTGGTCCTTTAAACTCTTCAAAAGAAATTAATTACAAAACAATGCTTTTTGATATTATTCAGTTTATAAGGGTGCGCAATAAATCCGCTGTAGGTCCAATTTGCTAAAAAAAAAAAAAAAAGGTCTCTCATTTTGTTATCAATCTTTGTTATTTGCAGTGCGATGGGAGATTTCTTATTGCTGATACAAGAAGATCTATTTGTATGTGTAGACAAGCAAAATTGAATACATTAAATTCACCCTTGGACTGGATTACTGCTATGATATGTAATAGTATAACTATACTCAACTAGCTTCTAATTCAGTATTGCAATTTAAAGTGATACATTTATTTTATAATTAGTGTTGTAAATCCTAAAGCTATTTAATATATATGGGAACCTATATTGATACTCTAAACAGTTATTTTATTATTAAGAATTCAGGTTTGGTTTTCTACCAAATTGTTTTCAATGTAGAAAAAGATTTTTTTGGTATTCAGGAACATCCATTCTCATTATGCAGGTTTCCTCTCAGGAGCCAATATATGTTAGAAAAAGTTAAATAAAAAATAGTTAAGCAAATAAATAATTTTTGTCATGGAGAAGTAAAAAGTGCCAAATTCATTGAATTTTTCCTTTTCAGGAAGGGAGTTTCGTCTGTTCCTATTTTTTAAACTAAAAACTGGGAAAGCAGATGCTAATATGTAGAATGAATGATTCACAATACATGTGTACCTTCAGATGTTCCAGATTTTCCAATTCTCGCACCAAGTTAACTTGTTCCTCATCAGCAGGGAGGACTCGGAGGACTTGCTGTCTATATAAGAAAAAAAAATCAACAACTCATTTACATACAAGAGGGTTAATTTCTTATTGAATAAAACAACAAATGTAGCTGTTAGGGATGCAACAAAGTAATGTAGTGAGATATGGCTAACTGACATAGACTGACTACATGGGGTTCCTTTTATGTCTTAGCATGGAGCAGTTTGAGCTATTCCAAACTGCATTATAATGCTTACTTTTTATTACATCTGTTGCAGAGCACTCATATTTCTTGATGTGTGTCTGTTTATTCAACAAACTGAAAGCTTATGGCTCTGATACCTGTATCAGAATGGCCTCAAAAATCTGCATAATCTTGTAAAATGACCTATGTGATATTTGTCAAAAAGAATATGAAATTGTCCACTGTGTTGATCAACAAACAGAAGCAGACATTAGTTGCTATAGGTATATTTTTCTCTTAAACATATGATGGTAAGCATTTGGATTCATCTTCCAGCAAAAATCCTTTAGTAAATGTGAAAATGTAGGAAGGACATGGAAAATACAGTGAGTGGTGGGTAAAATAGTGTTTCAACCTGCTGCCAGTTTTGAGGCTATGGGAAAAGGGGTTTCCAAATAAGTCTATACATATTTATTAAATATCATACAGCATACTTTGTAACATATTAAGATTAAAAGAAACTTTTGATTCCAATGTTCTACTTACCCCACGAAATCCTCCATGCTGGAGGCAGCCACCACTAAAGCAAACAGGACTAGCAACCCCTTCATTGTGGAGAAGATAGAACTCTGAATGTCATGGGTAAGATTTAAATACTGTCCTCAATCACAATTCTTGGTAACTCTCATCAATGATTGGATAATGGCTTCTCTACATCTGTGTTGTTTCCCACTTGTACCTGCTTAATAATGTGGAGAACAAACCATCTGGCACACACCTGGCTAAATATAAACATTATTTTCAGTAGCTGCAATCTTTTTCCTTCATTAACCCTTTCATAACACTTGACGGGCCTCACACGTCAGGAATGAAAGTCCATGGGGACCAATGAGGAACTAGACTCATCATGAAGTGGAGTTGTTGGTTAAATAGAGTACATTTCTGCTCCAAGACCTAAGGAGTTAAAAGAACACTATAGTGTAAGGAATACAAAATTTTAGATGGACACTAAAGTGTACTCCGACTGAGTACCTCCTCCAGGTCGGCTTCCTGGGTGCCCTAAGCAATCCTGCAACACTTAAGCCCAAGTCACCGAAGCTTGACTGGAGTTACTGGGAAACTTTTCCACTCTGAATCAGACTACAGCTCTCTCCTTCCAGGCAGGTATCAACCCTCTGCCTTTGCCTCTTCAGCTACTGCCTTTTTAAACTTGTCCTGGTTCCAAAGCAGTTAGCCAACTGGTACAAAGACTCTGTTTCCGGGATCCATAAAAAAACAAACAAAAACAGACAGGACACACCATTACCAACAAGCACACACTGCTTTAGTTTCCCTCAGGACTAGCCCCTATCTGCATTACATTTAACTTATGGTGATGCACTCAATCTAATACATAAAACCAAATCATATGGGGAACCATATAGGAAGTCAAAGAAATAAAATAACATATTTAATAATGGGTGGGGAAGACAACGACAAACAAGAAATATGTTCCCTGTCTGCAGAAACTATAATATGCAAGTCTACCAGAATATGCCAATTAATGAGCCATGCTAGCACGAGTAGCACGGCTCATTAATTGGCATATTCTGTTTCAAGATCTTCACAATGAACAGATGGCACTGCACAGGTCCCACAGCCAAATCCACCTAGTTAGTACAGGGCGTTAGCAGGCAGGATAGCATATGAGACATTTAAAAAAGAATACACAAGCTGCACCTATAATGGTCACAGGATGACTTAAACATAGGAGTCATCCGGGGACCTACTTGAAGTCTTATGCTTCTGGTGATGGTGACTACCGTCACACCTGATTACAACATAACCTCCCAAACTTTTGATCTTAATTTAAAAAAGCCTAAATATAAGGAGGAACTATAGGAAAAAAGCTTTGCCATTAAACATTGAATCACACATGGACTCTTTTTCAGATTTAATTAAAATGTTATTGAAAAAAAATTTACTTTTTTTTTTAATTTTCTTCCTTTGTCCCTCTTTATTCCAGTTCTTCTGATCACCATTCATTATTGCACCCACAGCAAAATACTTACCCCCACCTCCCCACCACCACATTGCAACACCCAATGGACTTGAAATTGTCACGTTTCACTAAATTAATGTGCCCCACAAAAAAATAGCCTTGATTTGTAAAAATAAATAAAAATAAATGTATCTTACTTACACAATGCTGTTTTAATGCTCTAGCTCAATGCAGGTTTGACTTGTACCATTTAATTAATGTGCCATGCAAAAAATGCCAAAATAATTAATATAGTTAGAAGCTGCCCATTACTGAGATCCTTTACAAGACCCCTATGGGCTTTATTCATAGAAAAGGAAACTGTGGGGAATTGAGAAGAATCATTATTCAGAAGCGATTTAAATTTATATGTCAGACTTCCATTCAGTATAGCTAGTTTTCTGCGGCCTGGCAAACTGACTGGTGTGCAGCGTCTATGACTCCGAACACACCTCCAGCTTGGAAAGGTATGATCATCTCCTCCCAACTGATTGATTGTGTGCTGCATGATTTTCAGACCACCTCTGTGCAGAGACAGAGCTATGCTCAGTGACATGGAAACCATGTGGTGTTTGCGCTTGCAAAAATTAGTGAACAATATCTTTTGAATAGTGTACAGTTAAAGCATAAGGGTGCAACCTTTAAATAAAAAAAATTAAAAAAGGAGCTTTGCGATTGCCTCCATAGACATTGGCCAGCCAATTTTTAATCAGGCTGCCGTTAAAATATTGGCTTGGTGACAATCCTATGAGTGCACCATTAAAATGACACTTTTAACGAGGCAGAAATTGGTTTTTGTCTCATTAAAAGAAAAGGTAGATGGGGTGGGTCCTGGCTGCCAAACAGATTGGTCGTACACAGAGCTGGCTCCGTGAGCAAAACTCATCTTTTTGTGAGAAAATCGACTATTTTACAAGCACTCAAGGATTGTAAAAGATGGGAAATCCTACACATAATTCTGCCTCACTCTGAAGTTTTCTCGACGCATGACGAGCGACCTGACCACGAGGCGATTTTGCGTCCTACCTGCGGGCGAAGATGTGGGAGAGTTGGCTGATCTCCCCGCTGGGAGGTGTGAACACAGAAGAGGCTCCTGTTTCCCCCCCGGCCGGAGGGGGTTATCCCGGCACCAGCACTCAAGCTATACTTTCCTATCACTGGCGGAACTGTAGCCTGACCCTAAAGCACAATCTCCCGGATGCCATACCTCTTACCACAGTTGCCTAGAGACAACTCACTCTCGACTCAATTTAATTTTTCCAACATTCTGTCTAAAACTGAGTCGCACAATGGCAGGGAAGAGCAAAAGCGAATACCCACTGCACTACTCACCTCCCAGGGTTGTGAGCCCAATGCTGGGCCCGAAGAAACGGACCACAACTACACACCTTTGCCGGAAGGCAAAGAGGAGGAAACCCTGACCACCAAACAGACGGCTCCACTCTAGGTTGTCTGGTGTCAGTGAACGCAATCTCAAGTTGAGGGCTACTTGGCCTACATCTGTGGAGGGTCTACCATACCTGCCGGGACACTGTCCATACACAGAGCTACAGGAGTCACATAGTGGCTCTCCTGGAGACATGGGGCCAGCAGCATGGCCACCAGTGGAAAACTGGGACTCGGTCTCAACAAGGGACCCTTATGGCAAGCGTGGATATTGGGTGAACCCTACAGAAGAGGCCTGGTGCATTGATGTAAAATACTGTTGCATTAGTAGTTCCAAACCCTTCATGTACACTCTGTTGTATGACTGTAAAAATAGGTTGACAGTTCCCCCATCAGTGACAACTCTCACATGGTACTCCTTACTAGCTATAGACAGAGTTTTCATACAATATGGAGTCCACGCTATATTCTACTGAGTAGTTGGGTAAAACCCTCTTGTTAACTAAGCATGTTACATATTGATCTATTACTTGTCCTTTCTACTAAGTTGGCTTTATTTTCTTTAATGACAAAAAGAAAGTGCAGCATATCTTGATGATGTTCATAATTTCTTGTTGTATCTCAAGCACTGGCAAAACTACCGCGGTTGCAGGGGTCGCAGCTGCGACCGAGCCCGTCACTCTAGGGGTCCCGGCCGCCCTGCAACCGAGGTATTTCTGCCGGCATTGGTTTTCCTGGGGCCCGGTCAGCACTCCGGCACTTTAAGAGCGCAACCGGGCCCCAGTGATGACATCAAAACTGGGAGGAAGCAGTCACTTCCTCCCAAACAGTTTGTGTGTGTGAGAGAATGTCTGTATCAGTATACCTGTGTCTGTATGTGTGTGTATGTCGGTCTGTAAGTGTGTGTATATGTCTGTGTGTATGTATGTGTGTGTATGTCTGCATGTGGGTTTGTATGTGTATCTGAATGTTTGTCATTAAGTGTGTCTGTGTATCTGCATGCGTGTCTATATGTGTATCTGTCTGTGTGTCTGTATGTGCATTTGTTTTTCTGCATGTGTTTGTATGTGTATCTGTATGTCTCTATGTATATATCTGTATGAGTGTCAATCTGTGTATGAGCATCTGCATGTGTGTCTTTCTGTATGTGTTTCTGTGTTTCCGCATGTGTATCAGTGTGTGTCTGTGTATCTGTAGAAGTGTCATTCTGTGTATCTGAATGTGTGTCATTTTGTGTGTCTGTGTGTTAGCATGTGTGTCCATATATGTATCTGTATGTGTTATACAAATGGAGGGGCTGGGGTATATGCATGGGGGGGCACATTTCGCACCAGGGCCCTGTGGTTTCTAGTTACACCTCTGATCTCAAGTCACACGTTATGTCAATGCTCATGCTTGAACTTGACTCTGCACTCCAAAAATAAAGAATGTAGGATTTCTTCAATCTTTAATATACATGAAATATTAGCAATACTATATTTGGGGCTAGGGGTATTTTAACATCTACCCATCTGCTGCTGTTGAAAGTATACTGCTCTACCATATAAGGGACAAAACCCCAATAATATGCTCAAAGCTACCTCTAACTTCAAATGATCCGCCAAGAATACGTATATTCCAAGCAAACTGAATTGGTTTGTTTGTGACCATTCCATGATGGCCAACAAACCATTTTTAAGAGACACCAAAGATGATCTTGCCAATCAACAGTTTATTGACCTAATTGAAAAGGTAGTTAGTGGAGGAATTTCATAAGAACTGATCATTCATGGTCTACCGGTCACTCCTATAGATGGATAAATTTACATCTTTGTGTCTCTTGATAGTCTTCATGAGAATGATTATTCAAGAGATCAATACAGATGGACTTCTAGAAGAAACAACAAGCAGTGCAAGCAGTAAGTGGAGACACAACAAAAGGTTGGTTTTAAAGTATCCTTCCAAAAAAAAGGACAAATCCATGCATAGCACATAGTTAAATACATTAATAGTGTATAATGGCGATTGAACATCCCACCATTAAATCTTAAGCTCTCTGTAAAAAACAAAATGGTGTCCCCTGCATCTGCTTTCAGACCAATGCTCACTTTAGGCTCAGTCCCTACTTCGTCAGGCACCATGTTCCTGGATGCCGGCAGGGCATGCTTTAAAATAAAAACATACCCAAAGAGCAGTTCTTTGTAAATCAAGGATGTATAGATATATATCTATCACCATGGTATTCACATAAATAATGAGGATAACATAAAGCATACCTGTCTGACTCATAATAACCATTGAGCATTTTACAGTAAAAGGCTCAAGGATCCTCTGACATATTTCCATC